TACGGATATTCCTGTAGGGATGTATGGAATAGGGGAAGATATCGCAGTGATAAGTTCGTCAACTCTTATCGCCGGCTAATAAAATGTTTGTAAAATAGACAATATAAGTCGTTGCATTAGTCTGATTATTGTTAACGAAATCTATAACTAAATGATGTTATACTCGTATACAATACAATTCCTGATAAATCATTTTGTTACAAAGAAGTTTGTTTTTCAAGTAAGTAACATAATATAAGTAAAAGAAAAAAAAATACAATTTATGCAAAATTTCAATATTTATTTTCGTTATTTTCATCCTCTCCTTAATTTCAAATGAAAACGAGACAAATCACCCCAAACTTGCATAAGTTATGTATCACTTTGTTTTGAAAAAAAAAGGAATAAAAATAACACTACAAAAAAAGAATGATCAATAAATTTAATTGGCATTGCCTGGAGTCGATTGAAGAGCTTATCTCTAGTAAAAGATGAAACAAGTGATTATTTTAAGTACTTAGTAGATTAGATGCCTGAGGCAGATGTTGTGATAAAGATAACAAAGAATAAAGGTATTTTTCGCTAATTTATAATGTGGTATAATCTCAAACTTTTCTCTAATGTCTACTTCAAATCTATACTAATATTATATTATCAAGAGGTAAAGTTTGTGAGTTTGTTTGTTCGGGGTAATCTCGGTACTACTGATCTGATTTTGAAAATTCTTACCCTGTTGTAAAGGTATGTATCCTTTGCTTACTTACTTACTTGCAGTGACGTTTGCAATAATTTATTTTACTTGATATTTTTACCTCTTGACATTAAAATATAATTAATTTATACTCGTGACAATCTTATAAGTTAATACTATTGTCTGTCTAAAATTGAAATTATTTTATCAGTTTTATTGTTAATTTTTTGTTATTATAGTTTATTTTTCATGAATGTTCTTTTTGTTTTTATTACTAAATTTAGACACAATGTAATATTGTTTACGAAATAAATAAATATAAGACCTTGGATTGCCAAGAGCTTCAGTAAGCTCTTTTCTTGAAAGAATATCCATAGCGGCATTGCTGAGCTCGTATCAAATATGGTTAGGTACAGGGGGTAACACGGCAGACAGTGGAGGTGAGCGCTGACGCGTCGCAAGGAGTACTCACTAAACCTATCCCTGGGTCGCAAGTCCCAGGCGCTGTCGAAGTCGCATGTGTTGCCCCCATCTATCACGCGATGGACCCGGCACCCGCACGGTGAATCTATGGAATGCTAAGAAATAGGTCTGCGCTGTCTGAACGGTTTGAAACAAAGGAACATAATCTATGGCAAAAATATTCATTACGTTATTAAGCTTTACAAAAAAGTCCGCGACACTGAATTTAATTCATCAGCCAAAAGGATGGGTTTTATGTGAAAAGTAAAATAAATGTAGTTTGGATATGGACTTCACGTGCACTTTACGAATTCTTAAAAAACAAATAGCTAAATGAAAATGGAAGTCGAAGCGGATGGCTAGTTCATTTTAGATACAATGGAGGCATAATCGCTAAAAGCAATCTCTACTAGTCAACTTTGATGGATTTAGCAACAGGAATAAGTGGTAGCTAACGGTGTACTATAAATAATAATACATATAACTAAGTATATATACATTAATGATATGAGTATAATATACAGAGACAATACTTATCAATATTTGGCAAAATAAATATCAATACAACAATTCTAGTGATACCGAATTTAACTAGTTACGATTATAGTATACTGATGGAAAGCCTCAGTACCTAGTGCCTTTCAACCATATCCTTAAATGCATAAATAATCGTAGGTACATAGATAAACATAGGTATCTTAAACGTTTCGCATTCGACAACATTTCTTATATTTACATTTATCATGGAGGAATCAAAGCGTCCTTGACAGTGCGGAATAGTTAAACAATAAGTTATAAAAAAAAGAAAAGATATGAGCATACCGGCGAACGCGTAAGCGTAACCACAATTTTGTCATTAAAATATATATGTAATCCATTGCTCGAGGCCTTTTTTTCCGGTGAGCTTGAGAGTATATCTACAGGTCAATATATTGCACCAAGATAAATGAGTGTTTTTAATGCATGCAGGTTGTCAACGCCTACACACGTCTTACGGTTCCCAACGATAATTACGAAGGCAATCAGTTACCGTTGGAAATATGTTAAGTTGCCCTAGTGTACTGAGAACAATGTTTCATCGACATCCTTCTTAGTTTTTTTACGACAAAATGTTTTCTTTTTTAACTTATAGGAAATTATTTGCTACTTGTTAGTTCGGCTTCTTACAAAAGCGTGTTTTTTAATTTTTTTTTCAACTATAATTTATTTTTGCTGATAGGGCTTTACTGGGTGCGGCGTCGATCTGTGGGGGACCTGAAATAACATGGTCCGGGTCCTCCTCGGAGTAGGGCGCCTGAGTCCGGCCGTCGGGGTGGTTTTTAGCGGAAACACCACATACTCCTGGCTCCTACATCCCCAAGGAGCCGGAGATCCGAAGGGATTTTCCACCCCGTCAACAAAAAAAAAGTAACAAATAAATAAGTTGGTTAAGGACAGGCACTTGAGGTCTTTGAAATTAATGGCTATACATAAATAGAATAATATAATGGGATTATTAAGATATCAGTGATGGTGAGGACGATTTCGTCTAGGACACAACATTAAAGGAAGTGTAAGACTAATTGGAGTATGCATTGTATACGGTTTTTAATTACATGTAACAGATATAAATTAGCATATTATGGATTTGCCCCTGAATCAATCCAGTGGTTTCACAGCTACCTCTCCAATAGGTCCCAACAGGTAGAAATTTATAAACAGGATGGATCAGTTGTGTCATCCCCCCCTCTTGCAGTAACCAGGGGAGTCCCACAGGGTTCCATCCTGGGGCCTCTTTTGTTCATATTGTACACAGCCGACATAACTGATTGCTTCTTAAATTGTGGGTACCACATGTACGCAGATGATACTCAGCTGTTTTTGTCATTTAAGCCTAATGAAACTAGGTCGGCGGTGGATAAGATGAACAAGGATCTAGAAAGAGTAGTCAGATGGTCTGCAGAACACTCCTTGGCTCTAAACCCAGTGAAATCCAAGTTCATGATATTGGGTAGTAAGGGACAAATCCAGTCTATACTGCAGGCTGACCCTGCTATCATCATAAACGGACAGAAGATTGCAAGGGTAGATGAAGCTAACAACTTAGGACTACTAATGGACCCAGAGCTGAGATTTGAAGCACATGTAAATAATGTGGTTAGGAATTGTTTTTATAGGTTAAAAATTTTATATAACATCCGTAACTACCTCAGTATACCATTAAGGAAACAATTAGTAGACAGTCTGGTGCTATCCAGATTCAATTACTGTGATGTAGTATACGGTCCATGCTTATTAGCCAGAACAAAAAACCTCATACAAAGAGTTCAAAATGCCTGTGCTCGTTACTGCTTTAAGATTCCTAGTCGTCATCATGTAACACCATATTTCAATGAACATAATATTGTTAAGATGGAAGCCAGAAGGAAGCTGCATTTAGCCAGCTTACTGTTTGGTGTAGTTAAAAAAAGCAGTCCCACCTATTTGTATGAGAAAATAGACTGGAGGCATAACCACTTCTCATACTCCATCAGACCATCAGCCAGAGCACTCAGCATACCAGGACACAGAACAGCAGCGTTTCGGGGTAGTTTTAAATATGCAGCAACACAATGCTGGAACTCGATACCACCGCCAATTAGGGAACTAAAAACAATAGTCACTTTTAAAATGCACCTAAGAAAATACATCCTCGAACAACAAAAACGCCAGTAACAAATTTACATACCTCTGAGGTTATGTTCCATCAACAGGTGATTCCAGCACTGTGTAGCAACTCATGGGTCACCTACAACTGCTTATTTCTAGCCTGGTTGTGCTCCAGACGGAGGGTTGATTGAGATGGGTCGGCGGACTGTGCGGTGTCTTTCTCTTTGCGTACTTTCACAATTTTGAAAACCTAAAATAGAGGATAGTTAGTAAGTTAATAGGTATAATAATAATAACCATACAGTAAGCGATAAGTTTTAGTTTTAGTTGTAGTTGTAGTTAATACGTGACAGTCAATTGTAGTTTTATAAGTTTGGTTGTTTTTTTTTTTTTGTTGTGCTGGTTAAGTTGTTTTTACAATATAGCCTACTTACCAAATCCAGTCCTTGTGTCATACATGACATCACAAGCAGCACATAAGAGATATCCAGTGGTAATTGCGGCTGTCGGCGTCAAATCAGTAATTCTGGTGGGCACTGAAAATCAGTACTGGGACGGACCATGTCCATCACAGTAAATGCTGAGGGTCCACCTATTCTGTGGGACACAGCGTACAACTCTCATCCGCACAAGCTATCTATGTGGCAAAACATAGTACCAAAAATAATAGTGATCACCGCGTCAGCGCCACGTCATATATGATCACAGTCTCATAGACTACTAAACCACAGATAGCGTAGTATAGTGTTGCACTTTAAAAAAATGTAATATTATTGTAGTTGTATAAGGTTAGTTTTAAGTTAGTTATATTAAGTTGTATGCTGTTCTCTTGCAGAATAAAGTTTATTTTATTTTATTATTATTTATAGATATAACAAGAAAGTATTAAATAAATAAAAAATAATTATATCTTTAAAAAATCTAACTAGAAATTACTAAAAACGAAAATAATGTAAGTATTTGTTCGGTTGCATTTATAACGTTACTTAATCTCAAAAATAATCGGTGCCTTTTTACAAACAGTAATCAAGACTCACGAAATATATCATTACAAAATCTACTCAATAAATAAATCACAGTATCGTAAAATATACCTGCTGTAATAATTATGATTGATAAAGTTGTGACGTCACTATACCTACTGTATAATATGAAATGTCTAACTGTAAAATGTTTGTTTGTTTGACACAAAATTATACCACGGTTGGCTAGTTTAAATCATATATCATTATTTCTTCAGATACTGCTATGCTGGTTTGAGAAAAAAAATTAAATTGGAAGTACCACAACTCCCTGACTTGGGCGAATCATCTAAGGTAGGTGATACCTTTCTTTATGTAACTACTACTGCCATAATCTTCTATAGTCTAGACATGATACAGCTATAACCTAATCATAAATGGTTACAATATATAGAACTAAACACTACAATATATTGAACCAAAAAACACAGTCATTAATCATTCAGAATCCGTAATCGTTTTAACTGTAGGTAAATCTACCATAGAAATAATTTTTAAATAATAAAATTTATTAAACATCCTATGTTTGTGTTGAAGATAACCCGTAGATAAAGTAATAAATAGCAGTCATGTCCGGTTATCTAAGGCTGCGCGCGCATTGCGAGTTGTGTCTTATTACAGACTTGTTGGCGCTGCGGTAACATTGCAGTCAAGTGCGCGCAATACCTATCTTGCAATTCTGCCACGCGATATTATTCAGTGCACTTTTCTAAGTTTTTATGCATGTTAAAAATAAAATACATAACTCGAAAAGATTGTTTTATTTATTTTATTAAAACATTCTTTTTCTTTTTTTATCCCGCCTCTTTATTACAAATCCTGCAACATTGAATCCATCTTTTAAACCTTAGATCTCATGTAGGTCTATAGTGCTTGCTATGACAAATCCGACGAGACCAAACCGAATTTCGCTAGATGCATCTCTTAAAACCAGGCGCATCGTGCCAAATGCTGTAATGTACTGCACCGCAATAACTATCGGAGAAAATAACTATACGATTGAAATTATTTTCAATGCATATAACAGAGCTTGAAATATTGCAATGAGTTCCTGGGACATTATCGAAATATCTTCATTTAATTTAAAATATGTTTTATAATTTATATTTTGATGATAAAACGCAGCCCCCAACCGATTTACACCTTTTGACCCATCTTGTATACACATTCCATCATATATAGTATTTAGTTCCCTAACGACTTCACTGATAAAAGTATTAGGTTCATAAAACATTTTTCCATATTTAATACACATCATCATCAACAGCCTTTACCAGTCCACTGCTGGACATAGGCCTCTCCTTTGAACATTCAAATTATTTTTTTTAGGAATTGATACACCGGTATAACTGTTACCCAAGTGTTAAACTTAACATTTTCAATAATATCAGAGGAAGCTATGTTTAGCACACTCAGTGCATTGAAGGTAGCAAATAAAGTAGTGTCTTAGGCACAAATAAACTTAATGCCGAGATTATATTTATATTATTTTATTTGACCGAGACATTCTTTATATCACATATTTGTATATAAGATATTGTCTCCTTGAGAATATTGGTGTTATATTTAGTTTACTTTCCACAACATGGATAGTTGAACGTTTTATAAAACCTCCAAATTACCCTGTGCTTGATTTTGCAGTTTGTCTAACTTACTTACATGCGTTTTTGCACTGCAATCGCAGACAAAGCATCCATAATCGACTCGACTCCAGAAAAGCCTTCTGTCTAGCCACATGCCTAAGTATTTAATACATTCGGTTAACATCATCGATCGGTTTTCCATATATTTTGGTAGTTGGGATAAGGAAGACCGATTTTCCTGAAGACGGTCATTGATTTTGAAATAGCGCCTTCCCCAGGTGCCGAATCTTACTTGTCTAAGCAATTTTTAAGTTCTTGAATTGTAAATGGTGATTCCAACATCATTTCTAGATAAAAATCTAGGGCTTGGATTCACGACATGGTCTGGCGTTAAGGTATGCAACAGTTCATTTTGCGCTTCATTGGAACGAAAAGGTCTCTGCTGTCTGTAGCCCTTTATTATTATTATTATCCATCTCATGCGCCGCCTCATTTCAGGTACCGATGTTGTTGTGTTGCGAAGCGCGCTCGCTTTCAGGGAGCACAGGGAACATGGGGTTCCCACACGGGGCGGGGGTCGTCTACTCGTCTGTAGATGACCCGAGGTATGTCGGGGCACCAGGGCCTTCCTTTCTAGGGTATACCTGGTTCCCCGGCTATTAGTACCCGGCGAAGGCGTGCGGTTTTAGTCGGTTCGAGTCCGACATGCCACCGACAGGTGGTATCCGAGGGGATTTCCGCACGGAAAAAAAAAAAAAAAAAAAAAAAAAGGTACCGATGTTGTTTCAATAATAGAATTATAAAAGTTTTGCCAACTAAGAAATTTTGCCTTTTTAATTAGTATTTGGGATTCTATAGTTTTAGCTTGTAATATATTATTATTTATCGGGAGTCAAGTTACGTCAAAAGTTTTTTGGGGTTAATCTCTGCTATGCCACTATATGCGATAGTTCAGGTTTCCAGTAATCTAAACCTAATTTAATTAGGGTAATAAGTTGTGGTACCTCTCGCATTTGATTTACTTGACCAGTTAGGAAGGTAGCTGTCCCTACTATTCACAAGTCCTCAAATATAGTTTTTCTATAAAAATGTGAAAACAATCCGTACCAGTCGAACGGTTAAGTTGGAACTGACGATGGCAATACAATGAGCCATGTTGTAGGTAACTTATACATAGTAATTAAGTAACTTGAGTATTTCAAATATCGTGTTTTTAACTATTTATGGAAATTATATGAGACTGGGTCGATTTATGAACTCATAAAGCGAATCTTTTTACCTTACTTTCTACTTATTTACCTTCTGATTTGATATTTGGTTTTTTTCTTTTTGTCGCTATAGTGTTTTCTTCTTCATCAGTAGACTGTGGAAGGCTGCCTGCAACTGTACTGGCTAATACACTGCTATACGTTGTGGGTTGTGTAATGTTGTTATTGGTTGTGTAAAAAGAGTTGTCTTCAGATGTTTGTTGATTTTCTGTTTGATTGCGCTCCGTTAGCATCAGTAAAGTTCCTCTGTAGGTAACTTGTTTATCAGACATGATATTCTGCATCATTTTTTCCTTTAGAAAAAAGGGCAATTCCTATCCAAAACAAAATGGCTCCCATTACAATTCAAGCATTTGAAATCTGCAATCATTTTCCACCACACTTTGGCAAAATTATATTTTGTGTAGGACAGTGCTTCTTTGTATGGTCAAATTGCCGACATCCTGAACATTGAATAACTGGAAACTTGTAGGTTTCAACTTGAAATCGGCAGCTATAAACAAAAATAAATTAAATTTGATTTACATTGACTTTTAAAACTTAGTCTTAAGGCTTCGCTGCCATTCATTTTTATTTCGAATTTAAGCGTTTTAATCAAAATTTAAAGTGATGAAATTTCCTCATTTACCTGCAATATTTATTTTAGTTCTTATTGGTTTATATCCGGTTTAATTCCTTTAACAACTCTATAAGAATTTGAAATTTTATGTATAAAATATCCTGGCAATTCATTTCATAATAACAATTTAGTTTCTCCGCATCTTTTTTATTTTTAAATTTGATAAGAACTTTATTTGGATTTTAGTACTTCAGCCAATACCGAGTAGCACGAGTAAATAAATTGATGAATGAGCTTCTATTTATTCTTCCAGGAAACTACAGCGCCGTCGAGAGAAACTGAAAGGATCGTTTGCGATTGGGCCGAAAGTAAATTAGGTACGTGATACACTACACTGTACTCTGTCCATTCTTTACGTTAGTTACTTCCGAAATGTAGAATATTTGCCTGTCACTTTAAGCCACGCTATTAAAGAAATACATAAACTATCATCTATTTTCATATTTGTAATAAGGTGAAGAAATGATTATTTATATTAAAATAACTGCAAAAAAGCTTCCTAATTAAATAAAACCACCACTACTTGTCCTAAATTCAACAATGTTTATTTGATGTCTTTCTTCGTTCCTCTAGATCTTTCTAGATATTTTAATTTTCGTTTTGTAGGCATTAAGTTTTCAAGTGTAGCAGAGTTATCGCGGCATTTGCTAACAGCGACGTCGCAGCACGCGCCGCCTGGCCCCGCCAGCGCCTCGCCTCCTCCGCTAGCACAAGCTCATGGTAACCTTTTTGTTGAGTAATTTTTATACACACAATAGTTACCAAGTTGTAAAGAGTTACATTTCTTATCCTTGTACAGTAATTATTTTGAATAGAAAAAAAAACGAAAAGTCAAATGTGATAGGGTGAAATAGTTGCCTCTCTATAGGCATGGATGTTTAATCTCGTATGGGGCTGTTCTAATTTAAAAGTCGGAACTTTTTATTTCTTTTCAATTTTTTATTTAATATGAAATATGTAAAGAGCTTAGAACACATATTGTTCGTCTCTTGCTACTGTAAAAGTAATGTTCTAATTCACGAAGAATAAGACGCAGCGATAAAGAGCTCTTAGCATATGCAAATGAAATAAAACAAAGAATGATTAATTTGTGATTTTACTCGAATTACTTGACTACTGGCTAAAAGCGTATTTGGAGTGTGATGTATTGGTTAAAATATTGTTTAATTGCCTTAGCTTTTAACTATTTCATTGAAATTCAATGGTAATGAAATTAAAAAAGATGAATTGGAAACTATTAGCTATTCAAGTTCTCATAGGTATAATAAATTAAGTACTGTATAACTACTTATTGTACTATATGCACACGAAACATGATATGTAACGCACGAAAACATGCTTGGCTATGCGAGAGGAAACACAACTTCGGGAAGGTAAAAACGTTTAGGACACTGATTATAATCGGAAGGGAATTGTAGAAGTATAAACTTTATACTTAGGTTAGTGGCTTATTAATAAATTTTCGACATGCTTACAGCGCAAACAGAAGAAACTACAAGTCGACAACTAATTAAGCATCTGAAACGTAAAATACAAGTAAGTAGTGATTATTACAAATAAAATGATTGTCTTAAGTATGCTTGGAAACTCAGTTTTATTTTATTTGATAGTTTTTTCAAATTAAATTGAAACTTTTGTGTCGCTTAAATATGATTCGTAAGCCTATGATGCCAAGAACAAAACTAGAAAAAAGATGTCCTAGGCGAACTCTTTGTGTCCAACTTTACTTTGGATGACGGGAGAAACGTACCACCGACCATACCGCGGTGCCAAAGCTGTATGCCGGAAATCCGGTTTACACAAAAATCAGTGCGTTCCCTCAATAATCATAAGTCGAGTGGGCCCGATGGAATCTCCTTTTTCGACTCTCCTACTCTCTAGGCGTCGTCCCGAACTCCTGGAAGGTAGCGTTTGTGCACCCGATCCCTAAAAAGGTGACCACTATGATCCGTCCAACTACAGGCCTATAGCCATAACTCCCTTGTCCTCTAATATTATGGAATCTGAAATCAACTGCCAGCTCCTCCGGTACTTAGAAAATCACCAGCTACTCATTGATGGACAATATAGTTTTCGCCGGAGTCGCTCAGCTCGTGAAACGTCTCGTTCTCGGGAAAACGTCATCGAGAGTCGAAACGAACTTGTGTCTGAAGTTGAAACTTCCTTAGCGGAGGTTTCAGCTTGGGGTCGACTGAATCTGGTCCTTTTTAACCCAAAAAGACACTTTTGCGGGTTCACCGCAAAAAGATACCGTTTGCCGTATCGCGTTCGAGAGCACCTCCCTAACTGCCTCAGCCAGTATTGCAATCCTAGGCATCGAGGTATCGAGCGAAGTCCAGTTTCGCGGTCATTTAGAGGGTAAGGTCAAATAGGCATTGAAGAAGCTCGGTGTGCTGAACAGATGGAGGCAGTAATCCAGCCCACCGTCTCCAACTCTATAAGGCACATATGGAATACTGTTCTCATCTCTATACAGGAGCACCACAGTACCAACTTCCATAGGAGAGCGACTCGAATCGTCGATAGCCAAAAGATTTGCGACCGGCTCGATCCCTTGGCGTTACGGAGAGATGTAGCTTCGCTCTGCATTCTCTATCGTATATATCATGGCGAGTGTTCCGAGGAATTGTTCGGACTAATATCGGCCGCAACCTTTCGCCATCGTTCGGGTCGCTGGCTGCGGTATTTACGGACCGATACGACCTTCAAACCTTCAAGAGCCAAAAGAGCGTACTCCTTCCTCAAAGGCTGGTAACGCGCTTGTGTCGCCTGAGTTGCAGGCGTTCATGGGTGGCCGTAGTCGCTTTCTATCAGGTGACCTGTCTGCGCGTTTGCCCCCTATTCTATAAAAAAAAGCAGAAAGTTACTATAAAAATATAAATATGTCTGTTTTTTCTAAGATCCACTATCTTGTAATGAAAACTCGAATTATGTTTTAATTTGAAACTGGATTTTATTGCAACTGTGCATCAATCACTTAACAAAAGCAACGCAATTGCGTCTAATGAAAGAATTGCCAAAAAATCTGAATCCATTCTACATTTATTATTTTACTTACTTAGATTAAGTTATTACATACTTAGATTAAGTTGCCATACATAAAAAATAAAAATTACTATACAAGCCTTCGTTACAAGTAGTCGTTAACGGACTCTCGTAAATGTTTGTTGTTTGCGCCCGGGTCACATTCCCAGGCAATCATAATTTACCAGTATACTTAATATTTCGTTAATATTTACAGACACACGGTACTCCTGGTCGACCGAAAAAGAACAAAGGGCAAGAAGCGCCGGGAGAGTCTCCGCCTTCAACATCGTATGCAGCGCATCACCCACCTATGAAACACGAGAGTGAAGTATTGTCAGAGCCTAACTACGGATATCAGCCGCCCTACCCGACCGTGTACGAAGTGCGTCCGCCATTTCCGCCTTACGCGGCCCCGCCCCGCGCCCATCCGCCTCACCCCACGCATGTACCAACCGCGCCACACCAAACGATTCCCATACATGATTATCCTTTACGAGACCCTTACGCGCTTGAATCGCCGTATGCGCCGCGAGACCTCACGCGCCCTGCAGACACTACTCACAACCTGCCCATCAATCTGAGTAGCGACGCATCTCTCGATCTGTCTACCGAGCGAACCGACTGGCAGCGGCGGAGACCTCCCGAGCCTCCGCCAGCTCGGTTATCGCTTCCTGGAAAGAAGTTGATCCTGGAGACCTATCAGAGTGAAACGAGAGCGAGCTCCCCACGTTCAGTACCGGCAGACGCTCGTTTGCCCCATGTAACCGAAGAATTCCCGCGCACCGAGTACCTCCCAAAAAAGATGCGTGCAGCCGAAATCATGGGTGGCAAATTAGCTAGTGCACGCTACGCGCAAGCCGAGGCCCCACCTCCTTCGGCCCCGGCACCTGCCGAGGTTCCCATCCGTCCCGAGGTTGCTTTTTTAGAGGATCCAAAAAACTTAACGAGCCGGTCCAAAAGCACCGCCGCGGCGCTGGCCCGGGAGGAACAGGAGGCGGCGAGTCAGACACGGTCGGTGAAGGTTCCGACGTCTGAACGCAATAAACTACGGAAACCGAGCGGCCGAGCGAGTGGACTCTCGCCGGATCGGGCGAAATCGCCCGAGCGATCCGCAACTCCAGATTCGTGTTGCGGTTTGGATGGGATTAATATTCGTACTGGGATGATTTGCGAGGAAAAACACTCTGAAATTCTCAATAGAGAGCGCGTGATCAGTATTTGCAATATAGACAAGCATGACCTCGACGATTATCTAAATGAGGGTAACAGTCAGGAGCATGAAGAGGAATTATTGCAGTATTTCCACCATCAACGCGCTAGCCAGTCGGAAGCCACGGGGACCATGAGCACTTCCGATAACCCAGTTGCTTTTTTAGAAGCAGGCCAGGACCCACATGATGACCATAGCCAAGGAAAAAACGAGAAGATATCACAACTAAGAGAATTACTAGCTAAAAATTTAAAAAACCAGAGTGGGTCCAGTTCTCAGACCATGACAAATCAAACCATGCTGAATAAGGAGTCGCAACTGTCTCAGCCAAAGCAGCAAGACCAGCAACTTCCTAAAACGACTATTTCTGCAAGTGCTTTCAAGCCACTCTCTGGTACAGTAGATACAGAACAGACTTTAGCAAATCAAACCGGCATGTCCATTACCAAGCATAATAATTCTCTACCTACTGAGAATGGCACTTCTGTACCTTACGTTAATGATGTAGCTTCGACTCAGGCGAATATAAATATTGGAGGATCCCATCTTTACAATGGACATTGCCATAACGAGCCACAGAGTCCAACAACCAGAACACAACAGTATGACTTCGTTCCTATTTCTGATGGTTGTCATTCTCCAGGCAATTTCCATTCTAAGTCACCTCTAGGATTTGGACAAAGAAGTCAAAGTCCATCAAAAGTAAACAAACAGATGATTATGGGTGGTTCTCTTCAGACGTCGCCTAATTCGCATAGCACCGCTGCCAGTCCATTTGTTAGTCCAAGAAACACTCCAGTGCCGCGGTCTCGACTGTGCTCAAGACCTATACCTAAACACAATGTAAGAAGAAGACGCAATCCTTTGGTGATTGGTGTTGATCAGAATTCAAAATTTGCAATACCAAATGATCAGAAGTTTCTGTCCAAAATGCCAATCTGTGCTACAGGCAAGTACAATTGCCAACCGATTTCAGCCCCTCCTTCACCAAACATACTCACACAGTACAAAAATCACATGTTCACTGGTCCTTCAGGACTGACGAATGGGTCTAATAATCTTTCTCTTAATTTTTTGCCTAATCCACCGTTTCGGGATCATTTAAATGGAGATCCTCCCTTGTCAGCTGATCCTTTATCGAACGAAGTTAGCCAGTTCTTCCAGGACTCACTAGTTTATAGGCCAGGGCCCGATACTTTTAGATCACAATCGGTTCCTCTGAAACCCGGCATCGGTAATATGGGAATGTTGAGTTACAACAACACTCCAGTGGGATCTGTGCCACCTACGCCGGTTCCGAACGAATTTTGTGATTTTGAATCCCTCACCGATACTTGTGACATATCCAGAGCTGGACTTAATCGAGAAACACTTGATAAAATATATGACGCCATCGACAGCAGTAACGATGTTCTTACTAATCCACCACAAAGCATATTAAATTCTAACGACACTTTGAGCAATGGTTGTGACTCTTTGCCTGAGCACCAGATACTTTCAAATGATCAACTGATAATACCTACCGGTGACGATTTGCTTGAAAGAAGTAATCAGTTCAATCAAGCTTTTACCAATGAAAGTGCTGCTACAGATAACGTTGAAGATTTTCTTAAGCGAACCAATAGTGTTGAATTTGATTTAACTGACTTGGTTACCACAGACAAGAATAAATATTATACATCACGTTCAGTTCCCAGTACACCGCTTCCCTACAAACGTACCGCACCAAATTTAGAGATTGACTCGCGCCGCTCTAGAGAACTCTTCCCAGCCGAAAATTATTCCAATGTCTCAAACGGCATATCCTCAAAATCAGTGCCATCAACTCCTCAATTTTCAGAAGATAGAAGCGTGTTCAGTTACAGTAATAGAGATTTTCTAATAAACGGTAACTCGGTGTGTGGTTCGAGTCAGCTCCCCGAGTCGGTGGTGGACAGTGATCAGGGACTCACATCCCCGCTCCACGATATGCTTCGCGAGGACATGCTCGACCGTCTCACGCCCGCTCTGCTGGCCGACCTCGATAAAATGGACGGAACTGCATATGTCGATCTCTAGTCAGCCGTTCGCGATGACATCACTTGTACATATGTAATATAAAATTAGTTGTGTTTCGTTTGTACAGATAACGATAAATTGGATATCGAAATAGTACAATGTATATGTATGCCTTCAGTGAAGGCAAGTGCTAAATATTGCAAACCTAGTTTAAATTTGGTTCGCACACTCCCAAAAATTGAGTCAATAAACAATGCACTTGAAATATTGTGATAATCGAAAAGCTATGTGACATCAATTATTAGAGATTAAGTAAAAACATAACACTGAAATAAATCTTACAATTGACTGCTTGCAGTTAGGTTGCCTATTTGCATGGCCATAATGACAATTTAATATGTTACATTCGTAACATCCGTGGGTATTTATACGTAATGAAGGTATACTATTGCACTGCACAAGTCAGGCACGTGAGGTCAACATATATCTTTCATAACTATAGTTTTACGTATTCGTCACTACATTGGATTTAAAATATAATAAAAAAGCAAACATTTTATATGCATAAAAGTAAAATTGTTATATTGTTATTTGTCTTAAACTTTCTAGATAAAATGATAAAATGCTACAGCTGTCGATGCAACGGACCACATCATAGTGTGATAATTTTTTTCATAAGATGGAGATCCTATAAAAAGAACAGCCTAACAGTGGCTGAATCGGTTTGTACACAAATACTGTTTTCGTTTACTAGCTAGTTATAGATATTGAAATAACAAGTGTTTACTAAATGTATACAGAAAAAAAAAATTGAGCATACCACCACCACCTCAGACCGAATGTACATGTTGGACAATTCCCTTATTACAGACTATCAAAACGATAGGCATGTTGACTAATATACAGAACTGTTTCTTGTTTTCGATTCTCAAAAAATACAAAATGTTTAGGTTTTTTTACAACCATATTATTTAAGAGAACACTCATTAACCATGTAAAGCCTATAGATGCAGAGAAGGGCGATCCGAATTGCAACAAATACCACGTAGTTCTCAAGGAAAGGTCCTCCTTTTGAGAATATTTATGAGAGTTAGGTAGCTTGAAAAGTCGCCAATATTCTCACGTAATTAATGGGCACACCTTAATACTTTCCTAAGTTGGAAAAGTAAGTTTCGTGCATTTAAAGTTTATAGTGTATTGTAAATATTACTTCTTTCGGGGTATCCTATCATATGTCTTTTCGAGATCCACAAACACCATATACAAGATTTTGTGCGCACTCTTGTATTTCTCACATAGTGGGCGCATTATAAATATTGCACCTGTTGTCCCGCGTCCGTGCCGCATAAATCCAAATTGGCTTTGTGTTATATCACTCTAATCTCTTAGTTGTTGCATTCCTGATCATCTATAGTCGCTGGTAATTAATAAAATCCTGCTATAGTGTTATGTATCAAAATTGTCGGTACAAAATTTTGGGGGCGATTTTAATTGTTTATCGGTGCCTCCTAATTTTGGTCCGGATTTTATTCTGGACCTTTTTATCTTTTCGATAAGCTGGTGTAAAACGCAGCCCTATCCAATGTCTGATTGACAGGGTAATTATAATATTGTTTTTCCGTTCGATGTCACAATTTTCTGGCTAGTTCTGTGTGCATGAGAATGATTTTTTTTATGTTAGAGGGGGCAGACGAGCAGACGGGTCACCTGATGGAAAGTGACCATCGCCGCCAATGAACGTCTGCAACTCAGGAGTCACAAACACGTTGCCGGCCTTATAGGAAGGAGTACGCTATTTTCTTGAAGGTTTGAAGGTCGTATCGGTCCGGCAATACCGAATTATTGGTTTTAAAACGCTTTTTTGTTTTAACACGTGAGAGGAAGCGATCTTAGTCATTTTAATACACAACAACAAAGAACAATGTGACCGAGATCGAAATCGATAAATGCGGTCGATGCGGATTCGTGCAGCGCGTCGCGGGCGATGTGCGCCTCAGCTCATACCGATTGATATGTCGACCTTTTCTTAGTATAGACATGAAGTTCTATAGTCGTTATAAAAAATAAAAAGTCATTTGTTTTAGCTTGCTGGTTGAGACCTTTTAAAATCAATATTATTATTTCCATATCAATTTAAACTTAAAGAATTGCTATTAGGATTTTAAAAGTCACAATTATTGAGTTGGTTACAACGTAAATAGAATTAAGATTAGCGTCAACATCCCTATTTGTTATAGTAGACAAGATGGCTCAGCTCGTACAGTAAATGTAATCAAGCATTAAGTACGTTTTATGTACAAATCGTATTTATCTTTCATTTAAATGCCTTTTTCGTACTCAAAGCGTACGTCAACGCTATTTTTTCTATAAGTAGAGCTCTCCAAGACTATGCTCCTTTCATGTGGTTGCATACTAAATTGCAATAAGGGTACTTACTGACTGTACATACGGTTTTAAAATACAACTTATATTATAGTGTAGGTCATATACATGGTGACATAAATTGTATTTTAATGTTACAATAATTTAATTTCGAAATTAACTATTAAATCGATAGATATATTGTAATTGTAAAAGTTATATATAGATGATAAATAGTCAGTTATACTTCGTTAACTGTTACATTTTAAAGTGTATTTGAGGATTTAAATTTCGAGTCATTATAATACACTAGAATAGTTTTCACGCTTACTTTCTTTATTTTATAATAATTTACTAACACATTTTCGAAGTCAAGTTACTACAAATGAATGAATTGTAACAGTTAGGTTTCACATTTAATTCTCTAACATCGTATTTTACATACTCATTGCTTCTACACGAACTTTAAGTTAGAAAGGTGGTATGTGCATCGTGAAAATATGTGTTTTTAATCAGTATAAACATCGACATTTTGATAACTATTTTATATACATTAGTGAGAAACCCTCAATAGTGGTATACTAGTGTCCCATTTCCAACAACAATTTCATATGAATGTAGTAATGTATAAAAATACAAGGTTCCTATACAAGAACGATCTACCCTCACTTGCTACATTAAAATCTATATCGTGTACGAGTAAATGGCAAATATATGGAAAATTGTACTCAATAAAAAGTAGCAATATGAGATGAAGGTAGGTCGCTCTATTTTTGGATCTTGTGCTATGTAGCTATAGAGTTTAACCAGACCAATGCAGCGTGCCAAGCGCGCTTAGTAAATTAGAATTGGTTTTTCATAAGAAAATGATAAAATAGTATATAGTTTATGAAGAAAATGAATTTATTGTAAGTTAGCACAAAGATTTAATATATTTTATTATTACATAGGGATTTTACTGATATACTAAATTTACATTGATCGCATAAAATGCGGAATTAAGAGTTGGACCTGCCAAAAGGCTGCCGTGAGCTTATAAGGCGTAACGAAATTACTGATTTATTCTTTTATTGTAGAAGCCGGTCTCAGTAAATTAGGTCGTAGCACATATCTCGCTACTACACATATTATACTACTTGTGATAACAGTAATATGTAGTGAGTTGTTTATTATTACCATACTCTTCGAATCCAGGTATGTTTGTAGACATCATTACTAACTGATCAGTCAACAAGGACCAAACATTTTTATTATCTCCAGAAGTTGAAGCGAAGAAGAATCCTATTATTACTTTTTGTCTGTGCGTATTTGATGTCTAAAGGCATGCCTTATTACTGTATACTATAAGATGGCAGGTCTCAAAAAACAAAATTTAAAAATAATAAGTAAACATTGCATTCTGAAAATTCTTTTAAATCAAGCCTCCGCCTATTGTAACTAGTTTCGCAATTTTTATTGTTGATTAAAATTTAACTTTCTTACAATTCGTTAGAAGTAACTGTACATACAATATTGTATTTTCAAAATTCAATTAATCTATTATAATCATAAGTTTAGTGTGAATGGTATAACTGTATTTATATTGTGCACGATCAAAAGTCATGAAAAAGTTAAGCGACATCGACGACTTGAAGTAAAATCGTTCATGAGCGACATATAACATCATTATAGAATTCTGGTCGAACACACCTACTTGTCTAAGCTATGTCTACTGGCTATTATACAGGTGTGCGAATGTTTGGTCAATTCAGGCTAGTGTTGGTTTAGATTAACGATGAAGCAGTTCTTAATCATAGTAAATACAATTAACGATCACTTAATTAAAAATCGCAAAAATCATAATTAATTAATTGTTTTACACTTCAAAGCCGCGGTACAGTTTTGTTAAAATAAATTATAGTAGTCGACTAACACGCACGATAGCGGCAGTACACTTTATAAAGAATAGATTACAATAATTAAGAACATTATAGAGTATTATTGGGGTGGCCAAAAGAGTTATTAACAGAAAGACTGATTTCGTCGATGGCGCTTAAAATGTGTATAACAAGACCGGCTTCGAAAGGATCAACTCAAGGTTAAAAACCAAACATGGCCTATAGAAATATCTTTTAAATGTTTGTTAATTTGTAGTTTAGCTATAATGTCAATCATGAGAGCGAAAGCCACGTATTTGTATTTATTTCCTCGACCTGTGCCTCAATAACGAATATAAAAATGTCCTTTGAAAGCTATTGTGAAAATGTTGATTTGTTATAATGCTAGTACAAAACACTGATTGGACAGGGATAAACATAGATATATGTAAGTGAAACCGAAGACTGTTTAAAGTTTGTAGCATATTTTCCACTCAAAGAAATGACTTCTCATGATCACTAGACACACACGAGGAGCAAACGGTAGGTAACGAATAACCTCGGTGATCAAATCAGTGTTATTCCAATTTGGTACAACATACCAAATCGACTAGTACCTAATTAATATAAGTTGTACATTTTGTTAAGGCTCGTCTCTCGTAAGTTTAGGACGTTTAACACTTTGTAAATAATTTCACTGTTTATATCATTCCTCATTATTTCTATTGTCATCAGTAAATTACAATACATTGTTTTTATAACCATGGATGAGAAGTTTTAGTAACAGTTTTCTTTACAATATGTTTGGGAAGATAGGTTGACAGAAAACAACTGTAAATATTATTGGGGTTTGACTAATGCCAGAAGGCCAATTCTCGTAATAAAAGTTCGGTCAAAATGCAGTTCCAATTAACTTTCGATCTCACAACTGTCATAAAAGGTATTTGCGTAGTAAAATAGTAAAGTATTACTAGGACTAGCAGATTTCCGATTCAATTTTCGGTTACAATACCATATAATCACATTACAGCAAACGTTGGATGTTTACTTTACTACGTAAATACCTCTTATTCGATTTGATTCGATACTGACAGTCGTGCAACTATCGATACGCGTGTCGGACAAATTTCTAAATTGCTGTTTACCTCTCGAAGTTATTTAGGTTACCGCCGATTTAACAGCCGATATTTGACTCTTCTCATCTATGCAAATAATACAAATATACATAATTTATCACGTCATCCACATTATATTTTAGTACCTAACTATAATACATATGTCAGAATGAATGTGTAAGTACATTAAAATGACAATTGTGTAATTAAAGCGATCAATCACGTGTGTTGTTGCACATAGGATAGCTGTTCTTTGTTTTATGTGTTGATAAAATTTAAATGTAAATACTACTTCATGGTCAGATCGCAAGGCTTAAGTGGATTTTAAAATTATGTACGTCCCTAACACAACGTCCGTAACAGTCGTCACTTTGAATACCGATAGGTAATTTGTGGTACCGGACAGTCTTAATCGTGCTTTATTTTAGCCAGATGTACCCGAACGCATTTTATTCATTGAACAACAAAATAACTTCATTATTTCAACAGCAAAAGCTGTATTATCTACAATCCTTGGACGTAGACTGTCTTTCGCCTTCATGCTCATAAAGTGAATAAGTAATGTTTTTTGTTGCTTGTAGTTAAATACCGACACCTGTGCCGAGAACAATCATTGTCTCGCTTAAAATATATTTATACTTTTCCAAATACTTTAGCGTTATAGCGGATTAAGAAAAAAACTATTTTACTACCTTAAGAATTTACTTAAGTGTAAAGGCGTTTTGTACAATCGGTGTAGGTTAAAATACTTTTATGATCTCGAGCAAAAAAAATAGGATTATTTTCTGTTGAAGCAGCTTATTATCGACAACCAAGACCTAGAAAGTCTATATAAATCCCGTTCTCTTGACAATAAGCTCCTCTGATATTACAAGTTATTGTTTTTGGTCCTAAAATACCTACAAATTCTACTTAATTGCGGTAAATATTTTTTAATCCTTTGCACTTATCGTTTTCTCGTTAATAAAACTAAATATAATCATAGAATGTGAACGAACTGATGATGTTCAATTCGTAATGATAATGAGGGAATACTACAAAAGGAACAAAAAGAGATAAAGAAAAGGAAACAGAAAAAATACTACATACCTACCTTGGTGATTCTTCGTTCATCTGGTCATAATAATCTTTGAAAATAAACTATATATATTGAAATGCCTGTCATTATGTTATGTGTTTGATTTAAATAATTGAGTATTATAAAACAATTACTAACGGTGAAATTAACTTGTGCAGAGGGTAGATGACGCAGAAATCTAAAGAATTAAAAACGAATAATTACCCACCTACTTAACTCAAAACAAATTCTATAATATTTTCACAGGAGCCTTGCAAAAATTGCTGCTAATAAAGCAGAGAAACTTTGGCCTGTATTTCACTTAGTGAGACGGATTTTTAAATAATTTTGTTATGTAATGAACTACATAATTATATCTATTGCCATGTTGAATTCATTATAATGAATTTTGTGTTTATATTTTAATGCTATTTACATTAATCATTACATTATTATTATTTTTGACATGAAAAAATCTAGGCATTAAATAGTATACACACTTATTTTAAAATCTGAATTGGATATAAATAATATTTTAGAATATAAATCTTTTTTGTAAAAAATTGTTTTACAATTATTATTTTTTTGATCATCGCGCAATATTTGTTTATAGTTTCCGTACATAAGTGTTTGTATATTTTATATCATGCGTCACGTGATGTAATTGTATGTATTAATTGTTACACGTCGTTGATAATTTTTTTGTAATAAGTACGATGTTCGAATATACAGTTAACTAAAATATCATATGAGATTTGTTGCTTAAATAAAAAATCGTTATGTAAATACACAGACATTGGTAGACGTATTGTAACATGACACCATTTTATTTTTATTCTATGTTGTTCTGTTAATGGTTGTTTTTATTTTCTAAATATTTTTATCTATGTATGATAATACATTAATTAGTTATAATAAGCATATCTAGTTTAAGCGAAGATATCCATGTTGTTGATTAGTCTTTTATGGATGTTGATTTACACCATTTGCTATGCAGTGATAATAAATGGTATAATAGTATTTGCTATTGTTTTATTAAAGAACCATATCATCTGTAAAATCCCCAAGGTCTACTTCGCCGGGAGTGTAAACGAAATTTATTTATCACAATATCTTATGTGATGTAGACAATATAAAAACTAAACCAATAACAAAATACTTACCATACACAAATACACGACCTCACACTAAATATCTGTTAAACTAAAATAATGAAATTCGAACTTTTTCCGCTGGGGCAACGCACACGAAGTATGCCACTAAAATACGGATCAAAACAAAAAATGATTCTATCAGTATACACAGTATTCGAATATTGGTGTATAACGGGTTCGAAACCCGTATTTAATAATGTTCTTTAATTTGAAGAGTTTATTGCACCGACGACAGGATCAATTTTTTGACATGAAGGAGCATTTTGTATGGGACAATAAAATGGTTGTTTTTACTATTTTCCTCGCATTTTTCCATATTTGTCACCTTTTAAACTTTCTGTGGACTTTCACAAATATTTCAAGACTGGACTGCTTTAGCTAATTAATTAGTTAAATCAGTCCAGCCGTTCCAGAGTTTTAGTGGGTAGCAATTTATTCTTATGTATAAGATTAAGATATCCTGCAGTATCGTCTAATCCTAGTAATATAATTAATTACTCCACACTGACACTATAATAGTATCTACATTGCACCCATGCGAAGCCGGGGCAGGTTGCTAGTTTTAATTTTATTTATACATATACTTTTATAATATTAAATAAAAAATACCAAGTATGTCCAAAAAATACTTTTATTAGCACCTTTAATCTTAATAAACTACAAGTTGTCCTTGTTGTGCTTAATTTACATATGAAGTAGAGAGGTTCTTAAGAACTTTTTTTTTCATCTGATACAAGTCATCTCAGGATGAAAACGGTATCCTTGACTACTTTTTTGATATGATAGATTTATATATCAGACCACTTATAACCTTAACATTTATCCATCTTTCAAGGTGTTAAGCAGATTTCCCATCCTGCTAAAACATTAACAAGTACATCTTGGTTAAGGTTTCAGCAGGACTGTCTCCCTTTAAGTAAGTTAATACTCTTGGATTTCTACACTCCCAATAGTCTATACATCATAGAAATCTTAATTATTTTGTTTGCAGTGTATGTTATATAATTGAATACATTAATTAAAATTATTATGAATATTTCGTCAAAAATTACAAAAAGATAACTAATCAAAAAAACCACCCCGGCCGCTGCTGGCTCAAAAGTACACATCACACTCGCGGCGTTTCTGATTGATAGTCACCAGTCGTCTCTATGACCCTCTGTCAAATCTCCGTTACAATGCTTTTGGTCTTCTTGCTCGGCTAAAGCGACGCCAAACCGGCGCACGTTAAGCCTCTTATTAAAGCTAGCATCTACCGCGGCGGCGATCTTATATTATATTACAATTACATGCTCTTATATTATATTACTACTTACAATATGTATAACTTAAACTACCTCAATGCCTTACCATAATTTTCTAAGAACCATGGCATAAGTATGGGATCATCTTCATGTGAATAACCTTCTGATACTTGAACAGGCTTACCAGGTTGCCATTCAAACAATATGCTTACTAACGGTAATGTTTGTAAATTATTTAATGCCTTTTCACCATATTTGTATTTTACTTTTCTTGCTAGACATCTCTTCACATATACCAAAAATGTATCCAAAAAATTGAAACAGACATTTGGATTCCAAAATCGCTAGAAAAAAAAAACCTTATAAGTTAGGTGTTTTAATACAAAAAAATAATTCACATGACAGTCTGGATACCATAGCACTCTGCCATGTGTAAGTGTGACTGCCATGTGTAAATTATTATTATTACAACTCGAACTACCAAACTGTGTTGATTTAAATTAGTTTATCATTCGATTTTTTGGGTTTAAGAATTGTTAGTTGTAGTTAAAGTTGTACACTTAGCTGTGAAAAAATAAACAACTTAACATTCTGTTGTAAAAATAGTACTAAGAACAGTTCCATCTGCAAGTAAAGAACTGCCACAAAATTGTGTTCCACATTTATGAAAATAGAGTTGTTTGCTCCTATAAAAGAGACATTTTTGACTTATGCACTGTTACAACTTTACTGATGGTCCCTCACATTTTTGTTACATTACAATGTAAGGGGAACATATTGTCTCCAAAAACGTCTGTAAATATTATGCAAGCCATGAATGGAAACACTTAGTTTTAGTATGATCTACTATGAACTACTATTAAAAACAATCCCATTGGAGAGAGTGGTTTTTAGTACATTTACGAGTATTTACGCATATATATCAAAAAATGACAGTACCTGTGCTTTCTTGGCTAAGTCCTTAACATCACATATTCTCAATTCTTCAACAATTCCATCATCATTTCTGTATCCACATACTATTGTATCTATACCAACAAGAAATGATTGACACCACCATTTCTTTGATTTGAAACGCCTAGAATGCATGTTTTATTTATTAATAATGACATCATTTTTAATTCATTTTACTTATAGCCTTTATTTGTGACTCACATTAAAGCAATTTGCGTATAATACTAAATCTAATCTGTAGCTATGAAAATGTGAAATTTTAGTGTAAAAGTTTATGGTGTCATAATCTATAGTACATTCTTTTGTTTAGAAAGGGTTATAGTGTATTTAAATTTATCATATTCGTTTTATGTAGAGGTGTTACACATACATAAAATATATGAGATAAGACACCACAAACTATCCAAGTTTATGTTATGGAAACGATTTACTTCAACATCCTGAATTGAGCATAATTAAGAGAGTGACTTGACTTTGTTCCCCTGGCATCTGTCATGAGAGTAAAAGACCTGTTTCTGCCACAACTGCAGCTCATATAACACTACAGTGCCACAATGCAGGCAATGAATAGGATAGAAAATGTATAGTGATTTCGATTATTATTTGAAAATGTATGTATCTGTTCACCAAGCAATTGAACAATATTTAGAGTGATTAGATTAGATTATTTTTATACAATAGATTTTCTGTTTCTAATATACTTTTGAAAATATACCCTATCCAAAATGAATGAGTAATTTAAGATAGCATTGTATTTCGGACTCCTGTCTTAAAAAGGTGAAGATTTTTACAAAACTCATCTTCAACAATTTTGCTCAATAAAAAAGCCAACCCCAACCTAGTTTGGAAAAAGATTCAGAGGAAAAAAAAATATCCTGCACTTACATCCCTCCCACCTAGGGTTTTAGATATAATTTTTTGAAATCATATTACAACTGTGTAAAAAGTATCAGGAATATGTCAATAAAAAGACCCGCGTAAAGGAGGTCGTTCTAATTTTTTTACTGCATGTTGGTAGCACTGTACTGATTAAGCGCGCAAAATTTGAGCGGGATCTGTCATTTAATTTGTTTTAAACTACACTTTTTGTTGGTGATAGTTTTGAGTCCTCGGCGATTTTTACAATGGAAAATATTGTTGAACAAAGAGTGTGCCTTAAATTTTGTGTTTCGAATGATATTTCTTGTGGTGAATCACTAAAACGCGAAATACCTACGGCGAATGGTGTATATCGAAAACAAGGGCTTATGAATGGTATAAGGCTTTTAAAGAAGGCCGAGAAGTAGTAGTAGACTTGCCTCGTTCTGGTAGACCTTCAACCGCTACGACCACAGAATCAAGAAGCTAGTGCTCGAAAATCGACGTATGAGTCTGAGAGAGTTGGCTAGTGAGGTGAACATATCTTTTCAGTCCGTCCACAACATTCTCATTGACAATTTAGGCATGAAACGCGTCGCCGCTCGACTAGTTCCAAAAGAGCTTAATTTTGTTCAAAAAGCGCAGCGAAGGCATGTCATGGTTTCCCGAGCTTTTACGGATCCGACCTTTATGAAACGTATAATAACTGGCGACGAGACATGGGTTTATGAGTACGACATGCAAACAAGCCAACAGTCTTCAGAATGGCGTCTCGAAAACGAGCCGAAACCAAAAAAACCGCGGCAAAGTCGCTCCAAAATCAAGGTGATGCTGACAGTTTTTTTTGACTACCGTGGTGTGGTTCACTCCGAATTCCTTCCAGAGGGAGAAACAGTGAATAAAGAATATTATTTAGGCGTCATGAAGCGTTTGCGTGAGAGTATCCGCCGAAAACGTCCAGATTTGTGGCAACACAACTCATGGATGCTGCACCATGATAATGCACCATCACACACAGCCATTATAGTGAAAGCGTTTTTAGCGAAAAATTCAACAAAAGTTCTCGACCAAGCACCGTAGTCACCTGATATGGCTCCGTCTGACTTTTTTTTATTTCCCAAGTTAAAATTACCACTTCGAGGAAAACGTTTTCAGTCGATAGAAGCCATAAAAGAAAATTCGCTGAATGAGCTAAAGGCCATACCGCAAATAGCCTATGAAAAATGTATGGAAGACTGGGTGAAGCGGTGGAGATGTTGTATTGCAAGCGATGGGGCCTACTTTGAAGGCGATAAAATAAATTTAGATGAATAATTTGTATTTTTTGTTTTATTGACAAATTCCCGATACTTAGTACACAGAATGTATGTAAGCACTGCTGAGTAAGGCGTGTGCGTTACCCCAGCAAAATAATATCGAAAATGGTCATTTAAACGTTATAGATAATTAGTTGCCCCCCTTCTGTAATTGTTAAGCACATTTTTAAATTTGTTTCACTTATTTTTTTTTTAGTTATTTCAAAAAAACATTTCCTGCTGGGGTAACGTTTGAAACGTTACTGCAGCCAGATATTTTATTTTTTAATTGGAATATTGAAATAAATGTTAGCTAATTAATTAGTTATCTGGACGAGGTAAATGTTACAACTAATTTGGTATTTTTAATTTCTTCGGCTACGAAGTTATTCGAGATCCTGCTGGAGTAACGTTTGTGGGTTTGCTGGATCACTGAAACGGGTAAGCGGATTGTAACCATCTTTTGTACATAACTTCTTAAGGATTAGTTTTAATTTGTTTAACAATAAGATAACAAAAATAATGGACCGTTTAAAAATTATTTAAGAAGTATGAAAACACTTCAATACGTCCTAACACTTTGAACAAGACCTCTAAATACTTACTTTAAACGTTATTCTATTGCTTGTAACTGGCTTCAAATGTACGAGGGCGGGTCAACAAGTCCGTGACTTTTTGAATTTCTAACCTCTTTACTGAAAAAGCAACACTACTTCTGTCAACAGACCCCTGTCAAAATTTGAACTTGCTGCGTCAGTTAGTTTGTGTTTAACAGCTATCTATATCAGACTACCCAGTAATTTGAGGAAAAAATGGAAAAAAGTGAATTTCGTGTGCTTATTAAGCATTATTTTTTGCGAAAAAGAACCATTACCGAGACCAAGGCTAAGCTTGATAAATACTATGGGGACTCTGCACCATCGATTTCAATGGTAAAAAAGTGGTTTGCTGAATTTGGTTGTGGCCGTACAAGCACTGAAGATGCCGAACGTCCTGGACGCCCAGTTGAGGTCTCTTTACTCGAAACAATCGAAAAATATCACGATATGGTGTTGGCCGACCGAAGATTGAAAGTGCAAGAGATTGTGGAAGCCGTAGGGATCTCGCATGGTTCAGTGGTTTCAATTTTGAATGATCACTTGGGCATGAGAAAGCTTGCCGCAAGATGGGTGCCGCGATTGCTCACAGTCGATCACAAACGCAATCGTGTAACAACTTCACAGGAAGGTTTGGCGTTGTTTAATCGCAATATGGAGGAGTTTTAGCGCCGTTTTGTAACCGTGGACGAAACATGGATACATCACAACACACCAGAGACCAAACAACAGTCAAACCAGTGGGTTTCTAAGGGTGAATCGGCGCTAAAGAAGGCCAAGGTGAGTTTGTCAGCCAATAAAGTTATGGCGATATGCACGCGGGATAATCCACATTGACTACTTTCAAAAGGGAAGAACTATCAATGGGGAATATTATGCCAACTTATTGGACCGATTCAATGACGATTTGAAAAAAAACCGACCTCATTTGGCCAAGAAAAAAGTTCTTTTCCACCAAGACAATGCAAGGGTGCACACATGTGCAGTTGCCATGGCAAAAATCCATGAATTGGGCTATGAATTGCTCCCTCATCCGCCCTATTCTCCAGATTTGGCTCCGAGTGACTACTTCTTGTTCCCAAACCTGAAGAAATGGCTTGGTGGAAAAAGATTTGACTCCAATGATGAAGTCATCTCGCAAACAAAGGCCTATTTTGAGGACCTCGACAAATCATATTTTTTGGAAGGGATAAAAAAATTGGAGAAGCGTTGGACAAAGTGTATAGAGCTCAAGGGAGACTACGTTGAAAAATAAAATGATTTATTTATCAAAAAATCTGTGTTTTATTCCAAAAGTCACGGACTTATTGACCCGCCCTCGTATACGAATTTTCGTAAGTATACTGTGACTACAAAGTTATGATGAAATGTAGCTCTCCACGTTCACGATCACAATGTATGGCCTTTTTTGGCTACCGATAAACCTGTGTGTGGATATATAAACTGAATGTTATGCCAATAATTAGTTGTTTAGTTCAGTTGTAAAATTTCAGCGTCGTACATATAATAATTTACGAGATAATTAAATAAAAGTCATTAGAAGGTGCAAGACCGTGGTAAACCGACCATGTTTAGGTGGTTACAAAAAAGCGATCACCCAGTACATTGTGCTGGCTTTTAAAATATGTAGGATATTATTTGCAAGTTTACTACGGATATGTAAATAAGTGTTACAAAAAACTACGTTTTTTTAAATATTTTTTATGTAGGATTGTTAATTGCATAATTAGTAATTAGCCGGGAGATTAGGTATTGTTTTGAATGCTTTTGTTTTCTCGTAATGTTTGGTTGAATTGTTTATAGTTGTTCATAGAATTGGTACCTGTGTAGTATTTGTTAATTGAAGTTTAATTTTAGGGTAGGTATAGGTAATTTAAGTTTTGAAGAGTGTAACGTATGCGTTGTAAAAAGGTATTTTGTGAATAGATTGGGATTTTTTTAAGTGATGAATCGACTAAGGCTAGCATATCGCGAACATCCTTCCAATTCCATCCTTATCAATAAACAGCTGACATCAATTTAATATAAATTTATTTGATTTAAATTATATATTATCAATGTAACTGTATATAATCTTATATTGTTGACTATTTAATTATTAACCATATTATCAGTAGTTAACTTTTGCAATGTTATTATTGTTTGTATTGACTTAATGAATTTAACAGTAATTTAATTTAATCAATTTTCATTAATTTATTTACTTCTAATTTGTGTAATAGTAATTTCTGATTCAAAATGTTATGTTTGACTCTTAATGCAGGCTGTGATCTTCTGTAATTAAGAATACACCAGATCAATAATTTATTATTCTCTGTGAATGCTATGTGATATTCTTGTTGAAGATCCTTAAATAAATAAATAAATAAATAAATAAACAAACTCTGTATTGCAGTATTTCTGTAATAATGTTGGAGAAAATAAAGTATTTAATAATAAAATCGCGGTGAGGTAAATTTTAATAAAATAAATTATTTATGTAAAATTTGTAATAATTGATATACCTACCTACAAGTTATGATCGTTTTTAATTTGTTCACCTCGAACGAAATTTCAATATTAGCTTAAGTAATTAACATCCTAAGACAAGAATTCGCAATTACTTAAATTGAATCTAATTAGCATTAATGCCCACTACTAGTAATTAGGTACACAGATGTTGAAGAATTCTCAAGAATACGATAAATATTTGCAAAAATGCGGAGCGCACACGCACTTTACAAGACGTATATTATCTGCCTAAGGGTCAAGTTTAGTGCACTAGATGCAAATTGCAAACAATGAAGTACCCCTTCGACGCCTCCCCTCCCGCGTTCTAGCTAAAGATGTATTATCGGCGATTCTTGATTGACAAACATTATCTGACCAATAAATTTATCTATAAAAATGTATCACTTTCACTCGATAAATTAAATTACCGTTATTACATCAAAATATTATTTAACAACTGTTCGTTTTTAACAGAAATCAACAGTCACGGGCTCAACGCTTAGCGGTAGGTACATAGGTATAAATAATTCTCGGTATAGACCACAGAACAATTTTACTCTTACGAGGTGTACGACTGTTGGGCGATGCAATGTTGATGCACTTTAATTTACAACTGTATTCTTCTACTATTATGGTCTATTTTAACTTATTGTAGATGACTTGTTGATTTCAAGTGTAAGCTCTATACACCTCAAAATAAAATACAATTACTTCAGTGTTATTTCTTTCCAAAAAGAATCAAAGAAATGAACGATTTCTTATTGGTTTAAATTTTCGATTAATTGCAGTCGGGTGAATCGTTCATACATGTATCTACATATTTATAATTTTAGCGGGCCAGTGCAGATTTTCTGTTGATTGTAGCTCCGGTAGTTAAAAAGACTAAGAAAATTTTAAGTAAAGAAACTAGTGCTTAAGATCCATTAGGAAAAAACAAAATAAATAATAGGTAATAATAATGAATAAATATTGAATGTATTTAACACTGTACGCAACTGTACCGAAATCGTAAGGTGTATTACACTAAACATTTTAAAAGACAGCGCAATGTACTGGGTGATGGCTTTTTTGTAACCACCTAAACATGGTCGGGTTACCACGAACTTGCACCTTCTAATGACTTTTATTTAATTATCTCGTAAATTATTACATGTACGAAATTTTACAGGTAGACTACTGAACTAAACAACTAATTATTGGCATAACATTCAGTTTATATAACCATACACAGGTTTATCGGTGACCATAAAAGGCTGCACACACTGTGATCGTGAACATGGATAGCTACATTTCATCATAACTTTTTAGTCACTTACAGTATACTTAAGAAAATTCGTATACATTTGAAGGTGGTTAGTAGACAAGCAATAGAATAACGTTTAAAGTAAGTCTTTAGAGGTCTTATTCAAAGTGTTAGGACGTATTGAAGTGTTTTCATCCTTACTTAAATAATTTTTAAACGGTCGATTATTTTTGTTATTTTATTGTTGAACAAATTAAAACTAATCCTTAAGAAGTTATGTACAAAAGATGGTTACAATCCGCTTACCCGTTTCAGAGATCCAGCAAACCCACAAACGTTACTCCAGCAGGATCTCGAATAACTTCGCAGCCGAAGAAAATACAAATACCAAATAAGTTGTAACATTTACCTCGACCATATAACTAATTATTTAGCTAACACTTATTTCAATATTCCAATTAAAAAATAAAATGTCTGGCTGCGGTAACGTTTCAAACGTTACCCCAGCAGGAAATAAGTGAAACAAATTTAAAAATGTGCTTAACAATTACAGAAGGGGGGCAACTAATTATCTATAACGTTTAAATGACCATTTTCGACATTATTTTGCTGGGGTAACGCACACGAGTAAGGCTTCATAGACAAGAGAGCCTCGCTGTTAACAGCTACTGTAGGCGACAATCATGTACCGATCAGCGTCGAAGATCAGCAGCAGCCGTCATCAAGTGACAATGCTCATGGGACATTACAATTGCATGCGTTACTTATAGGTTGACGACTACTGCCAATATCAATAGACGGGTGCAGTTGCCTTTGACTTTGATGACTCATATTTATGAAGTTGCTTGACATATTTTGATAAGTGCTTACCTAAAACTTGTTTCCTGTCTTGGATGATCTATATGTCTGTTAGTTTTTAGCTCTATAAATTGTTTGGTATTAAAATAATTTACTATTTCATCTGGACCTTGCTCTGTAGGAGGTTTAGAAACAGGCCCTTGGTCACATCTCAAGCCATCCATTTCAGCCCCATACACTATAGTGTGACTATTCAAATTTGTAGTAAATACCAAAGAAAACTCCTCAGTTTCATCAACTGGTACATCAGGATTTGGCTCAGAATATGGTTCATCTTAAACATAGTAAAAAATTTAAATTAAGTGATAAAGATGTGACATTAAGAAGTCAACCTTCTTGAAGCATCTTTGAAATTGTAATTTAGAAAAAAAAAAATCATTTTTATATTATTAATACTGTTAGCAAGTAAGGTAACAAGATAGTTATTAGTAAAAATATTAGTATAGTAGCATATCAAAGAGACTCTGAGAGAGTGGATATTATAAGTATCATCAACAGCCTTTCATAGTCCACTATGCTCATAGTCCACATATGCCTCTCTTTAGAAAGGAGGTTTTGGCCTATACCAGGTTTTGGTTTACACCATACACGTGTGCGTTACCCCAGCAAAATAATGTCGAAAATGGTCAATTAAACATTATAGATAATTAGTTGCTCCCCTTCTGTAATTGTTAGGCACATTTTTAAATTTGTTTCTCTTAAACTTTTTTAGTTATTTCAAAAAGACATTTCCTGCTGGGGTAGCGTTTGAAACGTTACCGCAGCCAGACATTTTCTTTTTTAATTGTAATATTGAAATAAAATTTATTTTCTTCGGCTGCGAAGTTATTCGAGATCCTGCTGGAGTAACGTTTGTGGGTTTGCTGGATCTCTGAAACGGGTAAGCGGATTGTAACCATCTTTTGTACATAACTTCTTAAGGATTAGTTTTAATTTGTTCGACAATAAAATAACAAAAATAATATGCCGTTTAAAAATTATTTAGGTAAGTATGAAAACACTTCAATACGTCCTAACACTTAGAATAAGACCTCTAAAGACTTACTTCAAACGTTATTCTATTGCTTGTAACTACCTTCAAATGTATACGAATTTTTGTAAGTATACTGTAAGTGACTAAAAAGTTATGATGAAATGTGGCTCTCCACGTTCACGATCACAATGTAAGTGGCCTTTTTTGGCCACCGGTAAACCTGTGTGTGGATATATAAACTGAATGTTATGCCAATAATTAGTTGTTTAGTTCAGTTGTCTACCTGTAAAATTTCAGCGTAGTACATATAATAATTTACGAGATAATTAAATAAAAGTCATTAGAAGGCGCAAGACCGTGGTAACCCGACCATGTTTAGGTGGTTACAAAAAAGCGATCACCCAGTACATTGTGCTGGCTTTTAAAATATGTAGGATATTATTTGCAAGTTTACTACGGATATGTACATAAGTGTTACAAAAAACTACGTTTTTTAAATAATTTTTATTTAGGATTGTTTATTGCATAATTAGTAATCAGCCGGGAGATTAGGTATTGTTTTGAATGCTTTTGTTTTCTCGTAATGTTTAGGTGAATTGTTTATAGTTGTTCATAGAATTGGTACCTGTGTAGTATTTGTTAAATGAAGTTTAATTTTAGGGTAGGTACTATAGGTAATTTAAGTTTTGAAGAGTGTAACGTATGCGTTGTAAATAAGTATTTTGTGAATAGATGGGGATTTTTTTAAAGTGATGAATCGACTTAGGCTAGCATAGCGCGAACAAACTCTGTATTGCATTATTTCTGTAATAATGTTGGAGGAAATAAAATAAATTATTTATGTAAAATTAGTAATAAGTGATATACCTACCTACAAGTTATGATCGTTTTTAATTTGTTCACCCTGAACGAAATTTCAATATTAGCATTAGTAATTAATATCCTAAGACAAGAATTGACAATTACTTAAATTGAATCGAATTAGCATTAATGCCCATTATTAGTAATTAGGTACAGACATATTGAAGAACTCTCAAGAATACGATAAATATTTGCAAAAATAGAAAGCGGAAGCGCACACGTACAACACGTATATTATCTGCCTAAGGGTAAGTTTAGTGCACTAGATGCAAATTGCAAACAATGAAGTATCCCTTCGCCCCTCCCCTCCCGCGTACTAGCGAAGGATGTATTATCGGCGATTCTTGATTGACAAATATCTGACCAATAATTTTATCTATAAAAATGTATCACTTTCACTCGATAAATTAAATTACCGTTATTATATCAAAATATCATTCAACAACTGTTCGTTTTTAACAGAAATCAACAGTCACGGGCTCAACGCTTAGCGTAGGTACATAGGTATAGATAATTCTCGGTTCTCGGTATAGACCACAGAACAATATTACCTACTCTTACGAGGTATACGACTGTTAGGCGATGCAATGTTGATGCATTCTAATTTACAACTGTATTCTTCTACTATTCGGTCTATTTTAACTTATTGTAGATGACTTGTTGCTTTAAATATTTTGATGCATTCAAGTCGTAAGCTCTATACACCTCAAAATAAAATACAATTACTTTAGTGTTATTTCTTTACAAAAAAAAATTCTTATTGGTTTAAATTTTCGATTTATTACAGTCAGGTGAATCGTTCATACATGTATCTACATATTTATAATTTTAGAAGACCAGTGCAGATTTTCTGTTGATTGTAGCTCCGGTAGTTAAAAAGACTAAAGAAATTTTAAGTAAAGAAACTAATGCTTAAGATCAATTAGGAAAAAAAAAACAAAATAAACAATAGGTAATAATAATGAATAAATATTGAATGTATTTAACACTGTACGCAACTGTACCGAAATCGTAAGGTGTTGTAACGGTGCATTTCGCACCATTACAGTAATTTGAACATTAGTCTTGCTTTTGTTTCGTTAGGTTGAATTTTTTGTCGTTTCTGCGAGTGCCGATGGTCGAGGGGCGGACGAGAGTAATAATCGACTAACTAATCGCGGCGAACAACATCGATTATTACTCTCGTCCGCCCCTCGACCATCGGCACTCGCAGAAACGACAAAAAATTCAACCTAACGAAACAAAAGCAAGACTAATGTTCAAATTACTGTAATGGTGCGAAATGCACCGTTACATTACATACCTTCCCAAAAAAAAATAAAAGAAAGGACTCTTTCTTTTATGCTGAAGTCACTACTCAACAAACATAACAAACAAAAAGATTGCAAAATGTCTAAACTCCAAAACTGACTCTACCAAAAACTCTACTAAAACTCTACAAACTCCAGGAATACAAAAATCCAAACGCCAAAAAGGACTAAGAAACTAAATATAAGATCAAAAAAACTCTACAACAGAATCACACAAACCCAAAAACAAATCCCTAAACCAAGCTACCATTAGGACTGGAAAGTCCAAAAAGTGCGGTTGGACACCCTCGTCACCGACTCTAATTGAGCTTCAAACACAACAAAATATACTACACAAACTGCTTCCATTGGGAACTGTATATCTAAAAAGATACCAGTATCCACGAAGTGCGGTTGGACACCCTCGTCACCGACTCTAATGGAGCTTCAAACACAACGAAATATACTACACTAACTGCTTCCATTGGGAACTGCATACCTAAAAAGATACCAAGATCCTTGAAGTGCGGTTGGACACCCTCGTCACCGACTCTAATGGAGCTGCAAACTACTTCACCCTAACATTCAAACACATTTCAAACATGTCGAACCAAACAAAATATTCCTCACAACAAAACGGTGTGAATATATAAAAACCTGTGTATTGTGATCGGCTCAACACCACCGAACTACCGGGCACAATACGACAGAAACCAAACAAAAATATTCATCCCAACAAGGCGGGGAGAATATATAAAAACCTGTGCATTGTGATCGGCTCAACCCCACCGAACTACCGGGCACAATGCAACAGAAACCAAACAAAAATATTCAACACAACAAGACGGTGTGAACATATAAAAAACCTGTGTATTGTGATCGGCACAACACCACGGAACTACCGGGCACAATACAACAGAAACCAAACAAAAATATTCAACACAACAAGACGGTGTGAATATATAAAAAAACCCTGTGTATTGTGATCGGCACAACACCACCGAACTACCGGGCACAATACAACAGAAACCAAACAAAAATATTCATCCCAACAAGGCGGGGAGAATATATAAAAAACCTGTGTATTGTGATCGGCTCAACCCCACCGAACTACCGGGCACAATACAACAGAAACCAAACAAAAATATTCAACGCCTAAAAAAAACGTGAATCCAACTAACAACCCGTTCAACCCTTGAAAAGAGGGCGAACCTAACTCCAACAAAACACTCTACCATGGGTAGAACTGCAAATAAAATACAAACAAAATAATCCTTTGATGTGGTTCCTATTATGAAAGAAGTTCCTATCTTAATAAACCAAAATGACCTAAGTAGACTTTTGAACTCTTAAACCCCAAAATCAATATATCGGTAAGAATACCTCACACTACATCAACATACAAACTACAATAACCTAGCATACATCAATCTACATACTTCCTCACACAAATGTAGAATCCAACAAATATATCAAATTAAGATCTAAAGTTAATGACCGAATAGTGAAATTTTAATATTTAATAATATCTTTAATATGATAGCGACCAGAGGTGTTCTTTGAAAGGTCCTGCAAAAGGTAAACATTATCTGAAATCTTTTCTATAATTTTACATTTAATAAACTTAGGTGCAAGCTTTGCCGAAAAATAAGCTGGAGCATTAGACTGAACAAAACTTCTTCTCCAAACAATATCACCAACATCAAAAGAAATAGTCTTCCTTCCCACATTATAATAACGCGCATTACGTTTATACGCCTTCAACAAATGAGACTCAACTCTAGCAAAAATATCACTAAGTGATTTAAAAGAAAGGGCACAAAGATCCCCTTAACAAACTCAAGTTGGTCCAAACTAACAAAAAAAATTACCAAAACGGTGTAGAGAAGCATCAACAAATTAACTCTCTACTAAACATGAGAAAATTAGGAGTAAAATCAGTAGCCAAATTTACACTACTATTTAAAGCTAATAGAACGTGAGGCAAAAAATTTAGACCAAGAACGTTGGTCCTCTTTAACAAAACATGAAATACAAGTCCCTGTTCGGGCGCCAATTGTAATAATAAAAAAATAAAAAAAAATTAATTAATATGTGTTGGGTGTGTTTTAAAAGAAATAAAAACTAGACTGGTCTGGTGGCATCAAATAGAAACAAAATAACAAAATAAAAGTCTCTGGCGCCCGAGACTTTTATTTTGTTATTTTGTTTCTATTTGATACCACACCAGTTTACCAGTCTAGTTTTTATATTTCTTTTAAAACAGACCCCACAACATATATTAAATTTTTTATTTTTTATTATTACAGTGTATTACACTAAACATTTTAAAAGACAGCGCAATGTACTGGGTGATCGCTTTTTTGTAACCACCTAAACATGTTCAGATTACCACGGACTTGCACCTTCTAATGACTTTTATTTGATTATCTCGTAAATTATTACATGTACTACGCTGAAATTTTACAGGTAGACAACTGAACTAAACAACTAATTATTGGCATAACATTCAGTTTATATATCCACACACAGGTTTATCGGTGGCCAAAAAAGGCCGCACACATTGTGAACGTGGAGAGCTACATTTCATCGTAACTTTTTAGTCACTTACAGTATTCTTACGAAAATTCGTATACATTTGAGGTAGTTACAAGCAATAGAATAACGTTTGAAGTAAGTCTTTAGAGGTCTTATTTAAAGTGTTAGGACGTATTGAAGTGTTTTCATACTTACCTAAATAATTTTTAAATGGTCCATTATTTTTGTTATTTTATTGTCAAACAAATTAAAACTAATCCTTAAGAAGTTATGTACAAAAGATGGTTACAATCCGCTTACCCGTTTCAGAGATCCAGCAAACCCACAAACGTTACTCCAGCAGGATCTCAAATAACTTCGCAGCCGAAGAAAATACAAATACCAAATAAGTTGTAACATTTACCTAGTCCAGATAACTAATTATTTAGCTAAAATTTATTTCAATATTACAATTTAAAAATGAAAATGGAAATGTTTTTTTTGAAATAACTAAAAAACTTTAAGAGAAACAAATTTAAAAATGTGCCTAACAATTACAGAAGGAGAGCAACTAATTATCTATAACGTTTAAATGACCATTTTCGACATTATTTTGCTGGGGTAACGCACACACCATACACAGCAGCCAGACAGGTTTGCATAGGCTTTGTGTCAACTTTGTCTCATCTTTGCAGGGCTGCTGTCCTGTATAGTTTGCTCCCTTGGTCAGCTCTTACAACACCCAAAGGATGAAAATGAGTTTTGACAGTCTATATTCTTGGGAGGGCCCAAAGGAGTCAGTCAGGTGTATCAAGAACCTATTCAAGACAGCCTAGTTATGTGACCTTATAAATATTAGTTGCTGTTCATACTAAGGTCCATGTGGTGACATATTAAGAATACAGAGTGTCACCACCCCTATTCATCCCTTGGGTGTCGTAAGAGGCGACTAAGGGAGCAAACCACGCAGGATAACAGCACTGCAGAGAGAAGGAAAATTGGCGAACAAAAAGGCGTGGTATAGTAGGCCAAAACCTCCTTTCTTAGGAGAGGCCTATGTTCAGCAGTGGACTATTAAAGGCTGTTGATGTGATGATACTGATTAATATAGGATTCATCATTCAGAGTAAAAGTATCATAACACAATTGTATAAGAAACAACTACGAGGTAGGACAGCACATGTTTATTTTACATACATCTACCGAGTGACAATGAATTTTGCTTTCTTTGTTTGTCTTTCAAAGGATTTCGTTATCATTGATATAATTACTGGCTAAATGTTATGTAATTTGCTAGTAATTATTTCATTGTGGGATAAATATTTTAGAATCCTTACCTGATAAAAGGTATTGTTCAAACTTGTACCCCCATGAAGTAAACTGCTTATCTCGGTCAGTCATATTAAGTTTTCGATTAATTTTATCATCTGTATCTCTAGCGCAAAGGTAAATATTCCCTTTGTGTAAAATTGCTACGATTTTCCATGATTCTCTATTTTCATATGGAGTACAAGCAACACAAGTCAATAACCCTCGATAACAGAAGAATTTGGCGCGATCTAAACTTTTCTCTATGGGATAGTTTAATCTACGTTCATTTTCTAATAAGAATTTAAGCAACTCTGTAAGCTTCACGTCGAAATCTGCTGGTTGATGTATTGCTTTATCCAAATGTAAATTTAAGTCATAGTGAACCCTATCGTTACATATACGGCGTGCAAACTTTAAGTTTTCAAGACCTATGTAACCGATAACTTTAGGCCGATCGAAATGAGGGAATGCTTTCATATAAATATTAGGCTCAACATGAAGTTCAGGTTGCATTTTGATAACTCCTATCTATTGCATCAATAACCGATCAAAACATTAAAACACTTCTTTACACTCGTTTATTGCTGAAAAAAATCACTACTACATACTGCACAGTGCACTCTGTGAAAAAAACAGCTGACACTAGAGTTGTGTAGCTCCTGAGTGAGTGATATAAAAGATATATATCATTCACGACGATAAAATGTATCACTCACTCACACTAGCTCCGAATATATCAGTAACTCACTACTAGCTCACTAGATCACTAGATCACTACCTCAACGACGCCGATCTTTGTTTCATGAGCTAGTGAGACTAAAGATAAATGAGTGAGATAGATGATGGTTGAGTTCACGCAGGTTTCTTTATGCAAAATGTACATTATTTCTGTAGGATCAAAGTTTAATATTACTTAAGAAATAAGCCAAGTACAAGGAAAATCAAATTATGTATGATTTCTATTATACAACCTAAAAAGAGTACAAGAAATAATTTCTTATTTTTAATTATTATGTAAAAGGATGTTAATAATTATGTAATCTTAACAAAATGAATTAAATTGTATTTAAAAAAAATTGGTTAAAAATGTAGTTTCAAAAACTGAATTTAGGTTAATATGAAAATAAAGAAAGGTTTGTATGGCGAGAGAGGCTTAAAGTGAGTGATATACGAGTATACTGAGCTAAACGATCTAGATGAAGAAATGAATTAATTGTGAGACCAATCAATTGAATCGGATCAATGAGCCGTGGGTGTACTACCGGGTGGGCGACTAAGGGAGCAAACTAAGCAGGACAACAGCACTGCAAACAGAAGGAAAACTTGAAACAAACCCTATACCAACCCGTCTGGCCAGCGTGGTATAGTAGGCCAAAACCTCCTTTCTAAGGAGAGGCCTATGTCCAGCAGTGGACTAGTATAGGCTGTTGATATGATATGATAATGAGCTAGTGAGCTAAACGAGTTAGTGAGCTAAATGAGCTAGTGAGCTAGATGAGTGATATATATCTTTTGAGCGAAATGATATATATCAATCTTTTCATGATACATTCATACATTTTGCGCATCACTAGCTGACACACGTCACACAGGCATAGAATGTGACCGTTATGAAATATTACTAATCTACTAAATTCGTCAACTTTTTCTACAAAAATCTACTGAAATCTACTGAAGTAAAAAAAAATCTACTGAAATTCTACCAATCTACATTTTGATGCATTTGAACATTGTGGTTGAAATAAAACATGGTTTATTATTTTAATTAGATTGAGAATATTTATTTTGCTGCTTAATCTAATCATATTAGAATCAGGCACAAAGTTTGTACAATTTTCTCCACTATTAATTATCCCTTGTTTTGTGTGCATAAGCGATGATATGTGTGTATTTAAAAACCGATTACGATGTTTAGTTTTAATTAAATTAACTTGCGAAAATATACGCTATCCTGTGACACTGCAGAGTCACTGGACGACGCCAGTACATTTTGTACGTTATTGTCATATTTTAATTGACGATACTCTTCGTCAATTAATTGTTGAGTAATTTCGTCGCAAACTACATTAGAAAACCGTTGAGTCAGTGATATGAGACTAGAAAACTGCTCATACGCTGCTATTTGGGGGTCTAAAAATATTAACTCCCTAAAGAAATGATGTTCTATTGGCAGTCTCTTTTTCAATTGCATGCATAGCTCAATTAGAAATAACCGCGACCTTCTCAAAAACGCCTGCATTCTTTGTGTATGATCCCTACCCATATTTAAAATTAATTTTGCTACTTTTACACCCAAATACATTTGATTAATATTAAGCAAATTTATTTCACTGCTAGGATCAATGTTTTTTATAGAAGTCGCTGTTATGTATCCATTTTTTATAAAACAACTCAGTAAGGCCTTATACATATCGCTCATATCCCTATATAATCGATGGACGGCACTATATTCCGATTAGAAAATTGTGTTAAATTAAATTAACAATTGGTAACACATAATCCAAAAACAAAAAGTAAAATTTTGTTACATTATCATCAAAATTAACTTTTAAAAATTCAGCTTTAAGATTGCGATCTAATAAATATTGATTATTAAAATACAATTTCAAAGCGTCCCATTGTTCAATTATTCTTTTTACACAGGCATGTAAAGAAGCCATCTGATCTTATAATGTCGCAATAAATTGTGATTTTCGGTGTCAACAAAATTTTGAAATTAGGAAAATTCTCGTTGTCGCTTACTGCTGTGACCAAAATAGTTGTGAACATCTTTAACAATCTGGTCAATATTTCGAGGCAGTTCTTTACATGCATAGCTTACAGATAGCGAAACAGAGTGATATACACACTTTACAAAAATGCAATGAGGATTAATAGACTGTATTTTTGACACACACTCCTGTTAGTACCAAAAATTACATTAGTTGCATCCGCGGCAAAACCAAGTACGTCTGCTACATTTAAATTATTTTTTTCTAAGCCATTCGATAACGCATCAAAAATATCTTGTGAAGATTCTCCTTCTAAAGTAATAGAAAATAAAAATTTAGTCACAGCACATTTATGTTGTGTAGAGTAATACATAAGTGCTCCAGCTAGAATTTTGTCAGTGCTAACATCTATAGTCTCATCAATTATTATATAAAATATGTTTTTCCCTGAAGGCGACTTACATGAAACAACATCTTCGAATAGTTTTTTTTCGAATATTGGTGCTATAGCGTCGCTTTGTTCGCTTGCATGTGAATGCCTTTGCTATCTCTGAGTCGTGAAATGCTCGTTTTAAGACGTCGCTCAAGTGGTCCATGAATCTGAAAGGTATGTTGTGTTTTAAAACTTGGAAGTTTTTGATTGTTATTATTATTTTACTGAATTAAAATGTTAAATTAATAATATAATAGAATAGTTATAAACTTTCCGATAATATAAACAAATATACATACCCGTGAACGCCCACTGTAATGTTTCATATTGTTTTCATGTCTGCTACTACCACTGTGTTCTTTAATAGACGCTAATCTGCTTAAAACTTTAACACCGCAAGCTTTACAGAAAGCATGATTATTACTGTTTATATCTTTACAGAGCCACGAAGCAAATAATGGGTTTTGTTCCCATTCATTGCGATAGTTTTGTTCAAAGTTACGTTTCATTCTAATCAAAAGTACGTGTTGCATCCGATTGCCACGAGATCTGAACGAATTTTGTATGAGAATGACATATTGTCATAAAGCAATAAAAAGAGAAATTACCCTTTAAACTAGTTTAAATGATACTCTGAATCGTAATTAAAATAATTATTAAAATATATTCTATTCTCAAAACATTAGAATGCAAAATTCCGTGTAAGTCGGGCAAAAGTATACAGTCGGGGGAAGCCCCTGCTACAAACAATACTAACGCGCGCGCTGCCATTGCTGCCAACATTATTTATAGGCTTGGACACAAGTCCTTTCAGCCAGGACCATTGTTGCGTCAAATCTACTGAAATCTACTAGATGTTTGGAAACTACTGCATGGCCAAATTTTCATTGAAATCTACTGCTGCAGTAGAAAATCTACCGTAAACGGTCACACTGGCACACCTTTAGCTTGAGGCAATCGTTAGACAATCTAATCTGTGGACTGAATAACTATGTACGTATCTCTTAATCTGTGGACTAAATAACATTTGGTGGGTTGCCGCGTTATCATTTATCATAATATAAAATCGTTTTGAATCCTGAATGATCAAGTTTAGGTAATAACGATTAAGATAACGCCATTCAATTTATAAAAAAAAACTTTTTTAACAATTATATCTAGTTTTTTATATGTGTTTTTATTTCTTCAGCAATCCGTGTTTTTGTGGTACGCGCTATGTTCTATGCTTCAAGTTTGTTAGTGTTAACTCTCGATAACTTGATTTGTAAGACCGAAACTATTCAATACCTGCTATTCAGCCTTTTTCCCAACTAACAGTATATTGGATATTATTCACTTTCGCTATTTGATAAGCAATAGGGCCAGTGGCGGATTATCCTAAGGGAAAGTAGGCACGTGCCTAGGAGCGCGAGGTTACAAAGGGGCGCACGCGCAGAGTTTTTTAATTAAGAAATAATATGTGCCTACATAAAAACAAACTTTGTCCGTAAGTATGCACATACTTACACAATTTAACTATTCCTTAATTCTACAGATGTTTAAAGTTGACATCTGGGATTTATATTACGTAATTGCCACTACTTTATGCTTTTATTTTCTGATACCTACGAAGATTGAGGCTAGTACTTGCACACAAAAATGGTGTTGCTACAACTTTAGCAGTAGTTGAGATTACTCCATAAGTTGTAGTAAGGGACCAGGGTTGTCCAGTCCATGGCACTATACGGTGTTATGGTGTGGGCGGAAGCTCTAGTCGCCCAGAATAAGACGTGCCTCTGAGGGTGCTAACAATCAGAGGGTAGTGTCGGATCTCTCCCATGAAATTTAAAGGCAGAAATGAGTGGCTAAAGGGCCACGATGACTCGTTGGTCGTCCCAGATGGAGACTCCACGTAATGGCTGTGGCGCCATGAAGACGGTCCAGCTGGTCATCATCTAGGGGCAGAGTGGCAGTACGGGACCTTTTACTACAGACTGACGCAGGTCTTTGGCAGGCGGACGTCTTCTAAATGAGAGTTTATCCCCGAAGGTGGTACCCACGCTTTTAAAGGGAAGGCGCTAGCTGGTGTCGGCGTCACGTGCTACGCGGCCGGTGCTCCTGACGGCGTGCGTTAAGGCACACCATGTTGATCCGGCGGGTGGGACTCGAGGTGTCTCTGCACAAATCTGAGGTCTTTCTCTTTCATGAACGTCGATGGGGGGCCACCTGAGAGATTCAGTCTCATAGTAGGAGGAATTCGTATCGACATCGAGGGCTCGATGATGAATTATGAATGCCTCCTACCGCATCTACCGTATCTGCCGCTCGTACCGGGTCGGGATCGTTGGACTCGAGAAACTCGAGAGGCTTAGAACTCTCCCGGTCCTATAGGCCCGGGTACAGGTGAGGTACTGCAGGCGTCGGAGGTCGCTTAATGAATAACATACTTAGCACTCTTGAGAAGCTTTTTTTAAGCTCATTCCTTGTCTTTTTAAATAGCTCCGAGAATATTTTCACCTGAGTAATCGCCTTTCTTGCCTTTTAGTTTTAGTACACAAAAAAATAATATTAAGATTAATAGAGATTAATCTTAATATTATTGTTTTCAATCAATAATAGTTGTGTGGCTAGAGAGCCACACAACTATTATTGAACACAATAAAACACTCATTGTTTCCTTTGTGTACTAATTGTACCATTGTTATCTTTTTGATCGGGGTAACTCACTCAACTGAGAGACAGTATGCCTATTAATCTTCGACCTTTGACAGTGTATGCATGTTTTGGCCCATGTTCCGACGTCTTTGTTTATTCCAGGCCAATAAAATCTATCTGACATCATCTTCCTAGTGCTTCGTACCCCTGGCTGACTGGGACCGTGTACTGCGTTGAATGCGGAATGGCGGTAGGTACTGCAGTGGTAAACAGGGTCGAAATGTGCCTGAGGAAGTCAGTCAATTTATTTTTTGATTGGAGCCGGGTAGAGTGTACTTCTTAAAGGTCAACTTGGGATTTTTTAATAATTCCGGGATCGCCTTGCTCTGTTGTTGATCCGCGGCTAATTCCTCGTAGTTAATAAAACTAAGGAACCTTATTTCCTCTATTCTTGATATTGCATCCGCGTTTGCGTTGTTCGAAATCGAGTTGTCGAAGTCTCCTCGGAGTGTCATTACTCGACAAGGCTTTGTTTAGTGTGTATGTGAGCGGTTTGTGGTCGTTGAGAATAATGAATTCTCTCCCTTCGATCATATGTCGGAAGTGTTTGATCGACATGTATGTAGCCAACAGCTCTCGGTTGTAAGTAGAATACTTTTGAGAAGAAACCAAGAGGTTATCATTTGCCATCAACTTTCTGTTGGAGAACTAAACCAGTTCAGACATCTGAACAATCAGTCACGAGCGTGAGGGGTGACGTCATGGAGGGATGAAATAGTCTAATAGCGCTTCGGATGCTCTCTTTACACTTTTCAAAAGCTTTTTTTCCCTTTTCTGTCGGTAATGGCCCCTTATCGTTCTTCTTCGCGTCTTGCAGATAGTTGTTCAATTCCCTTTGGTATTCAGCGTAGCCTAGAATCGTCTCAACTGTTGTATCGTCTTTGGCATGGGGTAGTTGGTAATTTTCCATTAAAATTTCTCATGCCAAAGACGATGTTGTTTAATACTTTACTACTAAAATACCTTTTATGATATTCGATCGAAAGTTAATCGGAACTGAATCGTAACCGAACGTTTATTACGAGAATATTCTGGAATCACATGGTGCAGGTCCTCGCTAGAGTAGTGCGTAAAGCCGGCCGTCGAGGTGGTTTTTAGTGGAAACACTACATACTCCTGGCTAATGTACCGCGTACAAAAGAAGCAGACATTTTGTTATTAGAGATGGGGATCTTATAACTATCAAAGTTTCAGTCGTAAGTTCAAAAAACAGAATCAATTCCTCTCCAATTCTAATATTAAAACTATAATTGAAAAGACAATTGTCAATGCCTACATTTCCCTGGAGCCAAAGTAAAATGTCGTTTTAACTCATTCCAATATTTATTTATTTCAAACAGGCCCTATAGACAACCGTGGCTATTACTAACCTTGACCAAATTATTATTTATTAATGGGTCACCCGAGTGTTAATTTTTTGGAATAATGCTCTACATTTATACACATACAGCCGTTTTGGAAAATTCAGGAACCATTTCTACATTTCTCTTTTTAAAAATTCTATGTTACGTTGCCTTTTGCAAATCGCTTTAAGAGACATGCCATTTGCGGTCCAATGACTGCTAGTTACAGTTTAAGAAAATATGACTTGCCTCTGAACCTCCAGATTCAAATTAAATGTATTCAGGAATAAAGAATGTAATGTCTACAGGAATTCAATATTTAAGAATTTTTGAATCGATTCCTTTTGCAATGGCAAATTTTGTTTTTAGTAGCTTGGCAACATAACTAGTATGTGTATGTGTCAAATGCGATTGAAAGTAATGCCAAATTTGAAAACGACGGTTTGTTTAATGTATATATTTAAAAACATAGAAATCGCTTCTGATATGTACCGTTTGCTGGTGTAAATTAAGTGTAAATATTGGGCAAAGCCCGTTTTGATAGTTGGTGTCAAGAAGACTCAGAAAATGGGTTCCCGGTTTCAAAAGTGTCGATTGTGTTTGAAACTTGGCGAGTTTTGTTCTATATTCGACCAAGATGACTCCATAAAGTTATCGGATATGGTTATGTCTTTTACCAGTATTCAGGTTAGTGTTCAACTGTCCTTGTAACCTTGAAACTTGTTTATCACAGTGCAGTGCCATGCTAAATGTATTTGCGTTATCTTTTAGATTTATGAAGGTGATGGTTTATCAGATCGCGTATGCACTTCGTGTATTGAGAATTTAAGCACAGCGTACTTATTTAAACAACAATGTGAAAGAATTGACATGTTACTCAGAAAATGTCCAGGTATGTTCATTATCCGTACTTACATGGACGACGGTAGTCACTTACCATCAGGTGAGCCGTCTGCCTGGCCGCCTATGACCTAAAAAAATCTTCATTTGAAAAATTAAAAAAAAAATCGAGTCTATCACAACATTTTATGCAACAACAATTTGTTTGCTTAACTTAATTATAACACTGATAACCTTCACAAATTTCTCTCGTATTTAACTGTGCTTCATAATTGTTGTCAGATACCAGCTTAAATGAATCATCTGTAAGTGACTACAATGATTTCTTTAACAAGGAGTTTCATATGCATGATGGTTGTGATAGTACCATCGAAGAATATGTCACTGCTGAGGGTGATAATGATGAGAACTTTTTTAAAGACAATATGGAAGGAAACAGCTTTCAAGAGATCAGTGATGAGACTGATAGTGATGTTGATTCTATTAAGTGTGTATGCTGTAATGAGTCTTACAGCAAGTTAGGCACTCACACTTGCAGAACGACATGTACCATTGAACAGAATCAATTGCAACGGTCAAGTAGTAATGAAACTCTTGTGGCATCTGATGTCAGGCCTCTAATACCACCTGCTCATTCCACACAGCCATTGCAACCGAGGGCTACAAAACCACTGCCAGACATTCCAGAAAATGTTGATATCACTTGTGTGTTGTGTGATGAAAAGTATGATCAGTATGATCAATATGTCATACATCTTAATAGATGCACAACAAATGTTAAGCTACATCACTTTGTTTGTTCTGCATGCCATGACATGTTCACTGAGAAGTTGGCTTACTTAGAACATGTCAAGCTACAACATTTTAAGGTCACTACTAAGGAGAGAGTAGTACACTATACAGCAGGCTTTATAGATTCTGGTGAGGATTGTGTAGATTTTGTTCCAACACTAGAGAAAATAAGAAAACCAAAGGCGGTGCGACGACAAATAGGTTGGTCTGTTGAGGATATTTACCAAGAAATTGAGTGTAAAAAAAAGTTGGAAGAGGCAGAAACACCCACCACAAGTCCCTTAAAAAATTTCTTTTCCAAGTTAGGGAATGAGTGAGTTACAATTTAAGTTTTGGCATGCCTGGGACATCTACCTAAGTATTCAAACATTTAACATTACTTCTGCTCCAACTAATGGGTAAACAAATGCTTTATTGCTCCATAAAATGTAAATATTCACTAAACTTAAATGTGCTTCTATGTAGTTATGTCATTTAATATATATTTGGCAACTTTCATTTACTATTTCACTTTTCAATCCATACTTATATAAGGAACCTGAATAGTTTATGTTTGATTGTTAGTTTGAATGTGTTAATTTTGAGAACTATCAGTCAGATTTCAATAAGCTTTTTGTATTAGAAATGTTACATCACTCTTCAACCCCTAGAAGTGGAGTGATGAGGTGCAGTAGAAGTGGAGTGACTACAGCAAATTAGTTTTCTTTAATCATTATATTTTAAGATGGGCTCTCATGGTACTCTTAGTTTATAAATAGTTGAAATCTGTGTAATGACTTATAATCTTTCAAAGTAATGACTTATAATCTTTAATAAATATTTATACTTGTTTGTAGTAATGGTGAAGTAACACTTTGACATAACATTGCTAAGTGTGTCATAGTTTCGAATGTGTGAATGTCATATTCCGTTGTTTAATATAAAAAAAGCTACAAACACTTTTTGTTAAAGAAACATTTTTTTTAAGGAAAATGTGCTGCAGTATTTTAGATAATTAATGAACTCAGTGATTTGGGTGCTATGTAAGGCTCCCAATTTCTTTATCATCAAAAAAAAATGCAAAGAGCTACTGACCTATAGTAATGTTGTACTGTCATGGTGTTTAAACAGGCCTTGATTGCTATAAAAGTCTATATCCAAATTTGACCTCCAAGGTGTTTCATTCAGATGTAATTGTGTTTGCAGAAGTTTAAGTAGACAGAGTACTCCTAAGAAGGTGAGTTTCCGAAAGTTGATTGAGACTGGAAAAGAGAAGACAGCAAGTTACTTGCCATTCCAGAAATATATTCAAAACTACAAGTTGAAGAAGAAAGCGAATGCTTACAGCCCAATTAAGAGCAAGTTACAAGTATCCACAAAAATCAAGACAACATTGCCGGAGTTGACCTCAGGTAAATAGAGAAGTGTAAAAGTAAATTCTATAATGATTTTTACTGATACAGATGTTTACTTCATGTCTATATGCTTTGTACATAAAGCTAGTGTTGCTATTTTCCAATTTTTGTCAAATTGAATTTTATTTTGAACTTAAAGTCGTTCACTGATTAGGACCATGTAAATTGCCTTTTCTTTTATTTGAATTATAAAAAAATATAATATTATTATTTCAAATTATTAGACAGTGACTATCACTCTCCAAGTGGCACATCAGAGGAATCATGGAGATTGAAGCAGAATTTAATATGTGCTTGTGACAAAAAAGTGTTCATGCTCTCGGAGTCATTAAATGTAAGTTAAGTTATTCGTTTTTATTTCATAAAAAATATTCATGTTAATCAAAATTTTTGTGTACAGAGTTATTGGCTTGTTCTTTTTTAATGGATATTTTTATGCAGGGTTGATTAATTAATAAACAAACTTGTAGTAAAACAGGTTTGTTAACTCTTTAAATACCTGTTTTCTTTATGATATGAGTAGGTACAACCTTCGTCCAGTGAAAGGTGTAATGGTCAGGCTAAAACAAGATGGGTTCACCTACTAGAATTTACCCTCTCGACAATATCTGTTAATAATAAGTCTTTATTTACAGAATCGCGATAGAATAGCAGCAATGATCTCTGAGCTGGGTGGAGTTGTAGCCGAAAACACAAAAATGGAAATGTTGGCAACACATTTTGTAGCAGTATTGCCAAATGATACATTTACTGGCATGATGGTATGCGCTTTAGCTACCGGCAAGTGGTTAATTCATGTCAACTTTATTTATGACAGCTTTAGGTGCAAAAAGTTCCTTCAGGTAAGGGATTTTATTAATATTGTAGTTATAAGTATGATTATAATAAAATGTAGTGACAGATACGTGTTGCTACCGCAAGGCGATAGGCTAGAGGGCCTAGTATAAGTTTATTTCACATGAACTCGCTCTCGACGGCGAGCGCGTTTGGCGTTGTGATTGGTTCGGATTTCATTGCTGGCCAATCACAGCACCGAACGTTCGAGTCACCGGACGATCGAGTTACAAAATAAACTCGCACTTGGGTCTCTGATCGATCAGATAAATGTCAATAAAAGAAAATGGTGAAATTGAGCAGGTACTTCACAGTAAACAACATAAGCTCATGAGTCATATTGTCATATTGGTTAAAGTTGTATACTGAGTATCATACATCCAAAAACTATGAGATGTACAGTTTTGCTTTAATTATTATTACAAAAATATTGTTCTACAGTCACTCGAATGTATGTTATGTTGATCTATTTATTACGATCGTCCGTCGCATTTGACTGCATTTTAGTTAAAGATAGAATAAAATGCTGTTTTCATCAACAAATCAATATTTAGTCAACTAATTGTCATTTTTATGGGCGTCTAACATTAACCGGTGGGCCGCGGCAGGCATGATCACCTCGCCTCGTCGGAGGATACTCCCTTTGTGTTGGAGGGACATGATACCCGTTCCTTGACGTTTTCATGCAGGAAGGCTATAAGCTATATAGCCTTCCTCGATAAATGAGCTATCCAACAATAAAAAAAAACAACATGCACCAACACCATCAAATTGATTGATGGTGTTGGTGCATGTTTCCTGAGACTAGCGCGTTCAACCAAAGAAACAAACTCTTCAGCTTAATAATATTAGAATAAATTATGTCACAAGTAAACATGATGGTTAATTATTCCCATAATGATGTAACCCGGTACACGAACATTTGACTAATACCGAGCGGTTGGAGTTTGCCTATATACAAATATGAAAAACAAAGCAACCCACAAACATAAATTATAATTAAGTACTGTAATGGTGAGCTAACTTGTCCCACTGTGCACGTACTTACTAAGATAGGGTACGTAAGCTACACCGCCAGCGTGGTGTTTGACGCGAACATTTCCCTGAGTACCGTGACCGAAGAGGCAGTGAGCTGTGGCGTGCCGTTGGCGGTGTCGTTGGACATCGCCTACGCATACAATAGTCTGCCAAGCACTCCATTATCATTGGGTGCCAGAGTACCTGAGGCGGTTGGTGGCAGACTATTTAGAGGAGCGTACCGTCGTGTACGAGGACCGAGATGGTAATTTGAGGTGTCGGCCAATGTCGTGCGCTGTTCAGGGGTCTGTTCTTGGACCCCTGCTGTGGAACATAGAGTACGACTGGGCCCGGTCGAGCTGTTTTTTCCCCAGGATGGGTGTAATTTGTTACACCGATGACACATTGGTCACGGCCCGGGGGACAAAATCCCACCGCAATTAAATCTGTTGCGTGGTTTGAAATATCTAAGCGTACAAGAAAAAAAAGCGACTTCATTTTATACTATGTAAATATAAAAAAAACTACTTGTTCACTATAGATTATATATGTATGTATATAAATATATATATAGACTCCTAAACTACTTTTTTCAGGAGTATCTCTACGAATGGTTAAAGCACCCCAAAATTCTTGAAATAGACCACACAAGCGTAGAAGTAGCTAAGGCGGCGGTTTACTGGCATCTTGAGTTAGATGAACATAGTGCTCAGTATCCTTTCGAAGGGAAACAAATAGTACTTATCATGAAGAAGAAGTACAGACAATATTATCAGATGATATTCAAGACTCTTAAAGCGAAACCCGTTACTTACGATCCACGGTATGACTTTTTTTTTCTATACTACTCCGTTACTACATGAATCAGAGTGATGTGGCTTTTATTAGTAGGGTGATGAGCTATCTGAACCTTGTAGAAGCAATGCTAATGAACCAGTAACTAATAACCAGGTGCTAAGATTCGAGTGAAGTCAACTTTAATATGGATAACTCTTAGGCTTGACGTGGGGTCTGTGGTCTGTATTGAATGCTGAATGTACAGTAATTCGCTCATTTGGTTAGGTCTAGATATATCTGACGATCGTTGAAACATATAATTTCTCTCAGACAGATAAAAGTTAGTAGCATACTATAGTTAAACCGCCGTAAGCTTGGCCCTCCTGATGGTTTGCGGGACGCGGGGCGGGTGATGCGCTCGGCTTTACATGACACGATGTACTAACTCGATATCTTCAGATTTATTTGTTTGAGATTTAATCTACACACGATGTTATAAAAATCGAATTTATTTCCATGTGTTATAATGTCAGTGTATTGTAAGTTTTTATGATTAATTGTAAAATTTAATACTGTAAAATAATTTTAATAAAATCACCTTATCTTCATCATGTAAATTATATTCAGATACAATTTAAAAATTAAGTAAAATAATAAATATTATTTATTAGAACTTTAACAGTAGAACCTCTGTAAGCCGAACTTCAAGTTTTTAAATCTTTTTGTGACGCAGAGTCGGCAGATTATCCATGTTGCAAAATAATACCGTGTGTAGCAGTCTTAAGAAAAATAACACGTACAGCCATGCTTTCACGTCAGTCACTGCCGGCGGACAGCGACGCACTAGCTAATTGGTTGAATGCACACCCGCCCCGCGTCCCCCAAACCATCAGGAGGGCCAAGCTTACTGCGGTTTAACTATAGTAGAGGGTTCTAATTTTTGCATTTAGATTAAAAAACGGTCCTTTGTGCGTATGGGTAAGGCTACGTGAGCCAACGGAGCTTGTTCCAGAAGCACAGAAGCCTCCTGTGGTGGTTTAGGAGAAGTGTTTAGACTTCTAGGACCGATCTTGTATCATCAGATATATAACACATTGAAAACATAGTTACCCATTTAACAAACGAAACTTATCAGTCTTAAAAATTCCTTAGCATTATTAAATCTTTATTGGAAATCATCATGAATAATTGATTTTTATTTGAATAAATTTCATTTTTTTTTAAATATATTATTCACAGGACACCCGGCAGTTGCTGCACAGCTGATTACTGTTTCGTTGACATGAAAATTATTGAAAGAGTAAAGCTTCGCTTTTTCGCCCGCCACAATGTCCCCGTATTTCCGTACCAATATATATTGGTATATTTGCTCAAGAGGGGGCAGGTGGAGGATGAACATAAGTATCTATTACAAGACTGTAAGAAATATTCTAAAGACACAATGTTTTTGTTAAACAACACATACTAGAGGCCTATATAATATTGCCATTAAAACTGCTAATTTATAATATTGACAGAACTTGTAATAGTGTTTAGATTCGGTTTTAGACTTACGATATAGCAATGTATTAGCCATGTAAGTATGTCAGAAATATTCTAAAGACACAATGTTTTTGTTAAACAACACATACTAGAGGGGCCTATATAATATGGCCATTAAACTGCTAAATGATAATATCGACAGGACTTGTAATAGTGTTTAGTTTCGGTTTTTGACTTACGACATAGCAATGTATTAGCCATGTAAGTATGCCAATCATTGATGACTCAAAAAGTGTTACGTTATTGCAATCAGTTATATGTTAAGAAGTAAAGAAATTTAGATAGTTGTACCTAGACCAAACTAAGCATAGGCACTTACAGTGCAGATAAGAAATATATTAATGTACCTTTTTCTAATATATTTCATACTTGACACACCTGACCTGACTTACCATGACCTGACTACATATTAGCTATATTCACTTAAATCAGCTGGATCAAATTGGTCGTTTTATAGCAGTAATAATAAATATGGGTATACACACATAAATGCATTTAAACACATACTTATACATACATAAACATAACTAATACATAAATAAGTTGAAAGGTTTTAGCGATTTAAAGTTTAAATAATTCTAAATCAATTGGTGCTTAATGCTTACACTATCGTGATAATGCACGACGCGACGTGGTCACTTTTTGATTGATGTCTAAAAAAAGTTCAAATGGTAACACGACTGAATAGAATCTTCCATTAACGAATTTAACCACGAGTTATCAAAAATATTGTTATTCTTATTATTGTTGCGGAGGTGTATGGGTAGGTTAGTTAAAATTTTATTTGTGTATTTTATACAATTGCCATATTAATTAAGTATAAAGACATTTACTAGTAAAAATTTATTTCTAATAAAGATATATTACTCTTTTATTTGTTATCATTTCTGTAGTTTTATAGTTAGAGCCATCGCGCACTTGTGATTAATCAGCCTATAGTTAGCTAGTTCGTTTTAGGCAATCACAAAGTACGCAAATTCGTTGATTAAAATCGAGAGATCAAACGGACCTTGCATAACATCCGAAAAGTATGCAAGCTCGCATTGCATTCAACTAACCATTTGTTTTTAGGCAGTTTGACAAAACATTTTCTGTCTGCTTCTGGCCTACACCACAAAAAGTGAATTGACAACCGATTTGGTAGACAATGGTTAGCGACTAAACAGTCGTTCGACTTAAAATCACCAGTGGGCGGTGGCTCTGAAAATTCTCTTTAACGTGTCGCTTGGGCTTTAGATTTCTGCACAGGATGTGGCGCTCTGAAGTAGTTTTTATAGAATTTAACCTGTTGGGACGATAAGAAATAAAGTTTAATATTTGATAATCGTACGCAAATATAACTCGCTACTATTAATCACAATTTTATAGCAAAGCACGGTCTGTATTAGTGTATGCAAGCTGATTGTAGGATGGATGCGTAAAATGACTAAAAATTACTTGTTATCTGTGTACTATTTAGTATAGGAAACTATTTAGAGTATTAGTAAATTGCATTGCATTTAAAAGATACAATTTTAACTTATATTAGCCCCTCAAAAAACTGAGTAGTATTTAAAACTTCATGTAATATAAGATAAACATTTTATTATTATTTTGAATATTCGTCGTTGAAGAATTTGATGCAGTAGCATCTAAATTTCTAGAAGTGTGAACTTTGGATTCATATATTAACCACACGAGGACAAATCGGCTTTGTTTATAAATTACTGGATTCCCGATCACTTGGAAAAACTATATTGATCTCCATTGAATTTTCTGAAATAGCACCGATTAAATAAAGCCTTAGTAAATCTTCCAGGATGTTTGAAATTAAGACATTAAAAGATTTGGCCTTTGTTTTTCCAATCCAATTGTCGATCTCAATTTTTGTTCGTTATTTAATATCGATCTCAATTTGGTGGCACTGTCAGTACGAGCAATATGTGTACTAGTAAGAATACTCACTAAAGCAATGACTCATAAATCACTTATTTGTGACTCAAACTGAACTAAGTTAAGATGTAGGTAATATTTTATCGAACTTCAGTTTAAGAAAGTTCAAGTAGTGATAAAGTAAGTACCAACCTGGGTGTATAAAATCCAACACGCAACTGTGACCGCTATTGTGCCTATCATTCCCCAAATTTGGTCAGAGGTTGGAAAACTGTCCTCATATATTTGCTCCGGGTCATTGCAACTGCAAAATGAAATTGCGTAAAGGTACATAGCTATTGTTACTATAATTTATCTGTCAACCAATATATTGCCATAGAGCTACTTTTATGTTTAAACGTACCTATTCTGTGGCTACAGTGTAATAATCAATTTAAAGTCATTTGGTTGCATCTACAAAGGTTGATTGAAACCATACTTAGCTATGCTTTATACACTATGCAAAACCACTAACCTACGCAATTGAAACTGCATACAACAAGTACCTACTATTTTATTTTTTGGTGCTTAATTAATGTAATATCTATAAATATAAAAATGTCAAGTTGGTTTGTGAACGCTTCAAAACTATTATGATTATTAAATCAGCCTTCAAAATGTTGTAAGCTTGCGACACTGACGACTCGATCTGTAGATGTTAATTGATACCCCCACCCGCACTGGTTTATGTAAACCTATAACAGGTTTCTAAATCCAAGCATTCTTCATTTAAAATCACTTTGATCACATTTGAGTTCTATTAATAGACATCGTGAAGTTTTGTTTAGTAAAGGTTATGAAGGAAAACATTAATGTCTCACAAAAAATGTACTTAGGAAACCTAAGCGGAATGTGGCATTACATAAATATAATTATGTTATATTGTCCAATACATGAAGAAAAACAAATGGTAGGTAGGAATAGCTATGATCAGTACATATGTTTGAATGAAAATTTAATTAGTATTAACACAGAATGGTGTCTCGGGTTCGATGCCCGGGTCGGACCAAAATATGCAAATATTTGTTTCGGAGTTTTCTATGTATAATATGTATGTATTTACGTATTCTCTCATTCAGCCACTAGCAAAAGTATACAAGTATTCTATCAGTCAATCTAGTTTTCATAATAAAAGCTTTTCTTAGTTTGAAACTAGATCGCTTTGTGTCAGATGTCCAAAATTTTTTTTTTTAAATTTCTTAAAATCCGTTCTTAGCTGACCTCTACTCGGTGAAAAGAAAATTCCTACCAAATTTCAAGTCTTTAGCTCTAATGGTTCCAGAGATATCGTGATGAGTGACTATATACGTGGAAATCTCTTATATATATATATATATATATATATATATATATAGATTATGTAAACGTTGGTTTCTGGTTACCATAGCCACAGGCTCTGCTTAATTTGGCACCAGATAGCCGTTTGTAAGATGTGTGAAATTATTATCATTATTATAATGTAAACTGTTGTCCTATGCAATGCAATGTATATTCAGAATTCACAAATTTTAAGTTGCTTATACTTTAGTCGAAAGTAAGGAAAGTAACAAGATTGCCCTACACTTGCTTACTAATTTTAAAAAACTGTAGGAAATGCAACGAAAGACATCTTACAGTGCACACTTTGGAATACCTAATTTAAATTTGTGGGTATTGTTATGTCTACTGCTTATGTCTCAAACATCTGATAACAAACGTGTAATATACTATAATGTAACAAACGTCACGATCACATCGTAAAATTCTCAGAATGTGTATATGAAATCAAATACAAGCAAACGCATGTATGTATTTCATATAGGTACTCAACACAAACAAATAATTTTAACATGAAAGATCAAAACATCCCACATTATTTTCTACCAGTGTTGCCAACATGAAGATTACCCCGAAAACATGGGATAATGAAAGACCGACATTTAGATTTTTTCACAGCATCTGCGCGTGCACTGCTTGTAAGTGTAATTTTGACAGTCACAATTCATATGCTTGATAAAAGCGTTATTATTAAGCATATAAATAAACTTTATTTGATAATATATTATGGGACATATATTATTAATTTGCTTTGATTTTATCTGTATCAACCTTATAAATAAAATAAAATGTATAATCTGGCACCACAATATAATGCTTTGGTATTTTCTTAGAACACATTTAGCCGGGATCGATGTTGTCAGCTTAAGATTTATTGCTATTTTATGATGTAATTCGAAATGATTGAATTTACATACGGTAAAACGGGGTCAATTTAATCAATTTTGAACTTAAAACATCAACATCATTAGAATCTGCGTATCTATAAGTCTAAAAATATTTAACAATCGATTTTTATAGTTTTGCCCGATTAAGGTCAAAACAATAAATTATGATTTCGAGGTTACTTTGATACCCCCTTACTTTGTTATATTAGTTTTTAACATGGAAATCAAAAAGCAGCCTAATTATTTCAAAGCAATTAAAACTGTGATTAATCCCAGATTCTAGTTAGGGTAATGGCTATAAAAAAGTGGGCAACTCTGATTAAATTGCGTTGTTAAACACCTTTCTAAGAAGTAAGAAGGTACATTTCCTATTATTATATATCTGCCTGAAAATATTATGATTGTGAGAATACAATAACATGAACCGTGCACAAAAGTGTGCGTTTGCAAGTAATTAAAAACAAGATATTGTGTGAAAATCTTTTTCTTACTTATTTAATATTTTAAATCGATCATTTGGAAATTCAATCTATTTTTTGGCACAATAATAATTGTGTGACACTGCAAGTGTTGTGAAAGTCAAGTGAATCGTGAAATATATAATTCAATATGGGATCGTGTTGGTCGGTAAGTAACAGTAAATTTCTTATAAGTCGGGGTTCTACTTTTTTAATTTAGAACAACTGAAGGTAGTAGAATAGAGGGAGACTAGACTTTTTTAAGGTAGATACATACATACATAAATAATCATGACTTTGTAATCAGAATTGACGGTTTGCAAAAATAGTAAAGTTATTGTATTAAAAGTAAGGTTACATATTTTTCATTGAAAGTACATAACTATGATAGTTATGTAAGGTAAAATAGTGTTAATTATTTTTACTTAATTAGTAAATTTCAATCTCTTTTAGACAAGTAGACAGTCCAATTTCCACTTCTCTCGTAGGAGTAATGTGAAAATTGTTTCTTCGTAATAGGCTTGTTTGCTAAGCAAATAATAAAAAAAGAAGTATAATTAATCACCACAATTCTTTTTAATAATTACTTTTGATGTTGATTACTCGAGGGCATCAGAGCACTCGGTAACCGAGTCTGTGAACCTGATGGCTTACGAGTATTCAGTTTCAAATTATTAGCATATATGTACTATATTCGCCGGCATCTAAACTTTAATTCAGAAACAAATACGAGATATTTTGCAGGCATCAAGTGACGTCGAAGCTGAATTGGCAAGACGTAGAAATGGTCAAAAAACGGTTTATCACAGAAGTCCTGTTGACAACAATGTTCAAATTCCTGTGCATGCGCACGTTCCTGTGGTAAGTGTGATTGTGATTGATCAATGATATTATAATTAATAAATAATAGTTTCAAAAACTAAAAAAAACACACTTTTGTAACCAGCCGAACTAAAAAATAGAAAATAATATTCTCTAAGTTATAAAGATAAATCATTTTATCCTAAAAATGAGTGGAGTACTAGATCTCAATTGTTGTAAAAATATTTAATTGACAGATATTGGTAAAAGTACTGTGGTGTGCCTCAAGGTGGTATTTTTTCTCCTTTATTATTCTCAATATTTATCAATCTCATCACTCCTAAACTTCAATGTGCGTACCATCTCTATGCCGATGACTTGCAGCTCTATTATCAAGCCTCGACAGACGACATAAGCGAGGGTATTTTTATGGTTAACAATGATTTGGAGGCTATTAACAGTTGGGATGATAGGTTCGGTTTGGCTGTAAATCCAGCGAAGTGCCAATCCATCAACATAGGCAGTCAACGTATGACTGGAAGAATAGACCAATATAAAGTGCCACCCATTACTTTTAACGGCGTAATAATTCCCTTCAGTCCCTATGTTAAGAACCTCGGCATGTTTATCGACTCCAAGCTCAGGTGGCAAACCCAGGCTAGAGAGTTACAGGTACGGGCCTTCTATCGACTTAGGAAATTCCTTCCTCCCGAGACAAAAGCGATGCTAGTACAGACCCTAATTGTTCCAATCTTAGATTATGGTGATGTTTGCTATAGCAACCCGTCTGGCCAGCGTGGTATATTATGCCAAAACCTCCTTTCTAAGGAGAGGCCTATGTCCAGCAGTGGACTATTAAAGACTATTGATGTGTGGTGATGATGTGATGCTACTATGACCTGAATGTAGATCTCCTCAATAAATATGATCGCCTTCTAAATAACTGCATTCGATTCGTCTTAAACCTTCGCAAATACGACCATGTCCTGACCTCCTTTCATCGCGAATTGAACTGGCTCGCGATTCGCCAGCGCCGTCAACTGCGCGCCCTCACCACCCTCTATTCCATTCTCTACTTACTCATTTCCCCTTCCTACCTTACGTCCTCATTCCAATTTATATGTTCTAATCACTAACAGAACCCTCCGTTCCTCAAGCAATCTACTTCTGTTATGTCCACTCTTCGTTAGTAGGATTAAGTCCGCCATTGTAAAAGTGAGTTAAGTAAAATAAATAAAATAAAAGTAGTTAGTATAATTATAAAATATCTTGAAAAGCACCCCAGCACGCTTTTTAGTTCGGCTAATTTCTTAAAGGCCGATGCATACGTAATGGCGTCTCGGCACATCGTTTCGAATAGTTTCCAAACATCTAGTAGATTGCAGTAGATTTGAAGCAATAATGGTACCGGCTGATAGGACTTGTATCCAAGCCTATAAATTAAGTTTGCACTAATGTTTAGAGAATAGAGCATATTTTTTAATTATTATTTTAATTAGGATTCAGAGCATCATTTAAACTAGTTTAAAAGGTAATTTACCTTTATATTGTCTTATGTCAATATGTCGTTTTACTGCCTTTTAGTGTGTGAGTTACACCCGTGCACTGCACATGCGCGCATATGCCTGTCTACGTGTACGGTCGAGTCGTCTTGACTGTAGGTACCAGCGCAGACAGAGCCGCCATTAAGTTTACATTGAACTATACTAGTCGAACTAAAATGGGTGTTTTTTTAACCAAAAAAAAATTTACTTTTTTAGTCATTAATGATTATTTTCTCATTAATGCTAAAAAAGTAACAAGTAAGTAGGTAAGCCACATAATGCTTCAGAACACGCCTTTTCCGATATAATTTGATAAATTTGGCCGAAAATCGGCCAAATTTATCAAATTATTGTATTTTCATCGGTCCTTGATAAGTGAGCGAAGTTTATTCGCTGTTAGGAAGACTGCGTTACATACATACATACATACCAAGCTAATAAAGCGTGTTAAAAAGAGGTAGATACGTTATCTACACGAAGTTCATTGTTTACAATTCGTTGCCCTAGTGCGTATTTGTCAAAAAATTAGTTTTAAATGCAGTATTATTAATATTTACGAACCTGTTGGTTACGGAAGTTTTAAAACTTTATGCTTTTAAAACAACAAAAATAACGATACTGTAATGAATTGACTGCACGGATGGCTTAGTGGTTTAAGTGGTCGCCACGCCGCTTCCTACTGCGCCGAGTGTTGTGGGTTCAAACCCCACATGGGACGACACTTTGTGTGATCCACAAATTGTTGTTCTGAGTCTGGGTGTTCTTTGTGTCCGTTTCATGTATGTTTGTAAAGTCCCCCGCGACACAGGCTATATTCCTAATGCAGTTGTCTTTTAAAAAAAAAAAAAGAATATTTTGTGCTTATTTGTTCTATGTCCAGTTTTTGTTCTAATTCCTACGTCGTAAGCGGTATGGAGTGCTTGAGTGTCCTATGTCCATTCATTAGACCAATCTCAGTCCGCAAAGCCATGTCCGCCATTTTGTATGATTTGATACCGTAAGCTGGCGATATCACAAGAGACGTTAAAATATTGATAAAATCATTTAATTTATTGAGTTTTGTGCTTAGTTATTTATTAGACAAGTACCTAATAATATCTGGCACATATTACAAAAGTGAAAATGTACAGACGCAAGCTCAAATTGAAGATCCGTTATGGTCAAATTTGTCCGTTATGATTTGGCAACAGCTTATTGCTTCCTGCTTCCTATTTCCTTGCTTCGCTTGGTGATGTTCAAAGTTCCAGCACTTTTGGAACGAAGTTCCTTATCGCGCGTTGTGAAAGGGGGCTAGACGGAAAAAATTCGTACGAAAATTTGGAACGACACTTTTTTATTAATATAAATTGACGTCTAACTGTGGATACCATACATTAAATTTGCTTTAACGTTCGCCAACGTCCATACCATGTTGAATACACCGGTTCTCGTCCGATCACCGAAGTTAAGCAACATCGGGCGTGGTTAGTACTTGGATGGGTGACCGCCTGGGAATACCACGTGATGTTGGCTTTTTGCTCTTTATTTTCGTGTCATCTTGTCACACATTCAGCGCCATCTATCGAATAGATAGGAAATCATTTCGCAAGGAGATTTTACCAATGTATAAATTGTTTTAATTGTTTTTAATATGTAGGTAATAGCCGCTTTCATAGATGGCGTTGTAATTAAAATCGTGTCAAATCAGTTTTACTCGATCGTCACAACTTCTTTCCTATCGGGTGTCCCACGACACCACACGGCTTTTTTTTTATTGTTTTCCATACAAACCGTGTTGTGATAATAACGTAGACAACAAAAACAATTTATAGCAAAAAAATATTTACACAAATCGGTCGAGCCGTTCTCAAGTGATGCGCCGTCATAACACGTATGATATAACACGAGCAATTGATTTTTATTTAGATTCAATCTGTGATAAAGCTTATCACAAAAAATGAATTAAAAGATAGCACGGTTCCATATACGTCGGTTAAATTTAAAAAAAATTGTGCGAAAATACAGAAATGCAAATTTAGAACAAAATAAATACACAATAACCTTTAATATTAATAAAATACTATTTTTTGTATGTGCTACCTATTGATAGGTTTGAAGTCGGTGCCAAGCCAAATGTAATAGAAGGTACCGTACACAAACTAAAATTATATCATCCAAGTAAAGAATAATATTCATTAAAAATGTTCATAAAATGAAAACTACTGGGCCTAACTATGTTAAAATTTTATGGGACCAAATGACAACTATTCCGCATCAAACTAAAGAAGAATCACGTAAATCGGATCATAAATCTCAGAGTAATCGGTGTACATACTTAAAAAAAAATACCAATCTAATTGAGAACCTCCTCCTTTTTGAAGTCGGTTAATAAAAATAATTGCCGAATTAGAACACCATTGTTAACAAAAGCAATTTATTAAAAATACGATTTTATTCACGTGTTTATTTTGGGAATGCTTCGGACACGGCAGTACGTGTCACTTCTTGAAAAAGTACATAGGTACTTTGGTTGTCTTCGGCAAAATTCGGCAGTCTGTAGGACATACACGATTGATTCCATACCTCGGTTTGTCCGTAAAGCTAAAGGTGCGTTTCGATAGAGTTCCCGGTAAATTAACATCATGTCAGGATATTCCGCGGCTGTGAAGGTCACTCGCGACATTATGGATGTCGATACCGATAACAGAATAAAATGAATAAGACTGATAATGCCCTCAGTTTCACACACACTACACTACACACACAAACTAATATTCTCACTTTTCAAAATAAATTTAGCGGGGCTTTTTTAATTTTTTGGAATTATTCCTTTATTTGTGCTGTAAGACGTTTCTTTTTGCCAAATTTCGTGATTCTAGGTCAACGGGAACGACCGTAGGTATAGGTTTTTGACCCAAAACCTATAGGGTACTTCCGGTTGACCTAGAAGTGTCAATTTTGGTTAAAAGCAAGGTTTTACATCACAAGTAAAGAGAAAATTTTGAAAAACAAAAAAAGTTGAAAATTAAGGTAAATTTTCTTACAAGTTTTCGTGAAAATCGAAATTTGCCCATATCTTTTATCGTGTTGACTCAGGACCTTCATTTTTATACACCTTATAGAGACCATAGACCTCAGTATCTATGAACTAGAGCTGCTGAATTTTTTTTACTAATTCATTTTTAACTAGTATATCATACAATTTTATTGGCAACAGCTGCACTGTAAACTAGGGATATCTCTGGCGGAATCTCTGCATGATCTGGAAGAAATGCTGAACAGTCTGGACGATTCTTCAAAGCGAGTGGGACTTAGGATGAACATTGGTAACACCAAGATCATGTATAATAGACATGTATCTCCGAGTCCCGTGACCGTAATTGACGCTACCATCGAGGTTGTGACCAAACTATCCAATTCGGCAGGCACAACTTCGATCGGGAGGTCAATAGACGAATTCGTCTGGGCTGGGCGGCATATGGGAAGCTTCGTCATATCTTCGAGTCGCCGATCTCCCAGTCGCTAAAAACTAAAGCTTTTAACTAGTGCGTCTTACCCATAATGACATACGGAGACAATACCGGAACCGACCAAAAACCGTACGCCGTCTCGGGTACCAGGTTGCCGGGGAACCAGGTGTAGCCAAGGAACTAAACCCTGATACCCCGACGCACCCTACGTCGCCTTTGTGCTCCCGAAAGGGTGCGCGCGCTCCTCAGCGCCTTTCGCCACCAACCCGGCCTGCTTCTGCTAGGGTGACAGATGGCCTCACCAACCACCCCCAGGCATGCGCCTATGGAGGACGGAGGTCGTTTTCCTGTCTGAGTCGTCTGCAGTACCGGGCCCGTACCCAGGCCTGTCGGGCCGGGAGGGTTCTAAACCTCTCCCGTTCCCGCTTCGCCCTCTCATTTGCGAGCATAACTTGCTCGCAGAAGGAGATGGCGGAGTTCCACGCACTGTCGCTCCGTACTGTGGCGGCAATCATGTTACCGAGCGAGAGAATTCCCATTCGAATGTTCGCCACGAGTCAACGCCTCTGCTCCACCCACACCGGGCGGGCCAGGACCAGGACGCTCGTCGTGGGTGGAGCAGAGGCGTGACCTCGTGGTGGTAATCGGAGTCGGAGTCCTCTCGCTCGGTTCCCACACCGGAGCGGGGTCATCTATGGCTCGAGGTATGTCGGGGTACCAGGGATTTCCTTTCTAGAATACACCTGGTTACCCGGCTACTGGTACCCGAGGCGGTTTTTGGTCGGTTCGAGTCCAACATAATCACCCCACCGGTGATATCCGAGGGGATTTCCGCACAGGGTCCTGGTCCGTAATAAAAATCTAGTCTTTGAAATACAGTGTCCAAAAAACGTTGGAAGGTTTGTGCTGCATTACGCATTAAAAAAAATGAGGGCGTCTATAAAAATGGTACGCCCTATTTATGTCGATTTTTTAAAATATGTTCTTATCAACCAAAATGTAACTAAAGTCCTGTATGCGAGCGATTGGGTATCTGTTAGGGTTGGTAATTGCATAGAGCCTGCGGTAGGCGCCAAAAGGTCTGATGTCACTATTTTGTTTCGAGTACAAATACCTAGTTCCTGCATCTTGAGAAATTGGTCTTTTACACGTTTATATATTTTAATAGGTAATAGTGGACAGAAGAATAAAAGGCGATGTTAATGTAACAAGGCTAGATAACTAGAAGTATTGATCGTTTATTCAGAATTGTGATTTATTTAATTTGATTTATCACAGGTACCTTCACGAGCTTCAAAACCATGTTACGGTGAATATACTTGTCCACGTTGCGGTCACTCTTGGAGCAGCATCTTATCCTGGCCCAACGTTTGTCAAGCTTGTAGGAAATGTAAGACGAATGCGCGTCCAAGAAATCAGGTGACTAGAGCTAGCCCTTCTTTACTTTGATTGTTCGAATATTATGACAATCACGGTCATGACTATGCAAAACAACTTGTTGTTACTACGAAAAAAATATTTAACGTGGTCTGGAGTTGGCGGAGCAAAACCTACTTATAGATAGTTCAACTCAGTTGTGCGCGCGGCCCTATGTGGGCGTACATATAGTTATTAAAGTAAAAACTTTAACATGAAAGCAACTGAATTCTGTCTTCTTTTACACGTTAACTAGCTATTGAATAAGTATTTCTAATTTCGTGTTTCAAATTTTGATAATGACGAACTTCCATGCAACCGTTCCTCCCTTATTTTTCCTACCTACCTGGTAAATGTCCAAATATTAATGGGTGCTTGTGCTTACAACATAAAAGCATCAACTACCAACATTTCAAATTTGTAACCCGAACGGTTTAAACTCTTAAAAACGATTTAATCGGTTAAAAAGTACTCTTTGTCTACTTCTCTGTTTTAACAGAGTAGACACAGACCATTCTTAGTTGTACCTAAATGTTCGCGTCTTGCGTGCGCGCCGCCCGCCAGGCAGCGCTGAACAGACGTAACAGGCTCACCTCCGGCACCTCGACAACTTATTTCTCATAATGAAGCTGAAAGTTCAAGACACTTTTATCCTATTGGTTTCTTGAGTTCGAAATCAATCTACAAACCACATGTTAACTGTTATCCTTAGATAGTACTATTATAAATACATGGTTGGATTTGTTTATTTTTCACTGTTTAACGCTACTCAACCGAAGGTCATGAAATTTTGCTAAGTAAAGCTATCTAATATTATTAACTTATAATTTCATCGTTTTCAGAGGGAAGTGCGTTCATCTGATATAAAACGAAGAAATGACTACTATCATAAACACCCGCAGGAATTATGCCAGAGATGTCAACAGCTCGGTTATCAATGTAGCAACAGCATTAAAAAATATTGCTAAACCAAACCTAAACCTATTGTGCTGTTGCTACAGCATTGTGCTGTAGCAGTGTCTTTCAGCATTGAGCACAATGCTGAAAGACGCGCGTCTAGTAAAAAATATTAACAAAATTCATCATAAATTTGACGCTTATTTTAGGAAACTGATTTAAAAGCCAGTATTTTGTTAAATTATTTATTAAGAATATTAATTCTTGTTTAAGAATGATATAGATTAAAATCTTTCTTGTAGGTATTTGTTCAGAAAACCGATCGCCGACTATTGGAAGAATATCAAATTCTGATAATCGTAGGCTTTGAAATATTTGAACCGTACGTTTTTATATCATTTTATTTTACGGATATAAACTGTTTTACCAGTAGGTAAAACAGTTTATATCCGATGTAGTAACATTCGGTGAATATAAAATTAATTTTATAAGACTGTTAACCTCCTGTAATAATTTAAACCTCAAACAATTTATCCAGTTACTAAAAGGTGCACGCTAGTATTTTGAAAATAAATTTGCTACGGATTATATGTCTTACTACACTTGCAGCACTTGCTAACAGTTTAGATTATTTGACATTTATGCCGGTTGCTAGAAATGGTTAGAATGTATTTTTATGTTTGCGTTTTCTCATATGATTTACAATCTTGCATGATTTACCACTGAATGAAAGAGTAGCATTAAATGTTCTCATTCGATACGAAATAAGTCGATCCGCAGTAAAGGCCCATTATACATTTTTTTAAAGTTGTATGCACGCATCATCTAGCATGACCAAAAATATTACTACAGAACGTTTCGTGATAACGTAAAAACACTTTTTACATAATATAGAATTCGTCAGTCCTGAATTAGGAATCCTTTATATTATTTATTAGTTATTCTTTAGTCGTTATCAGTAGTTATTTGAGCTGTTTATTCTCAAATATAATTTTTAGGTAATTGCGGCTCCACTCAATTCATATTCAATAAAATAAATAAAAATCGAGTACTTTTATTTATTTTATTTTTTATTACTCAAGTAGGTACTTTACTTCTATGAAGCGGGGTGGTGATGACAAATATATGACGTGTTCAATGAAAGTTCATTACGATTTTATTTACCATAGATGACCTAATATGTTAAACAAGGCAAATAATATAATATTTTCATTTAGTTGTACCCATTATTATAACAATGTCAATAATTAATAAATGTATGTTACTGATTTGCACCCATGTAATCGACGCATCTTTGCCAACGCATTGTAAGTAAAAACCACGCAAAAAAGTAATAGTCGGTAGGTGCAAGGTCGACCTAGGTCACCTACCGACTATTACTTTTTCCAAAATTTAGACAACTTTTTAGTGGGTAAAAAATTCAATTCCCGAGAGGCAGTACAAAATGCCTTTGAAGAGTTTGTTGCCTCCCGTCCAGCTGTTTTTTACAAGAAGGGCATCAATAAACTGCCAATGCGTTGGCAAAGATGCGTCGATTGCATGGGTGATTACTTCGAATAACAGAAATAAAAAAGTTTGAAAAAATAAGTACTTTCACTTATTGCATACAAAACGGCAATTTCATAGGTAAAGACCTAATATATAATAAATAAAACTCAACAAAACGGAGCTCTATACCTAATAATTGCTTTTGAGATAAAATAATGTCAGTTACAAGTAAAAACAAAACAAATACAAAATTTCAGACATTTAACACACAACGCCATCTTGTTTCGAAGACTAAGCATTAAAATCTTGTACTGTAAAAGCACGATACAAATACTTGCAGATTTTACAAACATTTGGTCCGACCTGGAAATCGAGAACTCAACATGGCAGTCGTATACGCTACCATCGCACCAGTCCTATATTTATAAAAGTATAAATACAAAATTATTTATGCGTAAAACACACCTAAAAGATGAATTAGTCGTGGGAGAGCCATGCCTCGGCACATATGGGCCCGGCTCGACCGGAGTGATACCACCGCCTCACAGAAACGCAAGCAGTTCTATAGTTGTTTCCACCGAATGAGAGAGGTTACCGGAGCCCAAACCCTCCCCTTTCCCCTGATTCTTGAGGGAGGGACTGAAAGGGCGGTAATTCACTGGTGACTTGCCGTGCCCATGGGCGGCGGTAGTCACTCAACATCATTCAACCCGTCTTCCGACCGTCATCGTCTGCTCGCTTGCCCCTAAACACCATTAAAAAAAGATCGCACTGGACGGCGGCGAGTTTTGGCAAATTTTTTTGGAGAAACCAAAACTCGAACTGAAAATAGATTTTTTGGCCGCAACTGGCTGAAACCGAACCTTCGGTCGGTCACTAATTATATTAACATGTTTAAACGCTGCCTTCCATAATACAGGCATCCTAGCATGGCATACACTATCAGTATGTTCTGTGATCCATTCTGTTTGACTTTAGAGGTATATGTCTAATGTGTGCTTGAGTCAAATAAACATTTTTTAATAGAATATATTATTGGAACGAAGCGATCGCGCGTTGTGAAAGGGGGCTAGACGGAAAAAATTCTTACGAAAATTGGTCACGACACTTTTTGCTATAGTAAGCTATTGTAAGCTGTGCGGCGTCGCATGTTTCTCTGTCTGTCTCTCTCTCTCTCTTATAGAAAGCAAGCTAGATATTTTCATTTCTATCTTTTTATGTCAGTCATTCAGCGCCATCTATCGAATAGATGGGAAATCATTTCTCAAGGAGATTTTACCAATGTATAAATTGTTTTAATTAGAAACCAACTGAAAAATATGTAGGTAATAGCCGCTTTCATAGATGGCGTTGTAATTAAAATGTGCCGAATCAGTTTTACTCGATCGTTACAACTTCGTTCTTATCGGGTGTCCCACGACACCACACGGCTTTTTTTTATATTATAAAGTAAAGGAGCTTGTTGTTGTTTGAAAGAGGGTATCAAGAATGTCGAATAAGTCGGTTAACAAATACACAAATATGATTTATTCATATATTTAATTTTAAATGTTAACAGTTTTGTTTTAGGCATTTTTTTAACAACCTGATCAAGATGTAGTTTGTTACTGTTTTAATTTTTGTTCATTTCTACCTTCATTTACATGAAATCAAAAATAAAATAAAACAGAATTATTTGTAGGCCTCATTCTCATAAACATTTTTGTTTTACATTTATAAACCTTTTCACAAAAATACTTATTTCTTAAGTTATTATACAAATCTGTATGTATTGTATTTAGCGACAATGTTAACTCTCTACTATAAAAATTCAGTATATAACAACTTAGTATGAGCTATTTAAAATGTAACAATGTGATATCCTAGGAACACATATTCCTGAATCAATTTTTTTTACAGGGATTTAACAAGTTTATTTAAATATCGAACTGGCTTGCAAATAAATGCTGTTTAAAAATGGTATAGACACTAAACGAAGAAAAATGTAGTCATTAAAATAGCGCGTGGGACCAAACAGAAAAGAAATATGTACATAGTTTTAATTTTTCGACAATTACGAAATAGTATATTACGGAATAGAATAGAATATTACGGAATAGTACATTCCGTAATATTCCGTTTGAAATATTTTTTTAAAATGAAATATCAATAAAACTATTAAAAGCTAGGCATATATTTCTTTGCTCTATTGGCTATAATTACGCGTGTCAAACATGGCAAACCCAAATAGCTACCATATATCGTGAATCGTCATATTTTGTCACGTTTAGGACACCTTTTAAGTTCAGAAAATCTCCTAATGCTTGTAACATGATCGTGGTAGCATTATTTTAAACGAGGTTCGTTAAAAACGATGCGCAGTGCCGTAACTAGAGGGGTGCTAGCAGCGCACAGGCACAGGGCGCAGACCCTGTTTGGCGTAGAAATAAGAAGGCGCAGAAAACGTTAATAGAACAATATAAAAAATATTTTCGATAGGGCGCAATGACAGAAGCTTGCACCGGGCGCATAAAACCTTAGTTACGACTCTGACGACGCGAACTGCATATTGCAAATCATGGTATAAACCATATTCTGAAAATTTGTTTGTTTTTAATTATTTGGACGTTGCTGTATTATATGTCCCTAATTATACACGATATACTTATGTTTACTACAAACTTTAATTATAAAATAACTTAATTTTATTCTATAAAGTGTGTAGTAGAAGAATCGTTAATTCTATATGACTTCCAAGACTTTCTTCTGATAGAGCAAAAAAATAGATAGCTAAAAATAATTAATTGCCTTTTGCAAACTTGAATTACATAATATTTAAAACGACTTAATAATATGTGTAATGACAGTGATGTGCTATACTGCAGTTCCTCTGAAACATCTTTAGAAGTATATATTTTTACAAAAAAGTTTCTTAACGCGCCTACCTCAATTGACGAATGAAACCGTCATGAAAGATAAAACCCTTATATCACATCTACCAATGCGATTTTTTCTCTATCCCTCTCTTTTGGTATACGAGAGTTTTTTTTTTGTGAGTGGGAGCGAGAAAGAACTTCTTTGCAATGTAACGATGGTCCCTCATCCGCAATTATTTTATATGCACACACAGACTAAAAGTGCGAATTCAAATAAGAATAATATATAATAATATATATATATATATAATAATAATATATTCTACCACATACACACAACGCCATCTAGTCCCAAACTAAGCAGAGCTTGTACTATGGGTACTAGACAACTGATATAAATACATATATACTTTTTTTTTGTAAATACATACAATTATACATAGAAACACCCAGACTAAATCAAACATCAAATGTTCATGCACACAAATGTTTGACTTGAGCGGGAATCGAACCCGCGACCTTTGGAATAGCAGTCCGTTACATAAACCACTACGCCATCCAGTCGTCAAAATTATTAAATGACATTATTGATATAAATAATAATTAATATGTTTAATATTGTTTGTAATTCAGAAATCGTAAGTTTTACTGTTGAAATCGTTTCTCGAAACAAATGGAAACAATTTTGTTTAAATCTATTCCACGTTATTATCATCACTAGGAATATATCTGTTGACTATATGAAGATATTTAGTATCTCTAAAATATTTGGGTACATTCACTGTGTAGTCGTTCTTCCTCTCTGCTAAGTACGCAAACAGTGGCATTACGACAGCTCCAATGTCATTAACATCTATTTCGTTCGAATCTTTAAGGTTTTTTGCTAACAGGGAGCAAGTAGCCGACACGCGCTCATTTGTAAGAGGTTCACTCAAGAATTTGTACTGAAACAAAAAAGAAATATATATTGATATTATCATTTTATTCTCTGCATTCTATGTATACCATATATGCAAAATGGTTTTATTATGGTAGACGGGGTAAACGAGCAGACGGGTCGCCTGATGGTAAGTGACTCGCACATCGACACATGACTCCCAAGGGACACAAGTGCGTGGGCGACCTTTGAGGAAAGGTTACGTCACGACTGTGTAAATCTCCAAATAGGATGTTCGACCTATCTTCATCACCAAACATAAGGACTTATTTTTAACTTGGAAACATGAATAATAATTTACGCTCGGTTTATTCCCGATATGACGTCACGAGTAATGAACAACATGGAGGTCTAGCATTTTTAACCCCCGACGGACGACGACGACGAACGAGGGGTGTTATAAGTTTAACCTGTGTATCTGCGTATCTGTGTATGTCTGTCTGTGGCATCATAGTTCCCGAACGGATGGACCAATTTCGATGCGGTTTTTTTGTTCGAAAGCCGATGTGATAGAGATGATTCTTAGCTATAAATTTTGAATATCATCGGCTCACTTTCCAGATGATAAAGGGATCTCAATAAAATCCACAAGTCCGGTTGATCTGAAATTTGGTAAACTGTTACTTTGATGGTATTTCCACGACATGGTAACCTGGAACTTGCTGCTGCATCAAGTAGTCTGCGGGATAGCTAAAAAATTACTGCATACATACCATGTTTGGGCCCTTTAGAAAAGTGTCAATGAGTAGTTGTTGATTTTTAAAGCTAGTTTTTTGTCGGGTGTTTTTTAATTATCTATTTATACGACAAAATAAAAACGAAAAATTAGAAAGATTGAATTTACTGATTCGTGGCACTGCCGGCGTCATATAACAATTATTGAAAAACACGTTAAAAGTAAATATTAACAATGTGCCTAACTACAATGTTATGCCCCAATAAAACATGTTGAAGTCAATTTCTTGTGGCCGTTAATTTAAAAATAAAGAAAGTTAAAAAGCAAGTCTGCGGTTCTAACAATTTTTACAGCCTATTAAATTCTTTATTTTCCATTACAAAGTGAGGAGTACTTTTCACTTCTTCCTTACTGTAACTACACTATTACCGTGATTTGCATACAGCGTGTATTTTTAACTGACTTCAAAAAAGGACCTTCTGTGGACTTTTAAACAATAGGAAATATTAAAATGAATTACCCTTATAATATGAATTAGATTGCCGTAACAATACAGCAAACAATTCACGGTATTTGTTGTACGGAAGGAGCCAATTTTCTTTGTCATAACATCGACAGCGGCATGGTACATCTTTAATGCGTCCAATGGGCTGATGTTGTTCTCTACAAAATTATTATACATTTCGCACCACTCTTCCACCGTCGTCCATGGACATGACTGAAATATTAAAACTAAAGTTTAATACTAAATTAAATTTCCTTCAGAATACAGAATTACCTATATATTGTAACTTTGTGTAATGTGGTTAACCCACATGTTAATAAGAAAGACATTACAGCAATAATAACCTCGCACATCTCACACACGGCTGTCTCACAACAAACTAAGCAGAGCCTGTACTGTAGTAACCAGACGGCTGATAAATATAATTAAATACGTACATATTATATTATTGTGGGTGTGGGTTCAAACCCCACATGGGACAACACTTTGTGTGATCCACAAATTGTTGTTCTGAGTCTGGGTGTACTTTGTGTCCGTTTCATGTATGTTTGTAAAGTCCCCCGCAACACAGGATTTATTCCTAGTGCGAGAGTTGTCTTTAAAAAAAAAACTATTTACACAAAATAATATTTAAGTAAATAAATATCACTTTTCATTTCCATTATTTTTTCTACTTTTTATAGGTATTATATAGGCCAAGAAGTGGAAAAAATGGAAAATAAATATTAAAATAAACCAGAATTTCGACCAAGATCCTAATCGGCTACACATGAAACGGATTGAAAGTATTACTTTTTAATTATTATTTTTTAATTTTCTCTATCTATATGTTTATACGTCAAAAAAAACCTTGTATCGTCGAAGCATAGCCATATTTGAAAGTTGATAGAATAATAAACCGCCTTTCTAAAGAGGGCCTCTCTTTTGTCCAGCAGTGGATTTTTAAAGGATGATGATACTGGTCAACGAAATAGAACAAGACAGTCAAAACGTTCGAAATTCGACCGCCAGGCGATCACTAGGACCTATAGTATTATTATAATTAAGGGTCAGCGCAGACCGAGAAAAATAATCCTCGCGTCATCTCAAGCATTTTCTTTACGGTTCGCGCATGCGCGCGTATGTCGTACGGGTACCATTGAACGGTAATAGACGTCAACTATGGTGGACTAGGATATAATTATAATTGCGCTTTTGGCAACAGAAGAAGAAAAAGAAGAGCATATTAATAAACAAAGGCGTTAGAAAGTTAGACGAAGAATATGGGTCGAAGAACGTTGGTAAGAACTTTGTGTACAACTTTCATCATCGGCCTATCGCAGTCAGAGCAGTGGACAGAGGCCTCTTCCATTGCACGCCACTTAGATCGATTTTGGGCTACACGCATCCAATTCATGTCAGTTCAACTTTACCACAGGTAAAATTCTCTCCGCTGCGCTATTCTCGATCCGCGCTGGCCCTAGGAAGGTTGCGTCAAAATCCTATTACCGCTAAAATTTATTTAAAAGTGAAAATAAGCAATAATATAAGTTTCGTAATTAATGAGGATTTTAATCTAACCAAAGCTAGACGTGTAGCCACCAAGTTTAAACCGACTTCACGGAGCTTGACTTCCGATATGGTTTCAAAATAACACTTGTTATCTCGCTTCCACAGAGGCTGGTAATAATAAAAGTTTAGTGGGTTCATTTTCAGGGCCTGCACTTTTTGTCTCAACCACCTGTCTTCCCTTTCTAAAATAAAAAAAAGTGGACATATGACTAGTTGAAAGCTCGTAATACTAGAAGGTAGAATTTAAACATATTTTTTAATACAATGTATTTGTATATTTTTTGTGATGTAAAGATGTATCAATTTATACTCACCAGGTATTCCATTTATATAAGTCCTAACGATCGATTGTTGAAACTTAATTACTTTCTGTACGACTTTCAATGAAAGTACTCGAAATGCTGCGAGAGCCCTTAGGCGCACAGTCTCCAATATTTGAGCCATCATTACAAGCATAGGTGGCCTGTACGGCAACAACTCTTCGACAGGAAAAGCTTTAATTAATAGTTCCATTTGAATATTAATTTTATCAACGTCTTTGACAAGTAACGCCTCGTGTATAGTGGGCATAATTACTAACATCAATAACTGTGAAGTAGATACTATATTATTATTTTTTAAGTCACAAATAAATTTCAGAAAGTTACAACTGTAACCATCCTGTAAACATTTATTAAGTATGAATTTCATAATGGTGATCATACACGGTTCTGTTTCAGTGTTATAACAATATTCTGAATAGTCTATTAACAATTGCATGAGTTTCGACATTGGTTCTATTAGCTTAGTGTTTTGTGTTGCCAATCCAAATATTTTGGTATAAACTTTACGAGGGTTTTGATAAAATAAAGTAAAGACATCCGTGAAGTCCACATCAATATCCCCAACGAACCTGTTAAACATAATATTTAATCTTAAATCAAAGTCGTCTTCCATCTTTACATTGATAAATATCTTTTCCTTAAAATGTTCCTTCATTATTGTATGTTTGTTTAACACATTACATTCATGGAATAATCTAATTTTTGTAGACAGCAAAAGCTCTCTGTTTACAAGAGTAGCCGTATCAACTGCAACATTTTCGAATGCTTTGAATAATTCAAAACATTCTGCCTCATCAAATATATTTAGATGATCGTGAATGACATGAACTAGGTCCATATGTCGCAATAGTTGGTCTTTATGCACTAAAGCATGTATCCATTCCACCGACTCCTCGTCACATTTGTTTATTTTGTTCAATATAGTGGCGGTATCCGTTGCATTAATGATGTCTTTTATATCGGTTGGTTTTCGTGCCATCTGTTGGATCATGCGTACAACGGGATGTTCAGCGATATTGTCAATACTTCTTAACAACACTAGCACTTTATCACATAGCTCTCCGATAGACTGCTGCATACTTTTATCCTCTTCTTCAAATTCACTCCAAGCACAAAATATATCCACACTGATATCCATGACAACGTCCTTAAAAACATCTAATAAGAACAGATTACCGTTGTCAACAAAATCCAATAGTAACTGAGATGGACTATCACAAACTTTGCATGTAGTATTGTGAAGGATGGCTGTTTTGTATGTTACCTTATATAGAGGGTCGTCGCAATTAGGATTCGTATCTTGAGTGTACATAGTGACACAGTTATAGACCAGGTTCAGAATATTTTTGAAGCGTTGTCCTTTGTATTTATATAATTCATCACGGCTAAGTTCATCTAATAGATGTTTATTTGGTGGGTCTGTATAATATTTTAAAAAGCTTTGAAAAGTCTCATAAATACCGGTCAAGATATGATTTAGTGCTATGCTATCTTCTAATTTAAAGCAGTTAATTCTACATATAAGTGCATAGCATGCTGCAGAGATATTTCCCAATTTACTAATGCATTCAGTTGGACCAAAGTATTTAAAGTTTTCCAAAAATGATTCTGCGACCTCGATTCCTAATTGTGGAGTACATTTTGCAATTATCTCATAAAGAAATGTTTCCATATGAAGTTGCCAGATCATTTCACACATTAGATATTTTGGTAGAGGTGGGATTGACCACAATATTGGTTCTATTTCGGTGATATGTATCATACTGTGTAATACGGGAAAATCTGCGTTTAAAATTAGATACATAGCTAATTTACGCATTTTTGGTATTTTTTCTCTAACTAGCCCTTTTTCATCTATATACCCGTCCACCTTCAAGAATCTCTTTAAACTTTGTATAACATGGTGGACTTTTGCTTCATTACCTGAAAAAAATATGCAGAATGATTTAAATATAGGTATAATGAATGCTAAGCGTCTACTGCCCTTACTACAAACTGCAGTAATCACTCATCATAGGTCGCCGGTGTGCTATTTTGTTCATTTTTGATCAACAACTAATTTCAGGCATACAAAAGGATTTAGTTTAGTTAATTTGCGTTGAGAAAATAGTGGAGAAAGAAAAACATTTATTTTGGCAATAACACAACACTTTTGGCAATTTTGCAGTTTGAATTACCACCGATGAAAAAAACGGACTCAATTCAGCTTTGTGTCAGACGAAAGAATGACGCTAGTTTTCAATTGGGCTCAAAATGACGCTATGCGTAAAACCAGATGCAGACCCTAATTGCTACGACGTGTATGTTCTACAAGTTGGCTGTGCGACGCAAATTTATTAGTCATCAACAGCCTTTAATAGTCCACTGCTGGACATAGGCCTCTCCTTAGAAAGAACGTTTTGGCCTACTATACCACGCTGGCCAGACGGGTTGTTATAGGGTTTGTGTCAAGTTTTCCTTCTTTTTGCAGTGCTGGTGTCCTGCGTTGTTTTGCGCCCTTAGTCGGCTCTTACGACACCCACGGGATGAATTGGGGTAGTGACATTCCGTATTCTTAATCCGTCACTACACGGACGGGAAGTAGTAGTGATGGGAATCAAAATATTGTTAAAGGGCTCAAGCTAATTTCGATGATTGCCCCGTAAGTATTGTTTGAACAAATCCATACTTACATTATAAATATGAAAGTGTGTTTGTTACGCTTTTAGGCCGATCTTGAAAATACTTACAGTAATGGAAAGCTACATAATCAGCGAGTAACACAGGCTACTTTTTACCACGATAACCAAAATACACGCAGGCGGAGCCTATTTAAAATTCGCCATGGATGTAGATGTTATTCATGGTGAGATTATAGAAAAGTAGTATGTCCAAACATTAAGGAATGTTATTGTAACTGAGATAAAAAGCAAGAAGTTAATGCCCAGTTGTTTGTAAAATTGCCCTGCAGTATTAAGAAGACTAAGAAGCAATTTAAAAAATAACAATGAAGACGATAACATTCAAGCTCAGTTAGTTACTTAACTTTATGATGAATTTATTTTGAACCACACGGAGATTTCCATTTTTTTTTACTATTCCATGTTTTCTATTGTATAGCAAGTGATTAATAAAGTCATATTTTTATTCAATTTGGTTGAACCAAAAAAAGATTGATTCTCAATGTAGCAACAGGGTTGATATGTCAAATACTATAGTCTACATACACCGGTTTGGAAGAAAGAAGGTAAAATGTATCTCAATTTGTGAATTCCTATGGCCTTAAAGAATTGCTATGTTAGAGTAAGAGACAAGAAGTAATATTAGAATAATATAATACAGTTAAGCCATTACAATAGGAAAAAAAAACATTTTTTTGCAGACCAGTCTTCTCTAATAGTATCAAAGCCTTTTACAGATTCAGACAAATGCAAAATGATATAAAATTTAGCAATTGATATAGACATCACGGTCTGATATTAAAATTGAGTAGTTAACGATTTGATGAAAGGTTTATGTCATTTAAGGATCAATTTTAGAGGATAATATTGTACATGCATGTCTGGCCCCATAATTAACAGGAATGTTATCAAAACAATCTGATTGGATACTGTAGCCATCAAATGCGATGGTGCATGCAAGAGCTGGTCATCCTAGCTCCTCTGCTCGTTATTAACCATGAAGGATGACCATGATCAAAACAACATTTAATTATAGTTTGTACTTTAATTTACACATTATTTGCTACTCAAACAAAATAATTGTCTGTTTCTAAGATGTATCACATTACTAAAATAATAATGACACCTCAAACAGTGGGTAAAGTATCTATCTATAACTATTTTAAAATTTGATCACAAAATTTTGTACATATAATAAAGTTCATTACATTAAACATTAATCGTTCACTAATCTGGTCTAACTGGTGAACATGATTAACCACATGACTAAGTAATTGAGACTGTGATTTGGTCACAACATACACACTTAAGGGTTGAACTAAAGTTAATTTATTTATTACCATATAAAACCTTATAAGAAGTATTACAGGAAATCTGTTCTAGTATACAGTAATGGTTCACAGGAAGGGTTTTTTTGATTACAAATAGCAAACTAAAGAGTACCATCACTCTATAAAAATATGTAACAAAAAATTTAAAGAATATTACCACAAAAGTCGGTACAGAAAACATTTAAGAACAAAACAACACAAAGCAAAACTGGCTGCTGCAGAAAACTAATATACCAATGTATTAACTCTACCAGATAGTACAAATACAGAAAATACTAAAAAATATACGCTAAAATTACCTATAACTAGAACATATATGTCTGTCAAAAAAAATGTTTAAATGATTGATGTTAAAAGAAAATGTTTATTTACCTCCTTTTGAAGTTAAGCTGGGCAACGGATGAACGTGGTCCACTGACAATAATGCACCTTGAAAAGCTGCTAGGTCGTTATTAAAATCCATGACCACAACCTTATTTTATATTGCAAAATATCAGCTGGTCTCAAAACGTTTGTACCGGTTCGAAAATTACAATATTATGCGTGAATGAAAAGCAGCAAGTTAAAAATGAAGTATATGCCAGTTTGACAGTGACGTAAGATGCATTGTTTAGTAACTAGTAGGTACTATGTTGTTGGAAAAACATTTCCAGCACTTTAAGGTAATTATAAATAGGTAGATAGTTCAGGTGAACTATCTACCTATTTATAATTAATACGAACTAAATAACGAACTAACTTAAAATCTAATCTATCTACCTATAAGTATAAATTTGAAAATGTGCACAACAATTACAGAAGATTTGCAACTAATTATTTAAAACATTTCAACTAATTTCGATATTATTTTGCCGGCATAACGCACACCACGTTGTCGTGGAGTGCGAGGGAGCGGCCACACAACGGGTAAGTATCCTCTCAGATACAAGATCACTCCCAGAAGGCGAACGTCCCAGGGAATCATGTGGTAATTATGAATGTCTCTATGTATATATTGTATTCCTGTTGAGAGTAATAACCCAAACTGGATAAATATTTATTACCACAGATTATAATTGGTACAAGTGCCAAAAGATCAGAAGTCCCTGGGACGTTCGCCTTCTAGGAGTGATCTTGTATCTGAGAGGATACTTACCCGTTGTGTGGCCGCTCCCTCGCACTCCACTCCATGACAACGTGGTGTGCGTTATACCGGAAAAATAATATCGAAATTACTTAGTTGTTAAAATGTGTTAAATAATTAGTTGCAAATCTTCTGTAATTGTTGTGCACATTTTCAAAGTTATACTTATAGGTAGATAGATTAGATTTTAAGTTAGTTCGTTATTTCATAAAATTATTTTGCATTTTCTACTTTACCGCAACCAGACAGATTTTCTTTTTTAATTGGAATATTGAAATAAATATTAGCTATATAATTAGTTATCTAAACGAGTTAAATGTTGCAACTTATTTTGTATTTGTTTTTTATTCGGCTGCGAAGTTATTTGAGATCCTGCTTGAGTAACGTTTGTGGGTTTGCTGGATCTCTGAAACGGGTAAGCTGATTCTAATCATCTTTTGCACATAACTTCTTAAGATTTAGTTTTTATTTGTTGTGCAATAAAAAATGAAAATAATGAACTATTATTTAATTAAGTATAACACGCATTGTAAAACACTTCAATACGTCCTAACACTTTGAGTAAGACCTCTTAAGCCTTCAAATGTATTTAAGAAATTAACAATTGATGATGAAATGTAGCTCTCCTCGTTCATGGTCTTTAAATTTTGACCACACTCAAACCTATATTGATATATAAACCGAATGTTATATCAATAATTTAATCAGTTGCTCAGTTCAGTTTTATACCTGTAAAATTGTATAGTGGCACATAGAATAATTAACGAGATTTTAAAATAAAAGGCAATGCAAGACCGTGGTAACCCGACCATGTTTAGGTGCTTTAAAAAAAGCGACCGCGTAGTACATTTAGGATTGCACGAGGAGTAATAATAGTCTCACACACGGCTGCGCCCTAGCCGCCCTGCCGCCCGACCAGAGGCTCTTCAGCAATAAATTATTGGCACATATTAACATATAATTAGTGCATTAATTCAAAAATAAGAATTAATGCACTAATGTAATTACTAATTTCTATGTATACCATGTATTTACAAAAAAAAGTATATATGTCTTTATATCAGTTGTCTAGTACCCATAGTACAAGCTCTGCTTAGTTTGGGACTAGATGGCGTTGTGTGTATGTGGTAGAATATATTATATTAATGCACTAATTATTGGAATAGGTCTTATTACGCATTTCCTTTAGAATCTCGTGCTTCAAACATATATATATATATTGTAACGATGCATTTCGCACCATTACAGAAAAGTTAATTATCGACGTGTTGTTATTTTGACAGATGAATTTCCTGACGTTTCAGTAAGATCCGACAGATGGGGTCACAGTCGAGATTTTTTAGTCTATTTTAATCGACTATTGTGTTGATTCGGTCTATGGAAGTATTCATTCTATGATAGTTTTTTTGCACTACTTGACTAGCTACCCTGTTTTGTCGCTTTTGCGTTTATCTGGGCGAAGTGAACAGGGTAGACATGTTGTGATTTTTGAAAGATGGAAATGTAATCCGTTTCCATCTGTTATAATCACCTTTTATTGTTGGCCAGTTTTGTTAAGAAAATAAGTTTTTTTAAAGGAGGTATTATTTTGCCTTTTTGGTAAGTTTTAATTCGACGGGGTCGGCACGTTTTCGTACTTGGCTTAAGGAGACTAGTGTTCTAAATCTTTGATTATTTGGTTACAGGAATTATTAGTAATGCCTCCGAATTATTTGTGAGACGTTTTGGAACCCTGGTGAGTAAATTATTGCATCTTACAAGGCTTAGACTTCATCTATGGAGATAGGGAAATAAACTATAATTTTCGTTTGTTACAGTGCCGTAACAGGGTTATTTTCTTTTTTTTTAGTTTTGGCTTTTCTTCTTATTAGATTGCAATGTCCTTACGTTACAATTAGCTTTTTTTTACCTCACCTTTTTTTTTTTTTTTTTTTTTTAACGTGTGGAAATCCCCTCGGATCGTCACCCCACCGGGGTTTGCGGCGGGGTGGTGTGTCGGACTCGGACCGACTAAAACCACACGGTGTGCCACTCTGCGCCTGTAATAGGAGGGATCCGGGAACAGCTGTTATTAAGACATCCGGACCCCTCCTAGCGCCGGCCCGCTCCTGTTGCGGGCCCCGTCTCAAAATTTTCCTCTCTTTAGGCGACGTCCGGCACACGCGGACGCCGCCCCCTCGCGGCTGGCCAAACTAATGCGGGTGGAGGGGAAACCTACCCCTTCCACACGCGGCCACACTCAGGGCGGCATGAGGCGGTGATAGGCGCGCCTCCGCCGCCCGGTTCGCCGGCGGCGGATCGGGTCCGAGTGGAGGTCGTCCTCCCGGGCCTTCTCCGCCGCCTCCTTCTGCGAGATTACTTCCTCGCAGAAGGTTGCGACCGCGGTAAAACAACCATGAAGCGTACTACGGCCGGCAGCGAGAGATCCACTCCGATGACTGCAGTGAGGGCCCGGCTGCGTCGCCCATGTGGGGCAGACCGCCAGCGTGTGCTGGGCCGAGTCCTCACTGCAGTCGCAGTGGTGGCAGGCGGGACTCAGTTCCCTCCTAGCGACCGAGTGCAGGTACTTTCCGAAGCAACCGTGCCCGGAAAGCACCTGCGTCCGCCGGAAGGTAAGGGTCCCGTGCTGCCGCCCTGCCCACTCGGCGATGACCGGCTGGAGAGCCTCCACGGCGGCGAAGCCAGTCTCCAGCCGGAACGACCAACGAGCCATCGTGGTTCGGCGAGCGGCTTCACGCCACTCGCGCACATCCTCGGGCGGAGGGCGAAATCCGCTCTCCGCCAGCCACTCGCCGATAAACTTCGGCGAGCAACTTCCGCCTCCAAATCCCACGGGGGAGTTCCGGCCAACGCGCAAGCCACCTCCGTCGAAACGGTGCGGTAACCGCGTATGGCTCTGACCGCCATTACCCTCTGAGGGCGCCAGAGGCGTGCCCTATTCTGGGCGGTCAGAGCCGCCGCCCACACCGGTGCACCGTATAGTGCCATTGACCGGACAACCCCCGTGTACAGCCGTCTTGTCGCGACGCTGGGTCCACCCAAATTGCAGGGGCGTGCGCTCCTTGTAGGCAGAAATGCAGTGCTTTACTTGCTATTCACAGACATTTTTAATAAAACGTTGGTACGTTTTAGATGACTTTAATTAATAGTAAATAAATGAAAAAACAAAATATAATAAATTAAAAACGCGTACTATTTACAAATAGCATAGCACCACACAAACATTGTTTGCCAGGTGTTTACCGAAAAGCAAGCGCAAAGCAACTCATGCCGTCGCCTCGCGCAGGACATTTGTTCGCATGTGTGTAGTAATTTTGGTGTCCGTGCACAGTTCGCATACGCACACACCCATTTATTTTATATGCCCGACTACAGCCGCAGGATGACCTTCGGTTGTCGGCTCCCGCGCTAATCGTTGTCGTCAGTATTCGGGTATAATCGGCAGTGTTCGTTGCCTTTAAATCCACCCAATTACAATAGTCAGAAATATAATGAATCATGTATGCGGATTATGAATTTTGAATATGGTAAGGTTTTATTTGTTTAATTAGCAGATATGTTTCTTGTTCGCGGGGGCCATATTGATTTTTTCATGTGATAAGCATTGTTTACTATTTTCTTTCCGCCAGTATAATTAGTAGTAGTAAATAGTTTTATTTGAAAGTGTGTACATTTAACAGTTTATTACTGAGTTCCGTTGATTTTTTTAAAATGTTATTTGATTGTGAGGTATGTGTGGAAAATTTGTGTATAATTTAAATTAAAAATAACAAGTTCTCACAATTGTCATTCAGTGAAAAGATTAAAATTGTGTCTAAAGGTCTGTAACTATCACTCACTTGGATAAGATATTTGAGGTGGCCGAAATCTTGCGTTTATTTACATTGGGATATAGTAATCTCAAGTAACCTTAACCTTGAATATGTGAATATCAGAAAATTGAAGATGACCAGGTGAGTAGTTATAATATTTTAGCTTATTATTTTACTTATTAGAATTTCCTCCGCCGTGATCTATCGCCGATCTATCGCAGTTTTGTCAGTGTTCCCGTTGAAGATGTACATGAATAGTAGTACATCTAAGACTTGTTCTGTTGGCAGGGTTTCCGACTTAGAGATCCATCGCGTGGCTGTGGCTAAGCTAAAAATCTATAAGAGAAAAAGTTTTTGCGACCGACTACTCTGCCGCATACCTAATGTCATAATCCTGTGCACGCCGCTGCGGCAAATTGGGCAAAAGTCGCCCTAGGGCAGACGCAACGCCGACCAGCTTTGGAGCAAGCTGTCCACTGTGGTGGACCACGCCGGGGCCCATGAAATAACAGGGCCTCCGTCTTATCTAGGGCCACCCGTAAGCCCAGCGCCTCAATGCGCCCGACCACCAGGGAGACTCCCCTTGTGGCCAGGCGCGCCGCCTCTTGGAAGTTCGCCCCCCGGGCTGTCACCAGAGTATCGTCTGCGTAACAAATTACACCCAGCCCGGGGGGGAAATCGGCTCGAAGGGCCCAGTCGTAACCTATGTTCCACAAGAGGGGTCCAAGAACAGACCCCTGTGGAACACCGCACGACATGGGCCGACACCTCAAACTACCCTCTCGGTCCTCGTACACGACGGTACGCTCCTCTAAATAGTCTGCCACTAGCCGCCTCAGGTACTTTACCTCACAACCTGCCTGATCCTGGGATTTAGTTTGCTTCGGAGAGTGGATTTCCTTTCCTAAGTACCTCTAATGGTAGGAAAAGTCCTCTGACTGTAGCCCATTATTTGGATTCACTTGGGACAGGAACCAGGAAGGTTGGATTACTTACCCCGCCACGACGACAACCACGTGGAGAACTGGAGTGAGCGTTATAAGAGTTAGTTATACCATAGTTCCAAACGGACTGTGCCGGCGTTATCGGTATGTCTTTTTGTTGTATATGAATTTTTACTGGCGTTGTCATAACGGATACTGTGGGCTCTAAGGGGCGTTATTATTATTATTATTCTGGGAGTTGGTCGTTATGATAACTAACTTTAATTTCTTTATGTATTAAACAGTCTCTATGTGACTTTTAAAGATATTTTACCTCTAATTTGTATTATCAAGGTAAACAGATTGCATTAATGATAGAACTAATTTGAGAATAAGAATTACATTTGTAATTAGACCTATAATATACCATGTACTCTACAGACACTACGGAATAAATAAACTGCCCCTTAATCTTATAACATCTCTTTATTTAATAGCTGCCCCCCACCCTTGATTAAAAGTCTAAGCGCTGACCGAGCTATTCCAGGTATTTATTGTATTTGTTATTAGTTGTCTATGTTCATTTAAGCCGGCACCTGGCGCCCGAGATTATTGGTTTTGTTAGAATTTGTGAGGCCGGACCAGTTAGTTCATTCATTTGTATTCAACATAGACATTCATTAGTTATAAACTTATTTTACAATATATAGATAAAAAAAAAAATTAAACACATTTTTATGTCGCACCTTTAATGATAAACTGAATTAATTCAAAATTTACGTTTTTCGAGTTTTCAAGAAATACCAAATCAACTTCATCAGTAGTACACGAACAATCCAACAGCCGACTCGATACCATGAAAATGGCAGAGATAAGAGATCGTCGTTCTCTTTTTGACGAACTCGCACGTACATGAATGTCAAACTTTAAATGCGATTTCCCACAATATTGAAATTCTAAGTTAATTCAGTTTATGAATAAAGGTGCGATGTATCCTATTTATTGCTTCTTTGTAAACTATCAAGATTTTTCCGTGCTGTTTGGAAAGTCGGGTCAATTTTTAACGCATTAATATACATTTCCTTGGCTAAGCTGTATTTCTTCCAGCGGTGGTAAAGTACTCCTGCAACCAAAGATATGTTTTTGCAAAATTGATGATTAATAAAATAAGTAATTAAAGAACCTCATTGAGTAGTAGAGTAGCGTAGTAGTAGAATCAAAAAAGCACGTTGAAACAGATTTTACTTCTCTTATGAAGTCAAACTTGAACTGTTTCAGGGCTACTCCGCCACAGAACAATAAAACTAATTTAAAAAAACAACTAAGCCCGGGCGCATTCACAGTGCCTGTTCAATATTCGATGCAGTTTCATTTGAAGAGGATAATATAATTATTTTACATGTAAAACATAGGAGAGCGCGTTGCGTATTTTTAACTTACCTAGGTTAGCATAATGTATCGCTTGTACTTCTATATTCAGTAACTTGATAGCTTTCTTGAAGTGTGTTTCTGCCTCACCATACCGGTTCAATTTGCCATACATGTTGGCAATGGCGAAGTTGATTGATGGGGCATCTGGCAGTTCTGTTAGCACTGTTGGTATGATTTTCAATGCTCTTTCGATTTGACCTGTAAAATATCTTTGATTTAAAATGAAGCAGAAAGGTTGATCTTTAATAAATAAAATATAATTTGAAATACGTGACTCAGTAAATTACAAAATCTCATCCTTAATAAGATGGCGGTTAGTTGGTTTTTATTTTATCTTGTTTATAAAAAAAGTTACTTTTATAATGTTCTGTTCTTATTTAAAAATGTACAAGAGTATGTGATGAAGGTCTACATTATAATAATAATATTGTATTGATTTCACCACATTGAGATCATTATAATTGTAAATTGATGAAGATAATTGAGAAATAGATGATTATAATTGTAAATTGTTAATTATAAAGTTTTAACAGAACATACCTGTATTGTCCATTAAAGCCATTAAATTGGTCCATGCTAACACATGTTTTGGATTCTGATGAATAGCTTGAGACCAACTGTTTATAGCTTCTTCGGTTTTATTTAATTCAAGGTACTGTAATTTTAAAATTATGATACTATTTTTTTGTATGTATTCTTATCCATGGTGTGCAATAAAGAGTACCTATCTGTTTATGATGAATTAAGAAATGGGATAAATAAAATGATGTTTCAAGTTACTAAAATGTCATAAAGAATATAAATATCTTAATAATAAACAGCTTCGACGGGAGCCTTATATCAAACTCAGCTGGGCCCTAAGCTTGTAGGGCATTCTCGAAATTATAAAATGTTAATGTGCGAAATTTTCTTACCAGGTTACCTAAATTATAATAGCAGTCTGGATATTTTCTTCGATAGTTTAACGCTGTTCTATAAGCTGACTCAGACTGGTCAAATCGTCTAGTATGGGCGAGAACTATTCCCAAATTCATCCAAGCTGCCGGAAAATCTTTTCTGTCGAAACATAAAACTAGGACATTTAACTCACGCACCGATAGACTCTTCTTTTACTAGACTTAAATAAGAAACGTGTTTAATATTGTAATAGTATACTATGAAATAACATAAGCTAATTTAGTTGTTAAATTGTATTACGTGTTAAGTGTGTTATTGGTTGTATGAACTCCCACGAGATGGTACTCGGCTATAAGGGTCAATCGCTCTATTAAGATTCTCTAAGACCAAATGATATCGCTGTATAACCTATGTTGTGTAACAAAAATAAACCTGTACTTGAAACAGCATTCTGCAGTATTATTACTCCTTGCTGTATTCTAATCGCTAAGTCAGCGGCACGCTAGTGCAATAGTGACTGAGTGACTTGTTGGCAGCAATTTACTAATTAAGAAATATGTGATTTCCTAATTAATAAATCGTTTATTTTAGTTTTAAAATACTTGTGGAAGTGAGTACAGTGAAATATAATAGAAAACTTTCATACTTGTGTTTAACAGCAGCTCGAAGATAGTATTCAGCTTCAGCGAATTGTTTTTGATTTTTAAGAATATTTGCCAAGTTGTTCATGGCCTGGTAGTATTCCGGAAATAATCTGCAACAAAACAAGATATGTTTAAAAAAGTGGTGTGAAACAAAAGGACTTCCTTTTGTTTCAGAATTGTTCTTAAACCAATTTCTTACACTTGTTTATATGGTGAATTTTCTCTCTAACAATGGAACATTTACGGTCACATGGTATAGTATCCAAAGAATAAGTCTCGCGTACTATAGTATATTGCCTATACATTTTTTTTTCTTTTACTTTTGGCAGAAGTTTATGAAATTATGCATTGATAAAACAAATAAATCGGCACTAAAACTAAACCATTAAAGTTTGCGGTACCCTTTGAATTTGGGAAATGGATGTTTTCGCGGCTTTCTTTAACATTCGGAAATGGAAAAGAAAGGGCTTCACCTTTTCTCTTTATCAAAACTCTGCTTAAGAAAAGGAACTAATGAATAAGTTTCTCACCGAATAGCTTCTTTATATTCTGCCAGTGCAAAACTTGTTTCATGGTTAGCATCGGCAGCTTTAGCGACATTATAGTGTACCTTAGCATTCAATGGGCACACAGCTAATGCACTCACGAATAGGTTATATTCATTTTGCCAAGCTATTGACCTTGACCAACTCCGTACAGCGTATACTAGTAACAGTAATAGGAACATAAAAACTCCAATCTGAAAAAGAAACTAAAACTTTATTACCTCCTTAAAATAAGATATACACAATTACACATGGTTCGTCAGCACTAATAAGTTCCAAATAATATTAATTATTATTAACATGATACCTTAAATTGTTTGAGATTTCTTTTTACTAGACTATAAAGAAGAGTTAGGCGGCGGTAGCGTAATGGCTCGTAATGGGTTCGAACCAGAACCAATATAGAGCACATAAATACACACGCTAACGCTAACAGTATTCTTTCCCTATCCTTTGATGTGATCATACTATCTGAAACATGGCTTACACCTAGTATATTGGATAATAAATTTATCGACGACCGCTAAACAGTGTTTAGAGACGATCTAGACCGTATTGCTACAAACAAGCCTGAAGGGGAGGCATCCTGATGTGCGTTTTACGTGAGCTACGGGCCGCAAGAATATAGGCCACTGCTGGACATAGGCCTTTCGCTGCTGGACATAGGCATTGCACGCCACTTAGATCGATTTTGGGCTTAATAAGCGCTAGCTATGTACCGCCTTGTATGCGTGATAATGTATATATGTCTCACTTTTCCGACTTAGTGAGCTATGCACGGATTCATTTTATTTAGTGGGTGACTATAATCTCCCCGGAATTAATTGGCCGGGTATTGGTAGTCACTTGTTGGTCACATTCGTAGGCGCAAAATGACGTGAGCCGGTTTCTAATTGATCTGATTTCCACTACGAATGCTACACAATATAACAACATTAAAAATAGCTCGGGTCAGAGACTTATTCATCAGTAATACCGAATGCAAATTAGAGTTAGATATGACGTTACTTCAGCCTGACAATCACCATCCTCCATTTTCTATCTTGACTGGAAACTCAGTACACACCAATGAAGCGCCCAAGCGCAAATAAATACAATTATTATAAAGCTAATTACCAAGGAATAATTGCAGAACTAAATAAAGTAAATTGGAATGACGTATTTCTTCATCTCATCAGTGAACAAGCAGTAGATGTTTTTTATAAATATTTATAGTGTTATCAAACAAAAGGAACGTGCTTGGGCAAGGTGGAAAAAACCTTCAAAAACTATCAGATTATGAAAAATTCCCCATTTACCGAAAACATTTCAAACAACTATCTGAACAATGTTAGAAAAAGTATGTATCATCTGTTGAAGATAGAATACCAAACAATGTTAAGTACTTTAGGTCGTACATTTCTAAACGCAGGAAGGACAGTGGTCTTCCTGATAGGATGTGTTATAAAAAAATATTTTATAACAAACCCAAAGAAATCTGCTCATTATTGCCCTTCTTTAACTCGGTTTATGAACCATCTCCCTTTGAGATTTGGTCACCCCCTAATAAACTTGCTGAGATATCTTCTTGCATTTCTGACATCTATCTCGAAAATAATGTCATATTAAAGTCAGTAATCACACCAATTGATAAAAGTGGAGACCAAAGTAATATAGTAACTATTGACCCATATCCATACTGTCCGCCTTGTCTAAGCTTTTTTAAAAGTCTATTACACGGTCAATTATTTCCTCAGCTGAGTCATCGCATTATTCCCGAACAACATGAATTTGTTGAATCCCGATCTACTACTACAAATTTAATGGTCTTTACCCAATTTTTATTTGGAAACATGGATAAGGGCATCTAGGTTGACTTTCAGAAAGATGTGATAAGGTGGACCACAAAATGCTTTTGGACAAAATTGCCTTCAACGGCATCAGAGGTAATTTACTTAGATGGTTCACATCACACATATTCCGTAGAACTCAAAAGGTCGTTGTCAATTGTTATGAGTCCGATTACACGGTCGTCGGGTCCGGAGTGCCCCAGGGCTCAGTACTAGACCCGTAGCTTTTTCTCTTGTTTATAAAAGATATTAGAACCTGTTTAGTTAACTCAAACTCTACTCTACTCTAACTATTCCTCATGTATGCTGACGATATGAAGATCTATAAGACCTGCACTAATATTAAGGATTGCATACTACTACAAGAAGATCATTGCAGGCTCTCACAGTACTGTGTTGCTAATAAACTACACCTTAGTCTACCAAAATGTCACTTCATATCCTTTACAAAGAACAAAACTCCTATTAACTTTCCGTATACACTAAATGACACAAATCTAAGGAAAAACGAATGTACTCGAGATCTGGGTATTCATCTAGATTTTAAATTACATTTAGAAATTCATATTGACAACTTCATTAGTAAAGCCTTTCAGATGTAAGGTTTCTTCATGGGCTCTTGTAAAGAATTCAAAAAGCCCACTACTTACCTTTTCCTATATAAAGCATTAGTCCGTTCCCGGTTAGAGTTTGCAGTAACTATTTGGAGTCCCTTTTATAAGAAATATAAGCAGAGGATAGAAATGGTACAGAAAAAAATTCCTTGTACTACCTATTACAAATGTTTTCATGCTAGGATTCCTTATGTGGATCATCTGAAACATTTTAAGCTCTTAAGCTTGAAGCATAGATCAATGTTGACATTTTTTAATTAACTATCTATCTAATATTACAACATATAATTCACCGATTGTGTATGGTGCGTTACCGTTACCTTTTCTACTCCAACTATATACTCGTGGTCAACAGTGCTGGTTATACGTTTTAGATATGTAAGTTCTAATTTACTTGTAAAGACTTCAACGTATAACTGTTTTTTGTCCCAAATAAATAAAATAAAATAAAGATTTATACTTAGTCCATACGCGTTAAGAAAAGAGTGACGCATCGATCAAGCCTCGCCCCTTAACCAATCCGAAGAAATTATGGTTTCGAACGAAAGCTTGGAACCTGACTTCGCTTTGGGCGAATGGGTTATAGCGTAGTTGGGGTTAACAATAGTTTTGCTGTATAGTGTGACCCACATTACTACTATAGTTTTTGTATGTAGCGATATGCTTTATACCACTGAAGCATCCTGCCGGCGGGATAAAATTCTTAAGAAAACAGGTATTTATTATGTGAACCATTTACTGTTAATTTGACCCCTACTCTTTACATAAAATTAATAAATATTTTGTTAAAGCATTCAAAATATTTTACATAAAAGTAATTGTTTTTTTTTTAACAAATATTTATGAAAAGTATTTTCAATACAACGTTAAACTGTACTAATATTGTTCAAGGTTGACACGAGGTTTAAAATAATATACCTACTGAGAGTTAAATTGATTTGATGAGATTTTATTTTGCTCCCCATTATATGAGCTCAAAAAAGGGGATTCTTCAGTTCAAATATCGAATGGATGCGCCTAATTCATTAGGTGGCTATCGACTTCTTTAAGCCCTCCCTAGGATAGGAATAGACTAATTTTAATATTTATCTAACAAAATGAAAGCCGTAAAATGTAAGTATTAGCAGGAAGAATTAATTCTGTGCTACTTGTAGCATACACACAGAGGTATAATAACTGGAGATTATTGTGTATGTACTAGATGTACCTAGACACTAAGGTCTCCTGATTCTGTCGCAATAACAGTTGAATACCTGATTCCCTTAAACCTTGTAATGCCCATATTTACTGCTTGCTTTAAATATAGAGCTGTATAAACATATTGTTAGTCACACACCTTACAAGTAAACAATGATCTTCGATGCAACAACTTACTGAACCCCATGACTATTAACAAACAGTATCCGGCTGATGATATGTACAATATTCTCTCGGCTATTACAAAACCCACTGGATATAATATGTTGGATGCAGGAAGAAAAGGTATGACTCCTAATGATACTGCCAGTATTATTGTCCTGAAAAGAGATTGCATACATGTTTATTATTTGTTTGATCAGTTTAATAAAAAAAACGAATAATAAAAATCTTAGAACTATGTTAATACTACAATAAAGATACACGCCACAAATAACATCTATTTGTGGTAATTAAATGAGGTGACGCTTAAATATGCAGATGGACTTATGACCTGAGGAATGAGCAGAGAGCAGATTGAATGCGAAAGGCGGAAGACATGAAGTTATGGCGAACTTTTGAGAGCTTTATGTATAGCTGTGGACTGCAATTCATTGATTGTTTGTTTGCAGTGTTGAACAATTTGAGTAGTAGTTAAGATGCGTGTCCTTAATGTGCCTTGAACCATTCGTTCTTTTACTAAGTAGCCAGCGTTAAGGTATCGAATACTTCATATTACAAATACTGAACCCAATCTGCAAAATCTTAATAACGACAGTTAAGTATATTCATTTTTAAATTATCTGACTAAGATTATGAAAACGGTCTTCTGCACAACAGCGGCTATTACATGTTATTTTGTCTTCTGTTTTCATAAAAGAATGATAATAGAAAGACCAAGAAAATCATATATTAGAATCTTGTTTATGGGACCAAAAGTGACAATTAAAAATGTTATAGGTACCTACATATATTTTTATATTAGGTCTTCACCTATGAAATTGCCGTTTTGTATGCAATAAGTGAAAGTACTTATTTTTTCAAACTTTTTTATTTCTGTTATTCGAAGTAATCACCCATGCAATCGACGCATCTTTGCCAACGCATTGGCAGTTTATTGATGCCCTTCTTGTAAAAATCAGCTGGACGGGAGGCAACAAACTCTTCAAAGGCATTTTGTACTGCCTCTCGGGAATTGAATTTTTTACCCACTAAAAACTTGTCTAAATTTTGGAAAAAGTAATAGTCGGTAGGTGCAAGGTCTGGTGAGTATGGCGGATGAGGGACAGCTTCCAACCCCAGCTCTTGCAGCTTGGAGACTGTCTGTTGCGCAGTATGGGGTCGCGCGTTGTCGTGAAGGAGCAGTGGGGACGACCGATTGACCAAAGCTGGTTGCTTGGTACTCACCAGACCTTGCACCTACCGACTATTACTTTTTCCAAAATTTAGACAACTTTTTAGTGGGTAAAAAATTCAATTCCCGAGAGGCAGTACAAAGTGCCATTGAAGAGTTTGTTGCCTCCCGTCCCCGATGTAATGACAATAGCTCATTAATAGTGATATTAACAACATATTATACTTGGAAAATTAAATATACCTATAATTTCCATATAAATTTAAAATGTATTGTTTGCCCAACTATTACGAAGACATCGACGACAATTGTATCAGTGACAATTCAGTGACAAGTCATCGGGAGACCATTGGTCTTACATACTTAGTAGAATAAGAAAAGTGCAAAAACAGAATTCATGGTTGATTCACTTTACGATTGATCAGGGCCCCCTGATCAATCATAAAGTGAATCAACCATAAATAATGGATTGGCATACCTACATACCCTCCCCTATTTATACAGACATAGAAAAACTAATCACACTCATCTCACAATTTTTGTCCTGGATCGAAATCAAATCCACGACATCACTAAACACTAGACCAACAGGCCAGAACAAGGTGTTGACTAAGCTTGAATTAAATAAATTACACCTTAGGACTAACAAATTTTACCTATATAATGGAACAAAAGATAAATACATTTTAGGTGCCTTACCTATTGGATTTTCGGTTTCTACTATAAAAAATTGCCTTTAATAATAATATTCCATATATATACATCAAGACAACTGGAAGCATTCTGACATCAGCGATTTTTTTAATTAATTGTACGCATCCCATTGACCAGTCATAACAGAGCCATTTAGGCCAAATAAATAGCAAAACATTTAGAAAGTATATATAACTGTATGTTGCTACCTGTAACAATGATACTTTTAAATATGAAATGTAATATTTTCTTGTATGAATAAAAGCCAACAGGGACTAGGACTGCTGCTAATAAAAAATACATTCCTTTTATTAGGGATGTTCAGGATGTGAGGTTATCGGAAATGGAGTCAGAATTTCAGTTCTTAAACTTGATTTATGGAACAAAAATCGGTAACGGAGTCAAAAAACTAAAGAAAAATGTTTGTTAATAGAGGATGAATTTAATATTGAAAAGTAACACAGAAAGAAAAAAATAGCATATAAAAAAATACCTTCGTAAAAGAATTTTCAGCAAATGCAGTTGGATTATCTGTTGGCTTAAATTCTGGTTTAATTCCTCCCATAACAATCCATCTTAAATACAGAAGACTCATTGCAGATAACGTAATAAAAATTATTCTAAATATTGAGTCGGCATCTACACGGACTTGCACATAATTAAAGCCTTTGGATTTTGTTAAATCTCTTCCTTTAGGTTTTAAATTTACAACTATCTCATACACTACACATAATCCCTAAAAAAATAACAATATATAAATTAGGTTGTGGGCTATCTAAAATAAATATCATTAATTAATAAAAAGTACTATTAATACACAATAATATGTAAACCAAGCAAAGCATACATACACAATATAGCCTACTATAATACCATATTGTGTCTTAAAATAATGTGGTACAAATTATCATAGGTGCAGTCATCAACTTAGTTTTGAGTTTTGATATTCTAATATAAAGTTTAGTCTTACAAATATGCTGTAATTTCAGGTTTTTTTTTGTAGTACAGATTAGGTTGTACATAGTAGTATTATGTGTCCATTCTATGAAAACAATCATTTTTTTATCAATTCAAATCAAACCATTTATATTGCCAATATAGGTATAAAATAAAAATGTTAATTACACAACATATTATTCCAATCCATAATCAGCCAATAGGCATGCGACAAGAAATTTGATAGGATTTAACTTTTTAAGCAACATAACTCCTTTTCAACATTCTCATTCAATTTCATTATGTCTGCTATGATATTTAGTAACAACTCTAGTGTAGTGTTGTATAAGTTAACATTATACTTACCAAAACTGTTATTCCATTTTCCTTACAAAGCATGGAGATAGCAGATAAAGTAACTGTACATATTAAATAAATGTATCTCCAATGTAGACTAGATGTTGCTTTATTATAGGATAAAAATGCTAAAAAAAATGTCATAGAAGCAAGAAGATCTGCCCTGCCAACTATACCACACACTGCTTCCACATGTACTGGATGTACAGCAAACAATAATGTTGACAGATAGGGCACATCCATCCACCACTTTTGGCTGAACCCATTTTGAGAAGTACATTTCTCACTCATTTTACAGCCTTTATTAGACTTCTTACCATTAACCATATGTTCAAATACCTTCCAAAGTAATATGCAGCAAATTACATGGCATACTAAGTTTGTAATTTTGAAGTGTAATGCAGACAAACTGCTTTTATTTAGTAAATAGTTAAGCCTGAAACAATTAATTTAATACCATTAACTTTGTTACTCTTTTGAATGGTATGTTGCGTAGACATTACTATAAATTTTTATTCATCTCATTGATCTTTTATCATTGAGCATTGAACTTTCTTATCTTATTGAAAAGGTTTAAAATTTAGCATAATCCAGATTGTCAAACATACGTTATAAATCATGAGATAATACTATTAAATTGCTAAGATTTCAGTACTTTTACCTGAAGGAAAGTATTGTAAGAGGTCTGTAAGATTTGTGGCTGAGATTAGATTTTACATTGGCACCCCAAAAATCATTATTAAACACGTCTGTCCAATACTCAGAAGTTATGTCCTTGTTTTTAACTATAGCCTCCGAATCATCAAACACAAAGTCACCGTTTAAGGTAAATAGAAACGGTAAAGACGACAAGCACACGATTACCGATAACTTTTTTTTCATTTTGTATGAATATAAATAAAATCCACCAAGTCTATGAGACTTATTAAAAAATTAGATTATGCTATTTCTAAGCTATTAACAATAATTTTTCTTAGTCTTAATATTTTAAATCGTACAGTTATATAGATTTTCAATATCGTCTTTATGATATGGTATGGATAGACGTCAGACGACATCACCAAGACATCAGACACCAGAATAATGAAGCCACAGATAGTGAAGCATTCATCTGTCATTTGATTTTGTCTTCTTCTTCTTCTTCATAAATGGCAAACTGTGTCGATGTCGACAATTCTGCCAGTGTCAAGTGCGATCAAAATACGTGGGTTTTATTACACAAAAAATTTAATTGATAACATTAGTAGTGGACTGAATGTGGGGCTTTTTGTTGTGGTTAGTAGTTACACTGAAACAAGCAGACAAGTACATATAGATAAGATATGTATTAAATGAATAAATAGTTAACTAATAAGTAAACAATCACAAAATAAAAATCCAATATTCATAGAAATGAAGGTCAAAGTCTGATGTCATTGGATCGGATGAACAACATCAAGACCTGGAGAAGGTGGGGGGATGAAAATGTTAGGAGAGATGAAAAGTTAATAGGGATGAGGATTTTTAATTCGGTAAGGTGAGAATAGAGATCTAGGCATGGGATATTTTTAGGACAACAGAAGAATATGTGATCTAGATTGCCTTCATCTAAGCCACATTCACATATGGATGAATCCTGTACCCGAATCTTGTTTAGGAACACTGGTGAGCTGCAGTGACCTATGCGGAGCCTACATATGGTGGCGATGACAGGTTTACATACCTTCTTAAATTTATAGAACCAGGGTTTTGGGGTAATGCTTGGTTGTATTGCGTAGTAGTGACGCCCTTTATGCTGTGAGGAATTATTCCACTCTACCTGCCAGGAAGTTAACAATTATCTCTGAGGCAGTCTTAAGAGATCGTAATACTGGTGTACAAGGTGTTTCTGGTCCGACATTGCAGAAGTAGCAGCACTTTTGGCCAGTGAGTCTGCACACTCATTGCCCACAATGCCACTATGGCTGGGAACCCAAACCAGTTGAACCATTTTCGAGTTGATGGTTTCAATTCAAAAGGTTTTTTTTTATTTCCAGGATCAGCGAACTGTGAAGTTTGCTACAAAAGGGATTTTGTAGCAGGGCTTTAAGGCAACTAAGAGAATCAGTGAATATGACTGCCTTGTGGATGTTGTGCGAGTCAATGTACAAGCATGCCTCTAAAATAGCAACACACTCGCCTGTAAAAACTGAAGCCTCCTTTGGACACTTATACTGTAAGAGAATTCTGGAGTTTTGGAAGTACACAGCGGCTCCAGTGTAGCTATCATTATTCAGTTTGGATCCATCAGTAAAGAACCTCTCAAACCCATCCCAGTGTTCAGCTAAGTGTGTATTAAACAGAAGAGGCAGATTTCTTAGGGATTGCAACATCCAGAAGAACATTCGGCTTAAAACAAAGGACGCTATAATTAAAGGAAAACAGAGGGAGTTTGTCAAATGACACGGCAGAGTTAAAAAAAGTAGAATAGTAGCGAAAGGATTGTAGAATCAATGGAATTCCCTTATAAGTTCAGTAATTTGAGGTAGTACAAATGGAGTCTAATTCTAAAATTTTTTGAAGAAGACGATGAGAAGATTTTCAAACAGATTTTATTATAAAACGTGAAGCGAGAAATTGTCTTCTTATTGATAAAGGTTGATCTGAACATTCCACTTGTAAGGCATATATAGGGGAGGACTTCATGCAACCAGTAACAATGCGAAGGCACCCAGATTGGACTCTGTCCAGCTTTGCCAAAGCGCTTTTATTGCATGGAATCAGTAAAAATAGCCCATAGTCCAATATACTACGTACTAAGGCATTATATACCAGTTTCATGGTGTATGGGTGGGCTCCCAACCAGAACCCAGCTAGGGCCTTTAAAATTGGGATTACACGTTCACATTTTGCGGTTAAATGGTTAATGTGGTGAACACCAGTCAATTTAGAGTCAAGATATACTCCTAGGAACTTAAATTTGTTTAATAAAGAAATTTCCTGCAGCTGTACATGGACATCAATCTGTGGCAGAGTCTTCTTTCTTGTAAAAATAACAACCGCCCTTTTCTGAGCAGAAAGACTAAGGCCATGATCTGATAGCCACTGCCACAGAGAATTAAGGGAAATAGTGAGTGATGTGGCTGCCTCTTGGATGGAATGGTTCGAAACATATAATGCCAGATCGTCGGCATATTGAAGGATGCTACAATCATTGTTTAGGCATGAGCCCATGTCGGCAGTGTATAGATTGTACAACAACGGACTCAGTACAGAGCCCTGTGGTAAGCCCCTCCAGGTCTTTCTTTGGCCAAACTCTTCACCCAAGATCCTTAGGACTAGAGTTCTGGACACAAGCATTGCGCATATGCAGTGGATCATCTTAACCGGAATTCTCAGCTGATGCAGTTTCTGCCTGAGAATGGGTATTAAGATATTGTCACTTTTTTTTTTTTTTTTTTTTATTAAGACATTGTCCCTTTTTTGTCATTGTGACATATGCAGCAGATATGTCGAGAAAAGATGTTAAAACAGATGCATTTTGTGACAGAGAAAGACGGAAATCAGTTATTAAAACTGCAACAAACTGCCCTTTGCGTAAGAAAAACTGATAGTTTGGCAGTAAATTCCTTGACTCTACAATCCATTCGAGACGGTTTTTGATGAGATGTTCTAATAATTTAATAAGGACTGATGAGAGGGCGATTGGCCTAAAGCTGTTTGGATCACCAGCATGTTTTCCTGGTTCTAGAATAGGGATAATAATTTGAACTTTCCATGTATCAGGGATCCAACCGTTAGAATAATAGAAATTCAAAATGTTTAAAAAGTAAGTTTTTGTACTAGGCTTGGCCTGAACTATGAAAGAATATGGAATGCCATCTCTGCCAGGAGCCGAGTCTCGCACACTGTTGAGGACCATGTTCAGTTCTTCTAGAGAGAATGGGTCGTCATGGGTATCCACTGACTGAAACGGTAAGTCTGGTAAGGTCGCTTCATTGAGTTGAGGGACATACGGGGGAGGGGGGCAATTCTGTCCAGGAAAAGCTCAGTTGTATTGGGTGAGATAGAGGAAGAGACAGAGGGCGAACAACCAGATCGGAGTCGATTTATGTTCTTCCACACCATTGAGGATGGGGACAAGGAGGAACAAAATTTAACCCAACCAGCGCGCTTCTTGCGTCGAAGGAGTCTTTTGGTAGAGGCGAAAACGTTTTGGTAGGTGAGTAAATTATGGATGGTCATATCAGCATTGTATCTCCTTTCGGACTCCTTCCTATACTTGACTGCCCTAGTACATTCACTGTCCCACCAAGGAGGTGACGGAATTTGGCTTTGCTTGAGTTTTTAATTTTGAAGGAACTGTCTGCACTTGATCTGATCGCCTCTACGAACGCGCCACAACAGTCCATCACGAGGTAACGATTATCATGGGTTAAGGGTCTAAGGTCTAGTCTGGGGAGAGCATTCCCAGAGTTTTCGAGGGTTTGGGAGAAATTTTGCCAGTTAGCTTCTGAAAGGATATATTTTAAAAGGGGGGGGGGGGGGGGGGGATTTTACCAAGTGGGTTGAAGTTGGGTGGGATACTAAAATTGGATAATGATCACTACCATGCGACAGATCGGTGCACTAGCAGCTGCGGCGATGTCCAGTGAGCCAATAGTCAAATCCACACAGCTACTTACTATTTTGACCTGGAAGAACTCTACGATTGGAGCAGCCACTGTTAACTACGCAGAGGCTCAGATCATCGAGGATCTCCACTAAACCTGAACCGAAAGAGTCGCAGTGTTCAGATCCCCATCTATAGCGATGGCAGTTAAAGTCTCCCATAACCAATATTGGGCCCTGTAGATCCTGTAAAATGGTTCTCAATGTAGGCAGGAAACTTTGATAGGGGTGAGCGATATAGATAGAGAGCACAGATATGTTACAGATCTTAGCTGCAACCACGCTGATATCCTCAAGGAATGGGGGCAAGGATAGGGGGACTAAGGGGATTTTAGTATTAATAAGGAGGGCAGCACCTCCATAGCCATCAGGCCTGTCACATCTAAGTATATTGAAATGGGGGACATGGAAGTTGAGACTTGGCAAAAGCCAGGTCTCAGCGAGAGAAATAGCCAGAGGCTTAAATTTGTTCAACAGGAATATCAGGTAGTTTTTAATGGAATACACTCCTCACATTCCATGGTAGGAATACTTTGTGGGACGCCATTTTTGAAATTTGTTAAAATATTAATGAGTGAGACAGCAACGTTGGACGGTATAATAGACTGGGATAGAGATGAATTGGGGGATAGTAGGGAGGTTAAGAGTTGTATCAGAAGATCAATAGTTGAGGGTTCAAGGGATGGGTTATTCATAGCACAACCTGCAGCATTTCCTACACTGTACGGTTGGGTAAATATATTGTTGAACAGGAAGCGAGTTGTAACAACAGTATACTCTTTTAGGCAGAACCTGGCCATCAAAAGTTAGGACACAGGTTTCCGTAGGTTTCCACTCCAATAGACCTTCAATAAAAGATTTCCTATTAAGGCGCCTGACTTTAATTATTGGGCCACAACCCTGCGGCACTGTTACAAATTTAATGACATCCTCATCATCCATGTCGGTGGGGATGTCTGATACTACACCCATTCTAGTGATGTTAAAGGTGGGGATGATGACAGTGTATTTATGTGTATTTAGTAAGGGGTTTATTAAAAATGAGTTGGCATCCTGACGGGATGCAAACTGTACTGACACCCTATTACGACCTACTTTTTTGACTCCATCTCTAACCACATTATTAATTTTATTTTTGAAGAGGAAAACACCAAAAGAGACAGGGTGGAGAGTTGTGCCAGAACCCAATTGGGTCTCCACGCGGGAAACATGAACAATGCAGGGACCAGTATTATTTGTCGTGTACTTGTCACGACCAAGCGGGCTTCTTATTTGATTAGGGTTACGTTTAAGAGGGTGGGTACTTAGCTCATCGTTCACATGTCAGGTGTCACATGAGAGGGCAATTATCTTGGACCACTGCATTGCAGATCACATTGGCAAACTATTCTAAGGGGTTGGAAGGGGTTGAGGGTTGATCGGGTAGGGAAGGAGTAGGGGTGAAAGGAGGGGTTACTGGATATGGAATATCGGGAGGGTCGGGCGGTTTATTTCCGTTCATGTTAATTACTTACCGGTAATGTTTAGTTACAAACAACACACCGTAACCAATAGGACAGCACAAAATTACACAAAAAAAACCCAATAGTCACAAAATCACACAAGATTTGTAAGAATTCTAGACGCACGTGCTAACCAACCGGACGACGACAGAATCCCCCACGTCACCATTTGATTTTGTCAAAAACTAAAAAACCACCGAATGTCAGAAACATAGAGATATAATCTCTATGGTCAGAAATCTCTATACAAAGACTTCTGGAGGATCTGCAGGTACAGTTTTTTTTTTGCTTGACATGGAAGGGACCATGCCATGCAATGTTTATTTTTTATTGTGTACCTGTAATTTTCGGTGAATAAATAAATATTATAAAAAAGAAAATGCAATGCACAGGCACAGGTGGGATACCTGTATTCTTCTCGAAACCAGTTAATAAACTTTAGAGCCCCCTATTAGGTAAGTAAGTCTGAATTTTTTATGATTGAAAGAACCATAGAGTAAAGAAGACCTTTAATCTTGCAATATAAGCAATGAGAGAGATGGATAAAAGATAGTTTCGTTTATCTCTTTCTAGTTGAGCTCTGTTTGGGAAGGCGAATTTCTAATCTCCCGTCTGTTACTAGGTCCCTGTCCTGTCCTGGTGCAGAGGTTGGCCAGTGCTATTCTGCGTGAAACGCAGCTAGCGTTGTAGGCACCTTTGCGCCGGCAGCAACCAGGGCATGGACTACTTAATTCAAAATTATTTTATTTTATTAATATTTTTACATTTTTATTTATTTAACAAAGTTGGTGTAAATAAATATAATAATTTGATGTCATTAATTAAAACCTAATTTTGGCCAATTACAGAAGTTATTCTGTAATTGCCCTAAATTAGGTTTTAACAACATTAACATTAGATACATCTTTTTTGTTACATTAGGTGCCTATGTACGTTAGATAATACAATACTAGCTTACATTACTGAGAGAGTGGAGTGTTACTAGGTCAATATAACATGTTTAATTTGTCGGGTTTTGCGGCCAGGGGTACAGCAGTTAAAATTTATATTCCACGGTACTTCCAGGAGAACGGCAGAAGTACATAGGAAAAAAGGGACTTTTTCATCATTATCGTTTATTGTTATTAAATTTGATTTTCATTTATGGAAAACCAGGGGAAAATTGTTCTATCAACTGTAAAGAGTATTCCTGATACTTCATGCCGAAGAACACAATGATGGCCATTAGCTGGAATTAGACACATTGTCACAGAGCCTGAGCCCTTATTACTGGTTATAAATAGTAATAAAACAAATAAGGAAATACTGTATTTACAACAATTCAGTAGCAGTGTTTTACATCGTACCTTCATTATGACTTAGCTTACGATTATAAATTAATTATTCATGATAGTTCATTTTAGCATAAGAATGGAATAAAAATTTGGATTCCATTTAATTTTTTTATAATTATCTTATAAAATCTTGTGAATTAGATTGACACATCAATCAAAAGTTATCCAGTGATGATACTAATGTTTGTTGTCAGTGGGTCATAGGTGTTACACTAAAGTTAGTTCCAAGAGGCTGGAGTGTATGTTTGATATCTAGGGCTGTTCTTGGATCTTGCAGAGCTCTAGCAGCATGCGCCAGCTGCAGAGCGCACTCAGGCGGAGCTGTTTGAGGCAAGGCGGCACACTCACGCTCCAGCGCGGTGCCCACAGCATTCAGTAGCTCTGAGAATCCGAGGGAAATGGCGGCACGTCGAAGACGGTTTAGTTCCTGAAAATCCGAAACCGTTTTGGTAAGCTTTTTGATTTCGAAGAGGGAAATCAAGAAGTTCTATTACCTCTCTTTTAAAGTGTTTTGAATTATTTCGTAATGCAATTAATTTTGACCTATCCCACGAAAGTTCAATAAGATAATATTTAACTAAGTCGATGAGAGATGTTTTTGTACGCCAATAAATTGTTGTTATACATAGTAACCGGTATATGGTTTACAGAGTAAAAATACTTCTGCTATACTGAAATTACTACTATTGCAGCAAACTATTATGCTATTTGAAGATAAGAAGTACCTTGTACAGATGTTGTGTCTTGTCTGGCAGCTTCCTGGCATGTCGGAGTACTTTCTGCACGTCAGCCAGAAGCGCGTGCGGGCGTGCCCAAGCGCAGGCTGAACCGCCTCCGCTATAAGATCGCCATGAACGGATGGGGAATGTTTCCGCTATACACAAAAAAAAAATACACATCTTTCCACAGATATCTTTTCAAAGAATAATTGTTAAGAACATAAATATTTTATGTGAGCATAGCTGTCGATGGGAGTTAGGATTTAATTTAATTAGGGTAACTCCTTGGTGAATTTTTTAGACCAACGAAAGGGGTAACGATGTGACAAACAACGTTGAATGTTGGAGTGTGCTATAAGAGCAACTCTATTTCAAATCCCGTCTGATTCAATCGACTTTGGTAATAAATACTTGATATGTCGCGAACAATATTGCCTTGAACTGGTTTGAACAATTATTTACAATATTTTTCAAAGGTTAGAATAAAAAATATACCGGGGGTGTGTCCATCTTCTGCAGGTCCCAGTTGATCAAGTGCACCGAGCCATGGTGATGTGCAGGCCCCTGGGCGTAGCACACTGAGCAACAGACACGAGCGCCGTGCCCTCGACGCTTCGCACCAAGCAGACAGAGTACCCCACCAGTCCGCGCCTAGGAGGACTATTGCTGCCATTCCTTCCACCTAATTATTTAGTAAAGTACGACGAAGATAAGGTACTATTGCAATGTACAATGTACATACAAGGTGACAGAGAAAGGTGTAGAGATATATACGAGTATATATATATATTACGTCTTTACCTATGAAATTGCCGTTTTGTATGCAATAAGTGAAAGTACTTATTTTTTCAAACTTTTTTATTTCTGTTATTCGAAGTAATCACCCATGTAATCGACGCATCTTTGCCAACGCATTGGCAGTTTATTGATGCCCTTCTTGTAAAAATCAGCTGGACGGGAGGCAACAAACTCTTCAAAGGCATTTTGTACTGCCTCTCGGGAATTGAATTTTTTACCCACTAAAAAGTTGTCTAAATTTTGGAAAAAGTAATAACATCTGCAACCAGCTTTGGTCAATCGGTCGTCCCCACTGCTCCTTCACGACAACGCGCGACCCCATACTGCGAAATAGACAGTCTCCAAGCTGCAAGAGCTGGGGTTGGCAGCTCTCCCTCATCCGCCATACTCACCAGACCTTGCACCTACCGACTATTACTTTTTCCAAAATTTAGAATATGTTTTATGGAATAGGGGGCAAACGAGCAGACGGGTCACCTGATGGAAAGCCACCACCGCCGCCCATAAACGCCTGCAATTCAAGAGTCACAAGCGCATTACCGGCCTTTAAGGAAGGAATACGCTCTTTTCAGTACCGAAATACGGCAGACGATAACCCGTACCACGGGTTGGTAGTGCTCCAAAGGGAGAAGCTGATACTGAGGTGCCCCTGCATAGAGATGAGAACAGTATTCCATATGCTGGCTGAGGCAGTTAGGGAGGTGCTCTCGAACCGAAGCGATACGACAAACGGTATCTTGCAAACCTGTGTCTTTTCTGCCTCTCCCTTGGTCTCGATCGTCTATTGTTTATATATACCGGTGTGTTAGACAAACGAGAAGATAACCAGCTGAGCGACCAAGGCAAAAAACAGAAATTGTCGGTCATTGAGTAGCTGTTGATTTTCTAAGAACCGGAGGAGCTGGCAGTTGATTACGGATTCCATAATCTTAGAGAAGGGTGCACAAACGTTACCTTCCAGGAGTTTGGGACGAGGCCTAGGGAAGTAGCAGAAAGAAAAAAAAGTCGAAAAAGGCGCTTTAAAACAGGTGCCAACTTTGGAGCACACGTCTTCAACACGATAGGGGAGATTCCATCGGGCACACCCGACTTATGGATATCGATTGAAAAGAGTGCTTTGCGCACTGATTACTGAGTGAAAGGGATTGCCGGCATACAGCTCTGGCACCGCGGTATGATAGAATCTTCTCGATCGCGACGCTAACCTTTGTCCAGAACGGAACATTGCTGTTGTGGCTAGAGAGCTTTCACGCTACAATGTGGTCATAGCCGCTCTCAGCGAAACCCACTTGCCAGATGATGGCGAGCTTATAGAATACGGTGGTAGATATAAATTCTTCTGGTAAGGTATACCGGCTACAGAACCAAGACGCTTTGGTGTTAGATTTGCAATAAAGACCCAGATTGCTAGCAAACTGGAAGACTGTCCTCTGACTGGGACTCTGACTGAAGAATACATCTCAGACCGCGTAATATCATTGCGTCTGCATCTCGACAATGACAACTATTTGAACGTTAGCAGCGCATATTCTCCAACAATGGATAAGGATGATGAAACTAAAGGTAAATTTTATGAAGACCTTACACGCTTGCTCACCTGAATACGCCCGAGAGAGCAGATTCTTCTGTTAGGCGACCTCAACGCTCGAGTAGGCTGTGATTATGAAGCGTGGCCAGGGGTCTTAGGAAGACATGGGATTGGCAGTATGAATAGCAATGGCTTATTATTGCTAGACCTGTGTGCTCAATTTGGCCTAACCATCACAAACATATTCTTCCGGCTACCAGCAAAATATAAAACCACCTGGATGCATCCGAGGTCGAAACATTGGCATCTAATTGACTACGCGATCGTTCGGCAAAAACATATCTCCCAAGTCCATGTCACACGCGCTATGCGTGGTGCTAACTGCTGGTCAGACCATCGACTTATAGTTACAAAACTGAAGCTTCGCTTGCATCCACCGCGCAGGTCTTGCAGACAGAAACCACCCAGCATTAATGTTGAGCGGCTTGCAGATAAAGAAACGCGGATGGAGTACCAACATATTCTTTCCGATAAGTTGCCATCTAACATCGACGTCGGTAATCTCAGTGCCAACTGGAGTGCCCTCACTTTTCAGATTATTGAAGCTGGAACGCAAGCCTTAGGCCTTAAAAAGCGTGTCCACCAAGACTGGTTTGACGAGAATGATGAGATACTAAGTAAAGCACTTAAACAACACCGCGACCTTCTATATCAGCAGCAACACGGTCGGACAGATATATCGGACAGAGTACGACAAAGTGGCTCAGATCTCAGAAAGATGACAAGGGAGATAAAAGACACGTGGTGGCTACAGAAAGCGGAACACCTGCAGTGGCTCTCTGATACAACCCAACTTGGTGCGTTTTTCGGCGAGCTGAGAACACTCACTGGAACAACTCAGCGGATAAGTGTACCGTTAAGGTCACGTGACGGCGCGACGCTGTTGACGTCCAAGGAGGTCGTGTTGAATCGTTGGGCTGAGTACTTTGCGGAACTACTTAATGTTGATCGGTCAGCTGATATTCAGCAGATAAAAGAGATCACATCTCTTCCGCAAAGACATGAGCTTGATGATCCACCGACATTGCAGGAAGTGATAGTAGCTATCAAGAATCTGCAAAGCGGGAAGGCGGTTGGCGTGGATGGTATTCCTGGTGAACTTTTGAAGTACGGGGTGGGGAGGGGCTATATGACATGATATGGAAACTTTTTACTCAGATGTGGCGTGATGAGCAAGTCCCATCTGACTTTAAGATCTCGCGAATCTGCTCACTCACTCATTGTAATTCCTATCGTGGTATATCGCTGCTCTCTACGCCCGGAAAAGTCTTTGCCAGGATTTTGCTCCACCGTCTGACCTCAGTTTCGGAGGAAATACTTCCGGAATCCCAGTTTGGCTTCGCCCTGAGAGAGGAACCTGTGAAGCTGTCTTCTGCGTGCGACAGCTGCAAGAGAAAAGTTGTGAACCATTGTTTCTCTGTTTTGTTGATTTAGAAAAGGCCTTTGACTGTGTTCCTCGTGGGGCCCTATGGATTGTTCTGGAGAAGGTGGGTTGCCCGGCGAAATTTGTCCGTCTGGTTCGCCTACTACACGATAGCATGACATGCTGTGTCTGCAATTAGGGAACAATCAGGTTTCTACCCTGTCATAGGTGGGGTTAAGCAAGGCTGTGTTCTTGCTCCCGCACTACTTGCCATCTATTTTGCAGCTGTGGTGAACGAGACGTTACAAAAAGTACCTACGGCATTCGCTTCCGAACTGATGGAACGCTTTTCAATCTGGCTAGGTTGAAAGCCCGCACCAAGGTTTCGTACAAAATGATAACCGAGATTATGTACGCGGATGACCTATGCTTTTTGGCCGATTCCACGACTTCTCGGCAACAGCTGATGACTGGCCTTGACGAAGCGTGCACCACGTTCGGCCTTAAGATAAACGTCAGTAAGACCGAAGTCATGACAACAGGCGCCTCAACAGATGAACCTCTGAAAATCTGTCTCGGTCAAGATGTCCTGAAGCGCGTAGAGAAGTACAAGTACCTGGGAAGCACAATAACATCACAGTGCGACCTTGATGCCGATATAAACTGCAGAATCGGTGCTGCCTCAGCCTCTTTCGGTAAACTTAGAACTAAGGTCTTTCAAAACTGGCTACAAAAATCGCAGTTTACAGAGCTATTGTCCTACCAAGCCTGTTATATGGCTCAGAGACTTGGTGCCTTTACTGCAGACACATAAAGACTTTAGACCAATTTCATCTCCGATGTCTGCGGGATATCATGAACATCCACTGGACGGACCGCATCAAAAACACTGAAGTTCTTCGACGTGCTAAGATCTGCGGTATTGAAGCATATATATAGTGCGACGTCAATTACGCTGGTTTGGTCACGTGTTCCGTATGCCAAATGAACGGATCGCCAAGTGCATTTTTTATAGCGAGCTTCAAGAGGGTAAGCGTAAGCATGACGGACAGCTCTTGCGATACAAAGATGTGCTTAAAAGGCATATGAAAAGATGCGGTATTGACGCCTTATCGTGGGAGTCATCTGCGGCAAACCGCCCGGAATGGAGACGTCTCGTAAGGCAGAAGATCGACGCCTTTGAAAGCTCACGTAAAGACGAGCTCTACGCAAAAAGAGACGAGCTAAAAGCCAGACCGCCAACAGCTTTAATTTACCACTATAGTGGCGGCGTTCTCACTTGTCCGAAATGCTCTAGAACTTTTAAGGCCAAAATTGGCTACAACAGTCATATGCGAGCACACCACCGCGCGGACCAACGAGACGCCATCTGCTGAGCCTGTCCAGCAGTCGCTGTAGCCGAAATCGGCTCGGAGAGATTATTATTATGGTAGACATTCCCCTTGACACCCTTGGCAAGAGACCAGAATCCACGAGTTCCAGAAAGAAGTCTCACCAGTCTCTCACCAATCCGGCTGTTGTGCTCCGATTTCGCCCTGGCAATGGTCCTTTTAAGGGGTCTGGAGGCAAAGTTGTATTGCTTTTTTAGCGTGCTGGTGTTTACATCATCTACCGTCGCTGCATTAGCCCATGCTTGGTAACATTCCTGCATTCGGCAGGACGTTTTGCAGGATCTGTTGAACCAAGGCTTAGATCTGCTTGGATTTTAGATTATAAGGTAGACTCCGTGAATGTTAGAAAAAAAATTGTTTTTTAATATCTCCCGAAATCTTGTTGTGAAAATTACATAGAACACTTTAAAATCGATCGATAAAGATAACACCTTAGTCGAGCTCGCTGTACAGGTGACCACATAAAAAACAATTAAATAGAACTGTGGTTGTATGCCTTAAGTAGTTCCTAAATAATCATAGTTTGGCCGAACCTTATTTTTTGGCTATCTTAACTACCCCTGGGATAGGGCCTGCTACATCGACACAATGGCGTCCCCAAGGAGCCGAAGATTTGAAGGCCTTTAAGACTCCGTCAATAAAAAAAGACTATCTCAGCTAATGCATATCCTTTTAAAAAAAATAGGTACAACTTTCCTTCCTTCCTCCTCCTCCTTCCTTAATCCATTGTAAAATGCTGTTGTTGCACAGTAAGTTTAGAAATATCGTAAGATATTAATAATATTTTTAGTGACGTCATACCTTTAGAGCTCCGTGGAGGAGCACGCAAAAGTTGGGAACTTTGCTGGGATCTGACATATCCTCATCTGTTGTGGAACCATCGTTACTAGAAGAACCCTCCTATAAAATATTGATTAAATTTACTTGTACTGTTTTCTTATAAACAAGTTTTAGAAAAATACATCTTTCACTTTAAACAAATAAGCTTTATCTAAGTAAATAGAATAGAAAATGACAGAATGCAAAAGTTGTTACCTTTGTAGGTGTTTTAGATCCATAATTTTCTCTAGCTGTTGCGTTGCCTGATTGAGTCTGTGGTATCACTAGGTGTTTACTTGTTGCTATAGGTGTGCCTATGAAAAAAAAGACTTTAAATTAAAGTAAAATTTTCAGATTCTCTATTTTCGAAGTATATGTGTGTACATATATGTTATTAAATATTTAAAGAGACCATTTGAAGTTGGTTAACATGTTATTATTTATTATTACTATTATTTTTTAAAAGACAACGCGATACAGGAATATGTATTCCTAATGCGGGATTAGGAATACATATTCCTGTGTCGCGGGGGACTTTACAAACATACATGAAACGGACACAAAGAACACCCAGACTCAGAACAACACTTTGTGGATCACACAAAGTGTTGTCCCATGTGGGGTTTGAACCCACAACACTCGGCGTAGTAGGAAGCGGCGTGGCGACCACTTAAACCACTACGCCATCCGTGCAGTCAAATGTTATATGTACATACATGCATTTTGTACTTATACTCATGGTCCTCTTTGGTCAGGAAGACAGTGCACCTCTACTAGAAAATCGCGTTGAGACATAAGTACTAAAAAATTGATGACTATTACGTTATTTGTAAAACCTCGAATGCAAAATATTGAAATTAACTGTAATCTTAAGAGCATTTGTATCTCTGGCTCTTTATCATCCTTTTTAGAACATTATTGAAAGCAAGACTTTTGAAAGTAAAGTCAATTAAGGATAAAGGAAGTTCTGAATGAAGTTTATGAAAAATATGAGCTGAATTACCTAGTTCTGTTTGTTGAATAAAACCAATAACATGTAACTGGTTGGCGAGAGTATAAGTAGTAGCTATGCCTTCATGTGAAATAGTCTGTGGCGCAGGAAACAGTTGTACTCGAGCTTCTAACTGACCACATTTAAGTGTACACCAAAATTCTTGGTAGTGTTGTTCACAGAGGCGTGTCATTGCTGTGATTGCCTTGAAATAGAATAGTGAAAAACATTGGATATTAAAGACAAAAAAAGCCGGCAAACTTGATTTATGAGATATAATAATTCAAATTAAAACTCTATTTATTACGAGTCGGTAGATACTATAAAATTGTAAATAGTTTAGAAATATGGTCCCCTAGAAAGTAGTGTAGTACCCTAGAAAGCAAAACCCTGATACCCCGATGTCCCGTTCCGCCATCTCCATCGCAAGCATAACCTGTTCCACGCACTCTCGCTCCGCACCATGGCAATCATGCTACCGAGCGAGAAAACTCAAAACCCGATGGCCGCCACGAGGTCACGCCAGGCGTTGGCTCCTTGCGGATCAGACACAGGTGATCCCTGAAGCAAACTTTTCTAGTGATCACCTGCCGCCTTAACCGGTATGAGAGGGTCCCGTGATGCCTCTCAAGCCAATCTTCCATAACGGGTCTTACCGCCACGATAACGGCGTGCCCAGCGCTCGGTTACCCAAGTGTTCCTTCCACTTCTCTACGAGGACCAGGCGGCGCTGGGATTTCTGATCCTCGATTTCTCGAGACTCAGGACTCCGTCCCAGCTTCCGCGCCTCCTTGCGCCACCGATACAGAGCCGTAAGGGCTCTCGCCTCCAGGTCCCATGGTGGAGTTCCAGCCAGGAGACTCGCCGCCTCAAGGGAGATCGTGCGGTACCCCCTTTTAACCCTGATGGCCAGTACTCGCTGCGGAACGGGAATTACCCTATAAATTTTCATTCCCTTGAGTGTCGAAATGTGTGTTTTTTGAGGAATAAACGGCCGTACCTATTTTTCGCTAACTTAGGAGTTTGAATATTTTACAACTTCAAGTCGGTCTACGGTCCGTGGACCTATGTATATGGTTTTAATTGCGACTTGATACCTCCCTCCACGCGTTCTCGAGATAAAGGGTCTTGATAGACAGACGGACAACAAAGAGATCCTATAAGGGTTCCATTTTTTTCCTTTTACACTAGCTGACCTGCGCAACTTTGCCTCAGAAGGATTAATTTGTCCCGTTTTTGCAACATTTTTCAATGATGCTTTGTTCCTATTGGTAGAGCGTGATGTTATATAGCCCATTATGTTGTTACATAGCCTTCCTCGCTTACTGTCGGATAATTAACATTTATTTTCAATAACAAGTATCAAGACCATGTACGAGTAGTATCCAAATATTCTAAAAACTGAATTGCGTTTTTTTTCAAACCGCCATTATCGATAGGACGATACATCCGTGACACAAGATTTTTGCATACATAAGATAATATAAACTATTTTTACTTACTCCAGGCACACTGAGTTGGTCAGGACAATATATTGATCCACGTGACAAATTACCGTTTGAATTACTAGTCGTGTTATTGGCTAAGTCTACTATTTTTTGGTACAGGGGCATTGCTGAAAACAGAAAATTTAACTTCACCTGTAATTTTGTAGCCAATGTATATTAAGATCTGCATTGAGGGACATTGTAATGGAATCTAATTAACACTAAGTAAGTATTAAATCAATCATAAAAAGAAAATTGTGGTTGTAGTTTTATTTGAAAATAAAGAACAATGAAGTTAAAGTACCATATTGGCACAAGAATCTATACAAATTGTGAACAAGGATTTTTTTCTTATTTATCAAGCTTTATTTCATCATCATCATCATTTTCTTCCTCCTTTTCAAGTTTTATTTGTGGTCAGCGCCGTGTATTGTAAACGACACCATTGGGGTGTTTTGTGTTGTTTAAATATATTTTTTGTTAACGTCACCCACTGTAATGAAGTTCTAACAAAAAAGTTATGCATTTATAGATATCAATTATTTTTCATTCGTAAGATCACGACGATGACCTTATAAAAGCTTTTTCCGAAAGTTTTTAGAAGTTGCTTTAAAGATAGTAGATGAAGTGAAACAAAGATACGGTAAAAAAAGGAATAGCTATTGTATAAGTAACAGATCAAGTTTTATAAATTATTTAATTGTTTTTGATGCAATGGATACAATTATTATGTTTTATGAATCCCAATGAAACTCGACCAATTTCAACATAGTCATTAAAAATTAACACATAACGAGTTGTTATAAAAAAAAGAAAAAAAAGATTTCTTTCACGTTTAGCAACACTAGTCGTGTCGTTAAGTGTGTGGTTCAGTGGTGTCGTTTACAGTACATAGTCAGTGCAATGTGTATCATTTGGTTTTAGTTAGTCTCTTATAGCCAGCCAACTGCCTGACCATAATCTTACTTGGGGATGTAATCAAATGTCATTTTGTCATTCAATTTTGCCTTTCGAGAAGGGTTACAATACATGTTTATAAGATTTATTATTTTGATTTTGTCTTCTAATAAATTCAGAAAAACACACTTTAAAACATTTTAATATTTTTTATTATTTCAATACATTTATATTGTGATACTTATAAAAATATCTAAATGGTGAATCTTTAGAATTGTCAAACATTAAAAAAAAAGATTCTTACCATGTTGTAAAGAGGTATCGTGTGGAGACACTACAGGCAACACATGTATTTTGGCTGGGTAGGAGGGTGGCAAAGGTAAAGCTTGAACAATACGCTTTCTGCCTATGGACCCAACTCCAATGCTACCGTCAGTTATCTGCAAATATGCAAAAACTCATTGTTAAGTTTCACTGGTAGCTTGAAATAACATTCTACATGAAATTCTCACAATTTGATAGTACAATTTAGTAGTAGTAGTATTCTCACAATTTAGTAGTAATTAACTTTAAAACTATCACATTACATAATATATAATAATTTTTATGGTAAAGCTGATAATATTTTTGTATAAATATATGATATATATTTTTGTATAATTCCTGTAATATTATAGAACTTTGCTTCCCTATTTAAAAAAGGTGTATGCCTTTTTTAATTCATTTTGTCTTCTACTTTGCTAAGGAGGGAAGTGGATTTATTATATTTCCAACTACAATTTTCTTCTGATTAATTTCATTGCAGGTTCCAAGACAGTTTAATTTTTTTCTGGGACTTCCCGAGTGTCATAACGTGTGTGTTTGTGGGTCACTGCTGTTGAACCTGGTGTATAGGTACTCCTATACACCAGGATCAACAGCTGCAACCCACAAACACACGAGTGTGGTGGGCGTGTGGGAGGGACTAATCCCATCAAAAAAAAGTAAAAAATCATGTAATATAATGTTAGATTACATGTTATTTAAATGCTGTAATAACCCTTAAGCATTATAATGGTTAAAAGAGATAAATAAATTGTTATTATGTTAAAATTATCATGATGGGGACTTTACGGCTTATTTTAATAGTAACATTATTTACCAATATTATTTGAACAGGTGTTTGACATCCCCACTCATTCAGTACAACTTGGTTGACTCCAAGGAATGCAGTATCAATGCATGTTTTATCTCCTTCTTCTAGTACCAGTAATTTGTTACGAATACTGTCAAAATCACGTGTGAATGGGACTGACACTGCAAAACAAATTTATAGGATTTAATATGAGAAAAATTAAGGTAGTCTCTGGCAATAATAGCAAAAAACTTTCTAAATATAACAAAAGAGCTGATGATCTTGGAATGGTTCAACGTAACTTTTTCAGCACATAAAAGCTTCTTTGATAAAATTTTATTAAAAAAAAATTGCCATGATTAGTAGTGTCAGAAGATATTTACTAAGTTGAGCATACCTAATGCCTCATGTTCTTGCTCAATGGGGGGAACTTTATCAGATGGATAATGAACAGGCTGGATCTACTAACTACATATTATGTGAGTAAAACCATTATAAATATGACTACTCATGTAAGTTTTTAGGTTTTTATTTCTAGTGGCAGAAAAGCAAAACAATACTTGGCTGTCTAGCAAGCCAAAAACATAATAACTAAACATTTTTTTCAAAAATCTAATATAATAAAAAAAAAAAACAATTTGCTGATTCTAATTACAACACACCTCATAAGATGATCTAAAAGGCCCATAAGTATGATTCTCAGACATATTTTTCCCTGATACTGTATAAATATAGTAATTTCAATCACTTGTGCCATACAAAAAATGAGATAGTTATGTAGTAAGTGTTTGCAGCAGTGTACCAATATTTCAGAAACATATAATAATAATTTTATGAAATATTGGCGCAGGAGGCTGTTTATTGACTGCCTGACTGGACAAAAGGAAGTTTATATGGCACAAATAACTAGTACCCCATTAGAACCTACATGGTGTGCTTATTTTGTAGTTGTACAAAGAGAAAAAGAGTTATTTCTTCACTGATTTTTTTATTTGTTATTACTGAATAATAAAGTGTTGCTGTGAATAAAGCAGTGCTTTAGAGAACAGTACTGCAAAGAGAATGAAAACTTAAAACGTCTGGCCACCGGGGTATAGTAGGCCAAAACCTCCTTTCCAAGGAGAGGGCTATGTCCAGCAGTGGACTATTAAAGGATGATGATGATAACTAACCTTCATAAACAGATGAGAATGATATTAGTGCAACGTATTCCAATTTAGCATGAACACTCAGATAATCTAAGAATGTGTTTACAGCCGCTGTAGCTATCGTAAATCGGGTTTGAGTGTCAGTCGTATCAGAAGTCGGTACTGGACGCGACATTGATAATGAAACATCTAATAATATTACAGTAGGCATTTTTTCATACAAACTAGTCTAAAGTAACATAAATTTAACAATCAATTACAGAAAATGTAAAAAAATAATGAAATTAAATGCAATTCGGCAAGTAAATATTTTCATGCCCAATCAATACTTGACATTTAGTATAAGTTCAACTTAAGTTGTCAGTTGTCAATTGTCAATCGAGTAGAGTTGTGTAGCTCCTGAGTGAGTGATATAAAAGATATAAATCATTCACGACGATAAAATTTATCACTCACTCACACTTGCTCCGAATATATCAGTAACTCAGTACTATAGTTAAACCGCCGTAAGCTTGGCCCTCCTGATGGTTTGCGGGACGCGGGGCGGGTGATGCGCTCGGCTATACATGACACGATGTACTAACTCGATATCTTCAGATTTATTAGTTTGAGATTTAATCTACACACGATGTAATAAAAATCGAATTTATTTCCATGTATTATAATGTCAGTGTATTGTAAGTTTTTATGATTAATTGTAAAATTTAGTACTGTAAAATAATTTTAATAAAATCACCTTATCTTCATCATGTAAATTATATTCAGATACAATTTAAAAATTAAGTAAAATAATAAATATTCTTTATTAGAACTTTAACAGTAGAACCTCTGTAAGCCGAACTTCAAGTTTTTAAATCTTTTTGTGACGCAGAGTCGGCAGATTATCCATGTTGCAAAATAATACCGTGTGTAGCAGTCTTAAGAAAAATGACACGTACAGCCATACTTTCACGTCAGTCACTGCCGGCGGACAGCGACGCACTTAGAGTTGTGTAGCTCCTGAGTGAGTGATATAAAAGATATATATCATTCACGACGATAAAATCTATCACTTACTCACACTTGCTCCGAATATATCAGTAACTCACTACTAGCTCACTAGATCTCTAGATCACTAGCTCAACGACGCCGATCTTTGTTTCATGAGCGAGTGAGACTAACGATAAATGAGTGAGATAGATGATGGTTGAGTTCACGCAAGTTTCTTTATGCAAAATGTACATTATTTTTATAGGTTCAAAGTTTAAAATTACTTAAGAATTAAGCCTGACAAGTACAAGGAAAATCAAATTATGTATGATATCTATTATACAACTTAAAAAAAAGTACAAGAAATAATTTCTTATTTTTAATAATTAAATAAAAGGCTGTTAATAATTATGTTATCTTATGAAAATGAATAATTTTGTATTTAAAAAAAAATAGGTTAAAAATGTAGTTTCAAAAACTGAATTTAGGTTTATAAGAAAATAAAGAAAGATTTGTAAGGCGAGAGAGGTTTGAAGTGAGTGATATATGAGTATACTGAGCTAAACGATCTAGATGAAGAAATGAATTAATTGAGAGACCAATCAATTGAATCGGATCAATGAGCTAGTGAGCTAAAGGAGTTAGTGAGCTAAATGAGCTAGTGAGCTAGATGAGTGATATATATCTTTAGAGCGAAATGATATGTATCAATCTTTTCAGCTCAGTGATACATTTTGCGCATCACTAGACGTACTAGCTAATTGGTTGAATGCACCCCCGCCCCGCGTCCCCCAAACCATCAGGAGGGCCAAGCTTACGGCGGTTTAACTATAGCTCACTAGCTCAACGACGCCGATCTTTGTCTCATGAGCGAGTGAGACTAAAGATAAATGAGTGAGATAGATGATGGTTGAATTCACGCAAGTTTTTTTTTTGCAAAATGTACATTATTTCTATAGGATCAACGTTTAATATTATTTAAGAATTAAGCCTACCAAGTACAAGGAAAATCAATTTATGTATATAATTATGTATGTTTTCCAGTATACAACATAACCAAAAATACAAGAAATAATTATTATACATATTTCTTATTTTTAATTATTATATAAAAGGGTGTTAATAATTATGTAATTTTATCAAAATGAATAAAATTGTATTTAAAAAAATTGGTTAAAAATGCAGTTACAAGAACTGAATTAAGGTTAATATGAAAATAAAGAAAGGTTTGTATGGCGACAGAGGCTTGAAGTGAGTGATATACGAGTATACTGAGCTAAACGATCTAGATGAAGAAATGAATTAATTGAGAGACCAATCAATTGAATCGGATCAATGAGCTAGTGCGCTAAACGAGTTAGTGAGCTAAACGAGTTAGTGAGCTAAATGAGTTAGTGAGCTAGATGAGTGATATAGATCTTTAGAGCGAAATGATATGTATCAATCTTTTCAGCTCAGTGATACATTTTGCGCATCACTACAACCGAGCTTTGCTGTAAATTTTTGAAAATAATCACCCCATAGAAGTATCAGTGTGACCAATGACACAGAAGTATTTCCAAAATCTATAAAACGTTTAATTAACGGTTAATTTTAAGTGCGAAGAAACTTAGTGGTTAATTATGATAATTGTATTTTCATATAAATCATCGATTCATCAATTCACGAATTTATATTTTGTAAGTATTATGTATTTTTATAATTTTTGATCAACAATTATAATTTTCTTAAAAAAAGATTTGTAATAAATCGTTACAGGTAAATAGGTTTTATTTGTAAAAACAAATAACCATTTTTCCTAAAAAACCCGAGCACGCTTTACATACATATGTATTTTCCCCTTTTTATTGGTAAAAATACAAGCAGTTTTGCAGCCCTGGTTGACAGATCTTCGTTCGAAAATGAGCAGATTTTCAGCGAAATATTGGTAAGATAGATGAGACTTTTTCATGAAGAATAAAATGTTAAAATACCATAAACTTCATAAATAGTAGGCCAAAACCTCTTTTCTAAAGAGCGACCTATGTCCAGCAGTGAAATTTTAAAGGCTGTTGATGTGATGTGATGTGAAATAGATAGGGTAAAAACTGGTAATGAAAAGTCCATAGTATGTTTGTACTGCGAGGACGGTCACAGTCAGTTGACACAAAATGTTCTCGTTTTTTTATGTTTCAACTTTCCTGTTTTCTGTATTTGCGTTTTTAAGACATGAATTACAGTAATAAAATATAAATAAAAAAAAAATGTATTTGTGTATTTCACGCTGTACGTAATCTCGTAATCAAATGGCAATTGCATCGCACGATTGAATTATAAGACACAAATAAAGCAATAACTTTTTTTATTTTTTTCTAGCTACTCAGTTCGAGTACCTACGAAATAGGTAAACGAGACACTTTGCCTTAGTTTTATCTTTGAGTAGCCATCTGGATTTCTGCGTTAGGGATTAGGTCTTGTGTGTTGTTTTTTAAAATTTGTCATAGTCCTACATTATAAATACAGAATGGAAGAAAGCACAGACAATAACAAAATAGTTGATTTTAGTAACACACAAGAAGCGTCGGAATTTAAATATGATTTTGTAAATACGCCATGGGACGACCGCACTTTTAAAAGCAAGTTTTGGATTGTAATTCTACTTGTTTCAATATTCATTGCTACAATGGCTTTGGTAATGAATAATTTTTACATGCATTACAAACGATTTACATCTCTAAGAACTTATGAAAATACTGGTAAAAGCTGTAACAGACTTCGGCTAGACGAATTACCGTATGTGGCAAGAATTCAGTCTGCAACAACGTATGAGTTGCTGTGTTTGGGTGCAGTTGTTAGCCCGTCGTCAGTTCTAGTTAATGGTGTTTGTGTCAGAGTCGGCCAATTACGAATGTATATAGGAAGCACGTCTGAGTAAGTGATATTTTTTTCAGGTTTATATTTTAACAACCCTGTCATCGTTGATAGGGGTGAGGTAGGTCCTTAATATGATCCTAGATTCTTGATCTATGTTAAGAAATATAAAATTATAGATTATTCAGTCCTATTCATATGTCTATTCATGGAGACGATGGTATAATCCATTTACACAATACAACCTCGTACAACTGCTTTAATTGCGACCTTTCTTGCCGGCAGTGATTAAGGAGAACGCCGGTCAGTTCTCCTTAATAGAATTCCTTCTTTGCAGATCAACGTACACACGTAGTAATTCAGAGGCGGCGGGCGGAGGGCGAAATCCGCTCTCCGCCCGGAGTAAGCCACTCGCCGATAAACTTCGGCGAGCACTTCCGCTTTCAAATCTCACGGGGGAGTTCCGGCCAACGCGCTCGCTACCTCCGTCGAAACGGTGCGGTAACCGCCTATGGCTCTGACCGCCATTACCCTCTGAGGGCGCCAGAGGCGTGCCCTATTCTGGGCGGTCCCGTATAGTGCCATTGACCGGACAACCCCCGTGTACAGCCGTCTTGTCGCGACGCTGGGTCCACCCAAATTGGGCAATAGTCGCCCTATGGCAGACGCAGCGCCGACCAGCTTTGGAGCAAGCTGTCGGAAGTGCTCGTCGAAGAGCCACCTCCCGTCGAGGACCAGGCCCAGATATTTGATCTGGGCCCGAACCGGTACGAGGACCGAGTTGACCACGATTAAGGCGCCAGGGGGTGGACCACGACGGGGCCCATGAAATAACAGGGCCTCCGTCTTATCTAGGGCCACCCGTAAGACCAGCGCCTCAATGCGCCCGACCACCAGGGAGACTCCCCTTGTGGCCAGGCGCGCCGCCTCTTGGAAGTTCGCCCCCCGGGCTGTCACCAGAGCCGGGGGCCGACACCTCAAATTACCCTCTCGGTCCTCGTACACGACGGTACGCTCCTCTAAATAGTCTGCCACTAGCCGCCTCAGGTACTTTGGCACCCCATGATAGTGGAGTGCTTCCCTGATGCAGCTGAATGGCAGACTATTGAATGCGTTGGCGATGTCCAATGACACCGCCAACAGCACGCCGCCACAGCTCACGGCCTCTTCGGTCACGGCCCTCAGGCGCAACACAGCGTCGATTGTCGAACGCCCCGCCCGAAAACCAAATTGGGCGTCCGACAGATCGGGGCCCACCTCGTAGAGGTGCCGGACGTTGCGGGCAGAGAGAACCTTCTCAAACAATTTACCCGCCTCGTCCAGCAGCACGATGGGCCTGTAGGCCGCGACCGAATC